CTCGATACATTCCTTTGTTAATTTTTGTACTTTGCGTTCACGGTTACGTTGTGAAAAACATCGTTAGCTTAACCTCTCCACTAACCAGAAATGTGGAAAAATAGAAAAAATGAGAATGTTTCTAGGAAGTGAATAAAAAGTATGGAAAAGTAGAAGAATTTTATGAAGAAGAGAAAAAATCTTCCAGAAAGTAGAATTTAAAAGAAAAGAACAAGTATTTCTGGAAATTGAATTGTGAAAAGATTGTGAAATACTTTTTGGCTATCCCATTGCATACTGTTGTAATAGCAAATTAGTTTAATGATCAGACTCACTGCGGCTGACATTTTTATACCTGCCATGATTTACTCTCCTAAAATATCCAGAAAAATGTGTTGACCAAGTATTTTATGGGTTTATGTCAGACATATATCATTTACAGACTTGGTCTTACATTAACCTAACATAACATATTTCAATAATATTAGATTTATACATGTTTTCTGATATGTTTTCAGAAACCCTAAATTTTACGGCAGACTCATTTTTTACCATAATAAACTTTGTATGAATTATTATTTCTGATTGTGTCCTTTGTGAAGATTTATCTCGTTGATTTATGACGACTAATTACCAATTGTTGCAGTTTCAATAGCATATCAGGAAATGATTATTTGGATTTGGAAAAGCAAGGGAAATGTTAAAACACTGATAAACTTGAAACATATCTTTGATGAAATATTAATTTGTTTGTTTCCGTTCATTTAAAGAGACACTTCCTGATCTCCAGGATAAAATACTAATAGATGATTAACGTCAAGAGTGAGCCTTATGAATGCTTTAACAACCACGCCACCTATTGGATACGATTGATGAGGTCATTGGTATATAGTTCAGCGGTAAAAATCGAATAAACAATATCATCGGTTGCTTTGATGTTGCATAAGAAAGCATAGTTAATGGATAACATCTATTGTCTTTTGATTTTACTAGATTTCCATATAAGGTCAAGAAATAAGGACTGATGATGTCATTGGTACAGTTATGCTGCAAAAACTTAGTCAAGTTAATTATCAACTCGTACATGTTTATTTGATGAAAGCATAAAATCTACGAGCTATTGACTTATGATTTTTTTTATTTCATTAACAGGTCAAGGAACTGTGTAATAAAAAGCATCACTGTTGAATTAGAAGCTTGCGCAGAAATGATTTACTATAATGGTGTATTAGACTATATTGTGAGCTTTTGCGCATGATTGGTCATACCAGCCATGTCTAATCAATTACATCGTCCATCTTGTTCTAAATACAAAATCGTAGATGTGTATGTATTGCAGAGAAAAGTAATGTTTTCAAGACTTCAAATTGTCTGGATAGAGCCAATACAACAAAAAGTTCTAAAAAGCAAGCCAAACGTGCTGTTAAAGAACCCCTACTCTTACTTTTGAAAATGGATTTTAGCAGTACTATACCCCCAAAATGCAATCTGATTTTCGACGCTGTTCTGGTGCCAAATGGACTGACTAGTCTGGTAGCAAATTTTGGTGTCTAAAGGTTTCGGTGCCGGAACGGTGTCGAAACGGCGCCGGAACAGTGCCGAATTTTTTCGATGCCGAAACGGCGTCGAATTATATTGGCTGTGATATCCCACATGAATCTTCTTTTTTGAGACCCAATTAACTTGAGTACCTCAGAAAAAATGTGGATTTCAGCAATGGTGTATTGACTAACATAGGGATACAATTGACTTTTAAAGTCAATATTTGCATTGTATCTTCCCATATTAAAAAAGATACCTGTAGAATCATTTGCATTGAATGATCTGTTCTGTCATACCTCAAAATTATGAATACAAAACATGATAATAATTTTAGAAATCTAATAATGCTACCAGGATTTTTTTAATAAATGAAACAATGCTAAGATAAGAATAGTTTATGGGTAGTCAACATGGCATATCTCCAAAGGAGGGAGATTAAAAATAAAACACACAGAACTGGATCAGAGAAAATGATTCTCCCTTATGATAAGCCTTTATGAGGAGATAAATATTTTCCCCTTGATAATAATTGAAACATTTAAGCCATTTCTCTGGTGTCCCTAGAGTATTAAGGTTGGCAGAGTAGGGTGATTTCAGGACCTGACAGTGAGAATGATAAGCCTGCATGTTTAAGTAAACATTCTTCACGGACTACCTTAATTGCAAATGAAGGCAAAGTTTCGAAAGTCAAATCCTCATAGAAAAAATCACTTGACCATGTTTGCCATTTACACTCTGTATTTAGAGTATTTTGGTCTTTCCTTTGTCAGTTCAAGTTTGCCTTTATAATGGCATGTTATGATATATTGTTTGTGAGTAGAATGATCGATAGAAAACTATGTATTTTTGTGGTCGGTGGTTGGTGTTTGGAGTCTAACAGTGTTCAGCATCTGTAACAGCATTCTGTGGTTGGCATCTGTAACAAATGGCAGGTGGTGACATTTTGCATGTTTTAAAATGCCTTGTTCTAAATTCTCATCAAAACAATTTTTTGGTAAATTAAGTAAGTGATTTGTAAATGTGTTGCATAACATCTACGTAATAGATAACTGTTAAAAATGTTTTTTCTGCATTGCTCAAGATGTTGCTGAATGCTGATACTTGGTTGTTAAAGACATAGTCCTGGGGGTTGATGGAAATTTAATTTCAATAGATATTTACCCTTGGGCCATTTAGCCCTCCCTAAGTCAAGCATTATCAAATCAATATCACTTCCACCACATTGTTCTCTGCAAATACAAATCAATGCAGATGTTTCTACATTCTCTCAGTCATGAGTTACTTTTCTCCTTATCATGTAATGATACAGTATGTCAATAACAGTTATAATGTAAAACCTGTCATAAGTGGAACACCTTTGGTACCTCTTAAATGTGTTCCACTTGGGAGGTGTTCCACATGGGAGGTGTTCCACATGGGAGGTGTTCCAGTGACATTCATTTAACATTAAGTTAATTGGTCTTGGGATTCTTAAGTGTTCCACTAACAGAGGTGTTCCAATTTAAAGGTTTCACTGTATTTTGACTGTGATAGCTTAATTGTCTCAAAGTGATTTTAGATATTTTTATATCTTTCATATGTCAGCTAGGGACAAGAGGTCAGGGTGGTTGATTGCATGATTCGGACAAATATATGTAAAAACCACAAAAATTACCTTTCCTTTCATCTAATCTCACCATGTATTGATCAAGCAATGAAAGCCTTAAGACTGCATAACATCGATATTTTTATCGTAAAACTTGTTTTTATGACCCTGTTCCAATAATAGCACTGTACATTTCGGTCAATATACTTTGACATTTATTTGCATTGCATATACTCTTTAGTAGATTTTAAATGCGAACATATTGATAAAGTCATTCTTTTTGCAAATCAAATATTTTGCTTTGTTATATGCACCTGCCCGCTTAGAAAATAGTTTCCTATTTTCTAACCCTAACTGTATAATTACTGTATTTGTTGCACCTGCCGTATCCTCTATTTATCCCATATCTAACATGGAACCATCATCTCGATTTTTTGTCATAAATTATCTCTTTGAAAGACGAAGCTCTATGAACAATAACACCATTAGAATCAAAACTCACTGTTTGATACTTGACGCCTAATTGAAAAGTCTGTGTTTTCTTAGAAACAAACATAGGAGTTCATTTCTAACCTCAAGGATCATGCTGACTGTAGAATTGATATTCATATTGTCAGTATGATGATGTATGGTCACAAATACATTTGGAAATTTGTGAATAGAATATCTTAAATTTCCGAGGTATGAAATTTTCAGAGTGAATAGGTATCATTGTTGTATTTAATGATACCATGTGTAAATATGCAAAAAACAAAAATGGCCACTTAAAAAACCAAGCATACATAAAAACTAATCAGATCTAGATTTCATACAACCAAACAACCCTGTGAAATTCAAATCATTCTGTCGTGTATTGTCTGGAAATGTGCAGCAAAGCTGACGACAGAACTGATTAGTTTTTACGTACGCTTGTTAATTTTTGAGGTGGCCATTTTTGTTTTTTGTTTTAGGTACAATTATGGGCTTTCAAACCCTATGTTACAATATTGTGTTTTGTTATGTAAAATATGCTTAGTATGATCCAATGGATCATCTGAAAATGCTCTACTAATTTGACATACTTTTGTGTAATGAGTATGAACGTATCTGTTTATTATGATAATGATCACTATTAGGCTAATGAGTATACCATCATGTACGATTCACCAAAGGAAGTCAATTAATCTCCCAAGAAATCAATGAATCAGCCATCAATCAACAATTTTTTTACCAAATCAACCAACCTTATATACCATGTACTCATACTCAATTGATTCGTGATATCCTATCAAAGCGTGCCTTTATTTCTGATTTACGATACAGAAATCTATCCATTCTTCACAATAATGAGTGTCAATGTCCACATTTATAGAAAAATGATAAATGTCAAAATCTCTGTATTTGACAAAAGGCACAACAAGAATTGATACTGGACAAAAAATACAGAATAAGAAACTACTTTCGATTAGTTGTTTCTTGTCTCCTATTCTACCTTAGAAACATTTAAAAATGCAATTTTTGTGATAAAGTTGAATCATATTTTTGAAATAATAGCTCTCCGTGAGTCAGTGATAAAGAAATGTGATAACACGCAGATAATAATTTAATAAGCTAATAACAAGCAATTTCATGCCATTTTGGTATCAGCATTTTTTATGGCCAGTCCATTATTCAGTGATAAAGACAAGAGGGTCATCTGTTTGCTAAAACTGGCAAAAATGTTATCAGCTTGGCAACCAAAACATTAAAAACCTCATTAAAAATGAGCAATTTCCCAGCTCTGTTTATATTTTTTATATTTGAAATGTTTATTTTGGTAATATGTCATTTGAAATGAATTATTATGGGGCTGGATTTGAATAATTTATATCACTGTTAGCATTTTAATAATTCCTCATATATTCTGTACTTTCAGACAGCCTATGACCACCGCACAACTAGAAGGCGTAATCTGTCAGAGAAAGGCCGCAGAATTCCAAGCCCACAGGCACACGTAAGAAAAATATTTTGCATACCATGCCCAAATTGGGACATAATAGTTTCCACATCACAGCCAAATTAGGACATAATATTTGTGCACATCATGTCCAAATTAGGACATAATATTTTGCACACCATGTCCAAATTAGGGCATACAGATAACAACAACCAATAACTCAAAGTATAATTTGTTTTACCATGAATTGAAAAAGCCCCAAAATTGCACCAATTTTGAATTATCACGTGATGTCACTCCTTATGTTCATGTGATTGGATATTTTGCCTATATTTGATCATTGCATTAGTTAGCAGTAGTACCATGACTAAAATCGTTAACATAAATTTGATATGAATTTGTCGTTAGACTATTTTTAGCATGATATACCCAGATTATGAAAAACTATTGTATTGTATTATTTAATGTTCTCTGCGATACATCAAATATTTTATGTTTGATGACAATGCAATAACACATAACTGATATAATCCATGAGATGTCATCGGAACCTGAATCAACAATTAGAGGATCCCTTTATAAATCATCATTATCAAGCATAAACTGATTAAGGCACATTTTGATGTTGAAAAAGTATAATCTGAATGATTAAAATCATATGAGTTTTAGTATAGAAAATAAAAACTATACACCTGTAATAACATATTGGAAATGTGCTACAAAATTCTCATTGGTATATTTAGTGAATTGCCTACAGTGTGCTATTTATATTTTGTTTTGCATGCTAATCAATCTTTTTCATTGTCTGTTAATTTGTTTGATGTTTTCAGTGAAAGTGATCGAGGGTTCCAGAGTGATTAACTAGCTTTTTTCTCATCTCCATTCACATGCCTTTCATTTGACAAGTAAATCTTGTGTTGTCTTATAAAATGATGATTTATTGACTGCAGAGTTGATCTTTATCACCAAAGTGAAGTTGCATGATGTGCCCCTGTTCTCACTTCTAAAGTCAGTTATTTTACCCATCATTTTTAATAGGTTGATTTTGACCTTGATGTGTTGACCTCAGCTCTTTAACTAATGAATGTTTTTTGCTTTCCAGAATATGAGATCATCCAGAAGTCTAGCAAGTGTTTTCTCTGAACACGAGAATTCTTTCGGTTTGAAGACTATCGCTAGTTCTCCCCTGGACAGTGTTGTACCGCTTGTTATTACGCCGGTTGGTAGTCCACCCTCAATCGTAGCCCTAACAAATATCGAGAAGCCAGGGGATCCCGAGCCATTCTTCGACAGTGGCTGTAGCGATATTGGTGACCCATCGGAGAGCATTTCATCTTTCGTTACAGCTGAAGAAAACTACGAAGGCGAGAATTCGATGAATAGCCAAGACACGCTGTTCGAGATTGACGTCCATGCTGACTTGGACCTTGATCAAATCGAGAAAGATTGAAAAGAATCGTGGTGAATCGTGACAACTTTGCTGCAACTACACACACAATGCACTTTCTCATTTGATATTAATCAAACTGACTATAGATGTGGGTCACAATGGGAGGACACTCTTTGAGAGACCTCTATATCTCGATGTCCTGGGAGAAATATTGGAAAAATGTCCAATTAAAGAGTGCCAACAATATGAGTTAACGTCTGACCCCCTTCAATTACAGTACCTTAAATATGTCAAAAAATTATTCAGTTGATGTCACAATATGGCTTTGAATGATGTCATGATATCCAACATGATGACATAAGGAAGTTATCAAAATACTAAGGGAGGCAGGCTGGGAACATTTAACGCACAAAAAAATGCAGAACGGGAATCTAAAACTTTCTCATGATGTGAATGAAAAATTTCCTATGATTTGTTTTGACGGAAAGTATCGTTCACATGTATACTCTGGGCAAACTCATGTAGCTTCGGCTTCATAAGTTTAAAATATTTTTGAGCAAGTCACTGCCACTTTTGAGCCTTAAGACACATGAGTTATCCCAGCCTACAAATGGGAAATCTTACATTATGAATGAATATTAATGTTATCTTATTTAAATGACACTGAAAGTGAATATACATCCATTGGGAGGTGGGAATATATGAGCGTGATATACTGTATATTCTAGCCAATTTTACTTCACTGTAAATAGCACAATGTGCTCTTATTCGACATTATGTTGTAAACCTCACTAATGGTAAACATAATCCAACCATTTTGAACAGGGTGGGACAAAATATTTGTGCCATGCAACTTTCACTATGTGTTTTAGACAAATCACTCTTTATAATGCTTATGCTGAGCAAATATTTTGTACCACCTTGTCATGTGGTATAGTTAAAGAATACGCTTTGTGTAGCATACAAAAAATATCCAATACAATTACATCTACTACAGAACTACATCTCATAAAATTATGATTTGTATTCGATAGAGTAAACTTGAAATATTACAGCTGACTTAGCAGTAAGAGAAGTTAAAGTTGAAACTATGATGTATCGCACAATAAATCAGGATGATTGATCGCGTTAAAATGAGATAAACAGTACAGCTCAATGGCTGACATTTTATACAGTTCAAGCTGCCTAGATGTAAAATGTCCTGAATGTCATGAAAATGACATTCATTTGAAATGCAGAATAAGGGAAGGTTTTGAGTGTTATGTATGCTCTCTAAATTGCCAGAAAATCTGGCTGTTCATTCAAGATTTTGAGAGAAGAGACATGGAATTGGCATGACTGGATTCGCTTTCAAAGAATAGGTATCTAGTTGGAAGAGGTGTTCCTCAATCAATGTGGTATAATGAACCACATTGTGGTCTGTTGTACTATAATGTGGGAACTGGCCGATCTGCCACATTGTTACAATGTATGTAGACGAAACAAGAAGACACTTAAATACTCGATAAACTATCAATTCAGGAATTGTAGAATTTTATTAGCTTCCTTAATAGAGGGAGCTTTAAACTTAACCTAAAGATGGCAACACTGTATACTAGTAGTGCAAGTGCTGGCACCTTTAGTGAGTTTGTTGGATCTCTGGAAGAATACGTGTACTACCTTCAAATTGCAGTAAAATCTCTGCATATCTGTTTGTATCCTAGCTTGGCAGAGAGATGTAGAATGCATGTTTTTCATTATACATGTACTTCATAGTTGTACAGTGTAAAGTGTAAAAGTACACATATAGTCTGAATTGTATCATGGGCTTTCAAGATTTTCCCTTGAAAGCCCATGATTGTATACACATGTTAATATGGTTTAGGCTGTACATATACATGTTAATATGGTCTGAACTGTACATGTACATGTTAATATGGTCTGAACTGTACATATACATGTCAATATGGTCTGAACTGTACATATACATGATAATGTGGTTTGAACTGTACATATACATGTTAATATGGTTGGAACTGTACATATACATGTTAATATAGTCTGAACTGTACATATACATGTTAATATGGTCTGAACTGTACATATACATGTTAATATGGTTGGAACTGTACATATACATGTTAATATGTTTTGATCTGTACATATACATGTTTATATGGTTTAGGCTGTACATAAACATGATAATATGGTTTGAACTGTACATATACATTGTAATATGGTTAAAAATTTGCATTCGCATTCTAATATGGTTTAAACTACATTCAGTGATAAGATGGTTTAATTTATCCATACAGCCTTAATATGGTTTAAACTGTATATTCAATGTTAATATTGTTTAAACTATATACATACAATGTTAATATAGGGTTTGAACTTTACATGTACAGTACATGTTAATATGGTTTCGACTGTACATAATGTAATACATTTGTCATACAAACTTTAGATTGTACATACATATACTGGCACAAAAACATGTTATCCTTACAAGCGTTGTACAAAATGGTAGAAGTCAACCCATATTTTAGTCCATAAGACTGTGCTGCGGAAAGTGCAGAAATTTAAAACATGTTAAATGGCCAACCCGCGAACATGTACATGGGGTACTTTCAGGGCACAACAAGATATATCTTAAATTGACTGCATCATCAGGTCTGTGAAATGGTATATCTCATGTAATACCAATAATCTACTGTTTGTAAGAAAATGCCATTATAAAATGCATATCACATTTTTGTCTGAACTAATACTGCATCATCAGGTGCCTCAGTTCCTGCAATTTGAGATTTAGCAGTGCCATTTTATGGTGTCTTAAACATCATTTTAGTAGTATAAAGTGTGACATTTAATACATTTATATAATGTCACAGTGGATGTTGTCATACATACTTGGTATCTGATGTTATATTTACTATATGATGTCTTACTTGAAATATGATGTCATGTTTGATTCATGATGTCATGTTTGTTAAGTGATGTCATATTTGATATATGATATCATATTTGATGAAGTGTTTTATTTACATGTGATGTCATATTTGAAATGTGCTGTCACCAATTTATCTTTAACTAAGCCGAAACGGCTAGCGTATGCATCGTAATACATGGACCATAATGCTCATATATTCATGTGTGAACAAAAGCATTCATGTGAACATGTGTGCGTCATGGCGCGAAAGATATCAAATGAAGGTGATGTATTCTTACAGCTCAGGTAATTGTAGCGCATGTACGTAATTAACTTGATAATAGATAAAACACGGTATGATTACTTTAAGTAAAATTCACATTGATGGTCATGTTAAAAATTCAAAGTTACAAGAAGTGATGTGTAATAATGACCAGTGACTTGGGTAATGAACTTTTCAAAGCAATATTTTGCATTTTGCAAGTAAGAGATAGTAGTTTTATCTAAAGTCAAGTTTAAGTAAAGGCAGGGAAAGTATGATATCAAAATATTTTTCATGATGTTACTACTGTACATAGAATTGAATACAATATATTTCGGAGATGAATTTCAACACTTAACTATCATTGTTGTTTGAATATTCAAAATGAGCAAATACATATGTTGGTTAAATGTTGAAAAATGTCTTTTACCGAAAATGTAATCTTTCGAGATTAAAAGACTGAATTTTTAATAATAAAATTGATGTTGTATTTTAGTGGTCCGACACCACTGGGTGCTGACACCTGGTGAGTGAAATTGTACATCAGATATGCATTTCAAATGATGCCATTGATTGTGAACATTAACCTGTACAAACATTGAATGATTATTTTCATGGTAAAATTGCTGATAATGCAGGAAACATGGGTTTGAGAAAATTGAACAAAAATCAAATATCAGCAAATATGTGTAGCCCCATAGGATAGGGATACAACACATTTGTATATAGTTAATGTTTAGCGCCATTGCGAACTTTGTAACCATAACAACTGGCTGTAACCATTATTCTAGATCATGTTTTAATTTATAATTACATGCAAGTTAGTTTGCTAATATTTGTATGTAGTTCTCTCATGAAGCTTCATCTTAAAATATTATAAAATTTGACAGAATTAGTTTTGTACAATCATTGTTGTAAAATACAAAACTGTACTTTCAACTTTGAATGAGTTATGTATTAGTGACTATGGTAACCTTAAGTTGCCATGGTAACATATTGCCATGTTAATGCATATTGAAAGTTGGATGTACATAGCATTAGAGGAGGATGTACATGTACTTGTGTACTTATTCCAAATTTTAGATTTGAATCCTTATGTTCTGTGTCTGCATTTAGATGTAAACTGTTTCATATCTATAAAAAACACAAAAACAAACAAAAAATCAAAATTCCATAATATTAATGCACAAGGTTTATGTGTGATGATAGTTGATGTCTAGAGTGGGCTTTGGTTGACTGTTGTATATTAAGTGTGGTACACCATGTCTATCCACTAGCTCAAATATGTACACTGTAAACTAACACATGTATAGATAGAATCTTAGTCACATTGTGAAACTATATGAAATTGCATCATGGTCTTAAAGAGAAAAGCAATAAAAAAAAAATTATTAAAATGTTTCAAATATCAGTCGCAGAAAATGATTTCTATAGTGTGTGAAAGAAAAGCTGAAGGGCTGTTTAGTAATAAGTTTGCTTTGTTCATCAATCCCTCTAATAAGTGAAGATGACTTCTAGCTTTATAAGAAACTTCGGTAATGCAATTTCCTGTAGTTTTACAAGACCTAAGGTGCATTTAAATATTTGCAGTAAAACTCAGGGGTGTGATTCTTAAGAGAACGTACAGGCTAAAAAATTTGTGCAGATATATTTGATTTAGCTTCTCAAATAATGATGAAATCTCACTCCTGAACTTTCAGTTACGATTAAAATGTGTATGCGAGTATTGCAGTATTTCATATTGGAGAATGTCTGATACTTTTGGTGCATTATGGGAAGCCGTCCTTCAGAACAAGGATCAGCAGAAATAAATTTTGTATTTGTACATCAATTTTAGTTTGATTTTAGTAAAATTGTAAAATTCAATTTTTGTTTATTATATATTGCGATAATTTCCCATAATGCTTCAGATGACTTGTGAGAAATGAGCTTCCCTTCTTCAAAGATGGTGACTGTCACTTATGATATTTAAAACTGAAGTAAATCTGGTTTTATGCACATATCTTGTATTGTATTTTGTTATTGTGAATTTGAACGAAGAAACAGATGGCAGTGTTAAAAGAAACAGAATGTCTTGTGGGAGTTACCTTCAGTGAAATATTTGTATATAATTGGTAGCCTGTAAAATTATCATTATTACTAGAGAATGTTCATGTCTAGTATCGAAGTTATATAATATTAGAAAGCATGAAGTATTTTAATTATCAATAAATTACAAAAATAAAGTAGAAAATTATTTGTATAAATGCATGGAATAAGTATGATGATTGTAGATATTTTGTAGTTATATGATGAAAATGAATGTTGAAAGGTAACAGAAAAAAACTGAAGATTGTTATACTGCCTTGGTGATCCATGACCATACAAGGTGAATGGAAATGACTATGTACTGTTGGTCACATGTATCAAAGCTGAAGGGTAGTCCAGATAAGCAATACAAGATTATACATCTGCTAAGGGTTCCTAAATGGGTCAAAGAGACCCCCTCTAATCATTCTAGACTGGATTGCAGTAGGCTCTTTCTTTGATAAGATGTTCTGTATATTTGTGAAGGTGGCACACAGCATGGCATTGTATGTTGCCAAATATTGAAGAGTTGAAAGTTAGTATTTTTGCGTGAGAAATAAATATCCTTAAAATTATTTTGAAAGTGACTTGTTTTGTTGACTAAATTCATTTCGTATTTTGCTGGTATTTTACATTGGCCCACACAACGGTACTTTAAGACTGTAAACCTCAGAGATTTGTAAACATAATTGCTTGATAATGCCAATAACTTTAGATCATTGAAATTGACTATTATACAAGTTGTATCTAGTATATTATTGACACAGCTTGTTTGATATACCAAAATGGACTTTACCTTTAATTGTTCATTCTAATGTGACATGTTCAAAGAATTCAATTCAAATCGAAAATTCAATCTAGATTTCAAAAACTCACCATCTTCATATTCTTGTATATTGTGTTATGAATTACTCAAATCTCCCATTTTAACTTTGTTCCATAATATACCATTAATTATACTATATTATAGTTATTCACAGATGTACATCAAACAAAAAACTTTTTTGGAAATAACATTTTTTATTTGTATCTTAAAGAATCAAGTTGTTAGGTATAGTACATGTGTTTGTACATGGCCAGAACAAGAAGGAATACTCATGAAAACCAAGAGAATTGGCTCCCAGAGTGCAGCATCAATATATTTGCTATATATGAGCATGTCATGATTACAAAATTCCCAAACTCCCAAGAAATGATCGGGATATTGGTTGGAATCTTTCGGACTGTTTATTTTGAATTTATAGTCGATTATAATTTCAGAAAATAACGAGATTTTCATTGTTGGAAAATATCAAGCTTCGATCCTGGGAGCCAATCCTCTTTGCATGAAAACAATACATACCTACACCTTCACTCAACTAAATATGAAAGCTTAAAATATGCTCATCGGTCCTATAGTAAATGAACTGCCTTAAAATTATCGTATGAGCTAGCACCAATTTTGGGCTTTCTATGCAAATTTTAAACAAGGCGTTTACATGCAAAGTGTCACCACCTGCTATTTGTTACAGATGCCGAACACCAGATGCCGACTGCCATGATTAATTTCTGTCATGTACCTCCAATCATATTCATATTTTCATTGATTGTCAGTATATACACATAGTTGTCAATAAGTTTGATCGTGATTGGTGGAGTGCTTGCCATGGCAACACAGCTTAAGTGCACAAATTCTAAACATTTCCCATAAATGTTACCATGGATGTTCTTTATAATAAATTCTTTATCATAAAATATGAGAACTGATTTTTTCAGATTACACCAATCGACATAAAGTTGATTTTGAAGACTTCTTTAAAGAGTCTTCTAGACTTATGCTTATTAATTTTTTACATTACTAATGGACTTTGTAACAAACTTGTCAAGTCCACAATAAAAATTGAAAAGCTACGTTTAAAACTTAACTAGAAAATTACTCCATGGAGTAGCAAATCAACTAACAAATTGTTCATGAATCGGACTATGTCTGAATATAATATTTTCAATCTACTAGTAAGTCCCTCAATTTGCACAAAAAATGGCATAATCTGAGTAGCCATTCTGAGCCATTTTCAAGGGCTCAAAAAAGAAGATACAATATATGTGGTCAACTTAAAAATACTTTCAATTTCAGCATATAGCCATAGCTAAAGAGATGTGATTATTGTGCATTCTCACATTAGGCAGTCAATATCATGTTTTTTATGTGTTTTTTCGAAGCATGAATCAGATAAATGACACAATAATTCTAAAATATCTCGGATTTGAAGGTGGCCATTTTGAATTCTCCATGGAACGATTGAGAGAAACAACATATTACTTGCAATCTACTCTAAATAAAATGTCTTTCATTTGAGTAAAAATGTCTTTCATTTGAGAAAAATAAAGTCAAACTTTATTATACATTCAAGAAACATCCCTGAAAATTTCGAATTAATCCATACAACTATTTTACTGAAAATGTTTAGACAAGACTGCACATTTTATGATGGAAAATAGCAACTAATCAGTTCTAAACTTTCATTCAAAACATATCCCTAAAGATTTGACATCATCCATCAAACAATTTGGCTTGAAATGATTTTAGGATGGAAAATCCAAAATAGCCACCTTAACATTTACTCAGAATGTCCAAAAATTAATCTCTAAATTAATTTCTAAACTTCCATACCAAGAAACATTTAAGAAAGGACGATTCTCAGTTTGGAGAATAGTCTCCTGGGTTAATAATTTGTTTCATGAAAAATATAGAAATATTACCCAAATTAAACTATGAATATTCAAAAGAGGACATTTAAATCTACAAGATGTAAAAATAACAAATTGGTCTAAAGCAGGGATAACGCTCAATTAGACCGATTCAATAAAATACAAGTCTCGATTTGGGGAAAGAAGTTCATTAGTGTACTGCACTAATATTTTTTTTGCCAAAAATCTAGAAATATTACCCAAATTAAAGTATGGCTATTCAAAAGAAGACATTCAAATCTATATTATGTAAAAATATCAAATTTATCCGAAGCAGGGATAATGCTCATTTAGATTGATGAACTTCGTTCTCCAAACCGAGAATCGTCCTTTCAAATCAATACAAGATTTTACTGATAAGTCGGGAAAAAATCTGAGATTACTGCCTTAATTTCACGCCCAAAATCTAATCAGTTCTAGATTTTCATACTAGGCAAATGCATTTCAAAAAGATTATCCCTAAATATTAAGGACATTTTTGACCCTTCCTGCTCTATATATGTAACTACATTTACATATTCAATTAGTGAAACAAAATTGTCTGTACAAAATACTCAAGAAACCTAATATACTTTAGTTACTATAATACGCTTATACACTATGCTTAATCTAGTATACTTAACCTTCAGTACAGCCTTCAGTAACCTTCATAGCATTTCTTTTCTAACTAAAATACATATCTACTTTTTATAAGAGTTAAACACTCCTATGCTAAACATAAAATATTTAATAAGTGTTCATCTTCATGCTATTTTTGATATGATAACATTTTTGGTTTTCATCAAGATATATATAGTAGTTTGGATCGATTCAAACAATTATGCTCAGAAACAACATCTTTAATGTTTTTTTTGTTGAACTTTGCTACATAATTAACACATGGCATTAACATGAAAATGTCACCACCTGCCATTTGTTACAGAAGCCAAACACCAACCGCTGAATCTGTCCACAAAAAAGCTGGAGGCTATAACAATATGCTACCCCTTTTGGTGGTGACATAAAAATACAGTATGAGATAAAAATATACAAATGAAAACTTGTCTTATCAGAGCACAAAAATTTAAAGTCCCCGTCTAAAGTTTGAAATTTTTTTTTATCAATCATTTACTATTTGTCATGACTTAAAAAGTTATTCTAGAGATTTTTGAAAGAAAAATTTTTTTTGAAAAAAAGTTGAGAGCATTTCATTTCTTAAATATTCAAATTTCCCGCCATTTTTCAAAAAAAGTTGAAATTTTTTAATCATCAAATATTTCTTAATGCATTTCGAAAAAGATTATCTTTTTAACACCAATGCAAAGATTGATCAAAGGGCTCACTATTTCAATAATAAAATGCCATATTTAATGGGCCACTTCAATGTTTTAGCATATCAAAAATATTTTGCACCATTAGTGATGTCACTAAGGTAGCAAAAACTTTTTGAAAGAAATTGAAATTTTTTTTTCGATGTCAATCTTTTCTAAATATGCTAGACTTCAATAAAATACCAATATTGATTGTCTAACCAGGTTAAAAGGAAGAATATATTATGTTTTAGATATCATTGTACAATTGGTTTCTATGAGAACTAGAATTTTTAAATGCATTTTTCTCGGAACCATTTTCATGCACTGATAAGTTCATTTCTCGCTTATTTATAAACCAATTTTCTTAATTTTTTCAGCAAAAAACATGCGAGGATGAATGCTATGCATTGGTATGAGTTATGGCTAATTAAAAGATATGTGTGACCTCTAAAAGTTAGTTTTAAATAAATTCACAAATTTTGGAACAAAAAGTCAATCAAAAACCACTTTTTGAAATAAAAAAAAAAAGTTTCACATATCACACTTTGATTACATTGGGTAAGACTACAATATAAGCCAAAGTGGTTTAAACTTTAGATGGGGACTTTAACCAAAAAGTCATTGACATAGTAACTTTCATTTCCTTAAAATCAGGGGATGGTCTTGCGTGGGGCATACCCCACAAAAGTCTGGGTAGGTCTGGGTAGTTTGTGAATGTGTTGAGTTGTTTTCTTATCTGCCAATGCCCCCATCACGTTCTCAATACGTCAGATGATCATTCGAGTGTTACAAATGGACAGAAACTATCGGAATAATCAAGAAAAACCGCAATTGTAGTTTAAACCACATTTCAGAAAAACAATGTGATTACCTCACTACTATTTGTAACACTTGAATGATCCTCTGATGTACTGGGAATGTGATGGGTGTATCTGCGGAAAAGAAAACAACTCAACACATTTACAAACTACCAAATAATATGACACTGAGCCAGACTTTCGTGAGGTATATTCTGGTGTACCCAATGAAATACCCCAAGTGAGACCATCTTCTGAAAATTGACAACACCTGTTATGCTCTCCAGTGTGCAAAAACAATGTGTTCGTCTCTAAACCTACTTCTTTCTCAACTCGTGATATTCTGTTCTGATTTGACAAGTTGGAATTACTTTCTGAAAACCCTGTAGCCTGTAGGCTTTATTGTATCCCTTGGAGCTGTTAAGCATGTCAACTTGCCATTTACAGGGTGATCCAGAAGTAGCATCAATACTACTGGGCCAATCTCCATGAAACTTGGTACAGATGTGATGCAAGTTTTATTTTAACCACTCAAAATGTTGTTCAACACGTAGGTCAGTGGTGCAGGGTGACATCCTAGGGGGGTACATGGGCCAACCATTGGTTAAACTGCATCATTGACTGACCTAGATGATTGTAATTGAGATTAGACACTTTGAACCTAAATAATTGCATACTTTCCCAACAAACGACTTTCCTTTTCTTTTTCTTTTGTACCTTTTCTATTTTCAATAAACATTTATAAAAACTATTGTGTAATTTAATACACTTATTTTAAGTGTCATTGCACTTTCATTATTTTTCCATAAAAACTGTATGTTATTGTAATAGTTGACTAAAAACTGAAAATATTATTATTACTATTCTTAAAAAAAAGAGTTACTATAAAATTAAGCTATCGAACAGTAGAATCTTTATACTCGGGGTATACACTCAATAATGTTTGTTGTACCAAGTTTCATGAAGATTAGCTCAGTAGTATTGAAATGGCAACATCTTTGACAATACTTCTGGATCACCCTGTATATACATACAAAAGTACAACAGAATCAGTTTTAAATTGAGATCTACCTCTTGTACATTCTTGCCAACATGAATGTAATAGCGATTGACTTAACTTATGTATTATCAAAACATTCACATAGTATTCTGTACATTTTCCATCAAGCCAACTTGAATCAATATTTCATTATCTAATATGACTTCATTTTAACAGCATATAGCTAGTGTTTATAATACTAGTGCACCCTGTATCCTTTACTTTATGGTTCGTAAATGTCACTTTTTAAACATTACATATTCACGGATGGGTTTTGGTAATCCTAACCTTATCAAACACTGTTCGAGATTACAAGAAACTCTCATAATATTTTTCCTCAGAGAGGATCTGCATTGATGCTGTAGACTACAAACATCTGGCATACTGTCACATATGGTGAGTATCTCATCCTCATTTCTTAGTCTGTCCACATATTCTGCCACTAACTCTTTGAATCTAGGAATATTTGTCTGTGACATACATTTCGCGAGGTATTGATAAGTAGTCGGGTCATTTGTTGTCAGTTTTTCTTCATGGTACATTTCAACTGTCAATGAAAATGCGATAGAATATAAGTCATAATCCTCAATATTTGCTTTAATTGTTTCATTCAAACAATCCAGAAATAGGCCTGGGTTTGCTCCATTTTGAATAAGCAGTTCAAGTTTTTTAACTCTTTTCTCTTTAGATTCCTCATCCTCATTAGGATATCTCTCTCTGTCATTTGTTTTGAATATACGCATGAGATTACAACTCTCATCGCCTACTTCACTAAGCCTATGTTTATGACAGACTTTATTAGGATCTGCACCAAGTTCTAACAGCTCTTTCATGACTTCAAATGATGAAGCATTGAGCAATGCATTTGTATAATGCTCAATAGTGGGACCATTTACATCTTGGAGAGTCATTGCAAGATGCAAAAAATCCAGGTTTCCCGAGCCTGCAGCATGAAATAACACTTGGCCTTTCTGTTCAACAGTAATATTTACAGGGAATGGCATAGCGAGCTTAAAAATGTCAATATCCTTAGTTGCTGCAGCTCTTTCTAGGAATGTACCATCTCCATCACCATATGAGGTACCAAGTATGGAACAGTCAGCACCGTGTTTCAGTAGCAGTTCAACTAAAGGGAAATTGCATTGAGCCAAAGCATTAGACAACGCATTCTGCGGTCCATCTTCATAAATGGGATGTAGGCAACTTACGGCATTTACATCCACTCCATAATTTAACAAAAGTTCTATTATTTCAAAGTTTGTTTGTTTCCATGGACAACAGGCATCCATGAGCGCCGAATACGGTATATCGTCCTGTTTTTCAATTTCTTTCTTAGGGTAGTTCATTAAGTTCAAATCTGTCCTGTTACATTCCAACAATATTTTGAGCATCTCTATATTCTCTTTATCAACTGCAAGGTGGAGTGCAGATCCTCCACAAAACATCTTTTTATTTGGATCTGCACCTTTGTCTAATAAGAACTTCAAAATAGTTGGGTTATTGGTCTTAATTGCAACTGACATGGCAGAACCAGGAGAACCTTGTCCATCCATGATTCTGAAATCCAAATCTGCCCCTGCTTGCTCTATAAGCCATGTAAGAAGTTCAATATCATCATGATAAATGGCATGCATGCATGGTGTCATTATTCCTTGACTTGAATATCGTCCTCCCTCTAGTTCTTGAAGGAAAGTGTCATGTTCGTTTTCACAATCCTGGCCAGGTCCATGCATGTAAGAATAACCCTTCACGGGGGCGAAATCTACGGGTGCCCCTTCCTCTCCGATCGCATACTTGACAATATCGGGTTTGTGTCTGTAAGAAGCGCCAATTAGGATTCTTTGTAAACATAATGTCTGAGTATCGACACAACAGTTCTGCTTCACCCAGTCATACATTGCTTTAACACTGTTCAATGTAGATGTGGACTGAGATTGCGGATTATATCCATCACCATCAATTACTGAGATGACACACGCGTTACATGGCCCATGACGACAGCAATGCTTCGGGCCCCAAAATGTTCCAGAAGCCATCTTCTCTAGGGTAATAACAAATCTGAAAATATACAGTGTGAATTAGTTCATTAATAGGATTAGTACTATGTATCTACCAACTTTATTTTGATTGTTTTTAGAAATTTCAAATAATAAAGAAACCATCTATTAAACCTGAAAGTTGCAAAATCAATACAAAAGTTTTGGATAGCATTGGCTTTAGGTTTGCTGAACTTTAAACTTAAAGATTTTTGGCCATGTTTGAAGTATCAAAACAATGTTTACAGTCAAGTCAAAAGGTAATATCAAATATACACCAAATGAATAAATATAGTTAGTTAGTTAGTGAGTTAGTTAAGATCTTCTACGCCACATTTTAAAAATACAAAATTGCTTAAAATAAAACTGTTACAATATACATGTATGACTTAATAAATACTAGGCTCATAAAAAGAAGTTATTCACCAGGAGGGATTTGATATGGGGAATACTACAAGGATGATAGGTATCCCTAGGTATCAGCATATAAAATTTGAACCAAATCCATTCACTAATCAAAGATTACACTTTTCAAAGAAAAATGGCAGCCATTTTGAAATACATCTTGAATATTTATTCTTGAGCAGAGTTCCTTTATCTCTAGGCATCAGCATATGGAATTTGAAGCAAATCTGCCCACTGATATTTAAGTTAACAAAGATTACCTTTTCTACAAAAATGGTGGCCATTTTGAAATTCAGTTTTCATCTTGAAAATTTATTCTTGAGCAAAGGTCCTTTATCCCTTGACATCAGCATATAAAATTTGAACCAAATCTGTCAACTGGTATTTGAGTTGAAATTGAATTATGAAAAAATGGTGGCCATTTTGAAATTTAGTAGCCATCTTGAAAATATCTTCTTGCGTGAGCAGAGCTCATTTGTCTCTAGGCATTAGCATATAAAATGTGAACCAAATCTGCCCAATAGTATTTGAGTTATTAAAGATTACATTCTGTTAAGAAGAATGGCAGCCATTTTAAAATTCAGCAGCCATCTTGAAAATTCCTTCTCGGCCAGAGCTCCTGTGTTCCTAGGCATCAACATATAAAATTTTAACAAAATCTGTCAAATGGCATTTGACCGATTTTTTTTTACGAAAAATGGTGGTCATTTTGAAATTCAGCTACCATCTTGAGAATCCCTTCTCAACCAGAGCTTCTGTGTCGCTAGGCATCAGCATTCACTGGTATTTGAGTTATCAAAGATTGTGTTTTTTACAAAAAAATGGCCGCCATCTTGAAAATGTCTTCTTGAGCAGAACTCTTTTGTCTCTATGCATCAGCATATAAAATTTGAACCAAATCCGTCAACAAGTAAAAGAGTTATCAAACATTACATTTTTTATGAAAAATTGTGGCCATTTTGAATTGAGCAGCCATATTGAAAATTCCTTATCGAGCAGAGGTTCTACACCCATAAGGCATAAGCCTATAAAATTTGAATCAAATCCGTCAACCAGTATTTGAGTTATCGACCAGACACACGGATGGATGGACATCTTTAGGTTGCTGCTTGTATTGTTAGCTTGAGAATATCTTTATTCTTTTAACTCTTTGTTCATCTAATTTGGTATTTATTTTATTCTTAGCCATGTGGTATACCTCACCAATGTGCCATATCAAACCACTGTGTGCTGTGTTAGGCCAATTTAAGTGACACCTGCTTCCCTGGGTACACAGCCAAACGGACGGACGGCCAAACGGACGGACGCCTTAGTTGATATCAATATCATCCCTAATATCTAATCCCAATATCATCCCTGATCCCAAATATATGATTTATCACTTGCTATTATATACCTGAACTTGCTCTGACCATACTATAACTGGAGTTACTATACTCTCAATCAAGAGAAACAAATAATTATATTTAGAATAGATAGATAGTGCTCACTTTGATTCTACAGAAAATGTTCGATTTGGTAGGAATTTATCCATCATTTGCAGGAATGAACCTTTGGATTCATTGATTGTGAACGTGAACATGAATTATTTTTCTACCGCTTGGGAGAGTTTGAGACACAAAACTTAGAATTTAGCTCACTGTGACAAATTTTGATGGTTGAGGTTTATAATTGTCTCCCTCTTTAAATTTATTTTTACTCCAAATGATCGTTTTCACTATAGTGCACGGTGGTCCACATGCCAGGTCTTAGTAATTTGGCTAGAGACTGGAGTAAAACATGGCAGTCATAGGCGTAGCACCCGGTACGCTGGGTACGCACAGGCGTACCAGTTATCGAATTCTATGACCACTTTAGATTGTGGTCGTACGCGCGAATCATTGGTCAGTCAATGTTTTTACAAAGTTGGTGAAAATACTACGCATTGCACACCTAAATGACCTACCTCGATACATTCCTTAGTATTTTAGAATTCTTTTTATGTAGTTGAATCGCCAATTGTATGGGTTTATTGGCAGAACAAAGAGCTTTTCGTTTTTGATAGCAATATTTGCATGTAATATTTAACTTATTTCAACCGTCAAATTCCTCCATTCAGTTCCAGGCATGCACCAGTCATAAGGGAAATCCCTGGGGAATTCCCCTTCCGACATTTTGAAAATTGCTGACATATTTCCGATGTAAAAGCTAAAATCTCTTCATTCTGCCGATAAACCCATACAATTGGCGATCTAACAACATAAAAAGAATTCTAAAATATGTACTGCAGGCAGTAAACAGCCCTCTGATTATGTTTGCTGATGATACGAAACTCTATAGAGAAGTAAATAACCTAGATGACTGTAACGAATTACAACATGATATAAGATCCCTTATGAACTGGACCCAAGAATGGCAACTACAGTTCAATAGTGAAAAATGCAAGGTATTAAGAATAGGAAAATCCCCCCAGAATATAACTATAGCATGGGCAACACAGCACTTCAAGAAACAGAAGGTGAGAAGGACCTGGGAGTAATGGTTACCAAGAATTTGAAAAGTAGTACACATGTACAGACGGTAGTTAAAAAAGCTAATCAAATTCTGGGATTAATAAGAAGGACCTTCCAATTTCTAGATTCCTCCAATATGTTGCATGCTACTTTACAAGGCAATGGTATGACCCCATCTTGAATATGCCAATACAGTTTGGTCTCCATATTTAGTCCTGGACATTGAAGCGGTTGAAGCTGTACAAAGAAGAGCCACAAGATGTATACCAAGCCTAAAAGATAAGGACTATCCCCAAAGACTGAAAGAGTTAAAATTACCAACACTTGTGTTCAGACGTCTCAGAGGCGATATGATCGAAACATGGAAAATCTTGAATGAAAAGTATGACATACCAATAAACAATATCCTTCCCCACTCCCACAACATTGGCAGAACTCGTGGCAATAATATGAGAGTTTCAAAGAAACAAAATAGGACAATACTGAGACAGGGATTCTTCACCCAGAGAATAGTGAGCAATTGGAATTCCCTCCCCCAAGAAGTTGTAGAGGCCCAAGACATAAATCTCTTTAAGAATAGACTGGACAAATTATGGAAGGACCACCCTACAAGATATAACTACAGAGCTCTGAGGTAGCCACCGGATTCAGTCAATTAATGGAGTCTATGCTTAACCATGCTCAATATTTTCAAAATCAAATCTTAAGGTGCCATGGAAGTTAACAGGAAATGACGAAACAGGAAGTGAAATTTTTTTTGCATTTTTGGACATTTTTTGAACAAAGATAACAGAGTTCTGGTTTGACCTCCAGTCAATTTAACTATTTCCACATATCATTTACATGACCAGGATCACAATGTGCATGGTCAGAATGACCCTAAACATGATGAAATAACCTTTTTAGCCCTTTGAAAGTGTGACTGAAAAAAGCTAAAAGTAGGAGCGTAGGGAAGGTCACTGAACAGAATCTTTTGAATTTTTCAGAAAATGTGCCCAATATAATGCTCTAACTGATACAATCTTTGAAATTTTAGAGAATTGTCTTAAACAAAAATGGCGGTCATAAAAAGGAAAATAGATCGCTTTTCAAATCAGTTTTTTCATTTTTTTTCTTTTCCTATGAATGATATCAAATTTTCAAAGATTGTATCATTTAGAGCAATATATTGGGCACATTTTCTGAAAAATTCAAAAGATTCTGTTCAGTGACCTTTCCTACCCTCCTACTTTTAGCTATTTTCAGTCACATTTTCATAGGGCTGAAAATGTTATTTCATCATGTTTAGGGTCATTCTGACCATGAACATTGTGATCCTGGACCTGTAAATGGTATTTGGAACTAGTTGAATTGACTGGAGGTCAAAACAGAACTCTGTTATCTTTGTTCAAAAAATGTCTAAAAATGCAAAAAAAATGTCACTTCCTGTTTTGTCATTTTCTGTTAAGTTCCATAGCACCTTAAGACCGGCTACAGGTCAGAATGACCTAGCAGTGAATAATTATAACTATAACTAAAATACTAAGGAATGTATCGAGGTAGGTCATTTAGGTGTGCAATGCGTAGTATTTTCTCCAACTTTGTAAAAACATGGACTGACCAATGACACTCGTTCTTTGCTTCGCTCATCTCTAAAAAAAATTTTATGTTAGTACCTAGATGGCAGTCATCTCTTTTCTTTTCAAACTAATGTGTAAACCTTATTGACCTATTTACATACATTTTTTTAAAGACTTCATACAACCTTACCTATGGAAATAGCTTCTGTGGTGTTATCATGTTGACCATCAACTCAATTATCACCCACGGCCACAACATTTACATGTGCATGTTTTTATATGACAGATTTATGTTCAAAGAGTCTTATCTGTGACAGTATAGCAGTCTCATAGAAGCTATGGATACTTACTTATCTTGTTTATTTTTGCTTTGAGCCTTGCGTTACAGCAGGAGTATACTAATAGTTGGATTCAAGACACTTTCAACTTTTTCTTTTTGAAAATTTCTCACGACTATGAATGCAACTTTAGTATCACGAAATAAATAGGCCTTAGCTCTTTCACCTTGCTGTCTGACACACACATAGCAAGCCCTTCACAGTGAGGCCTATTTACACTGTTCATACGATTTAAACCATATGCACAGTGTAAATAGCTCTATTGTTCTAGCCTATATATGTTGTATTGGGAGGGGTTAAAAGTTGAAAACCACCAATAGATTATGTCACCAAGAATTATTACTCTTGTGAACTAGATTCGATTGGAAAAAAGGAACATAATACATTCCTTTATGAACTCGTGGGCTATATCTTATATTTAGACCTTTAGTAATTTTGTTACCAGTTATGCATGCCATATATCATGATAACATTGAGATTCTATGTGGCAATTATCAATGAAGCAGGGGCTGATTTGGATTTCAGAGTGGACATTGGAATAACTGCTTTGCCATGCCATGTTTCCAGAAGTTTTCTAGAAGTTATGGGGATCAAGTCTCATCAGAGTGGAGTTACTTTTTCTATCAGAACTTTGTTAGTCTTACAGTAGGCCTATTACATAATTTGTTTTTGAGACATATCAAAGTTCTGTCTGTAAAAAGTAGTGCCATCATTATGACCATGGTTTAAATAAATAACTAGTTAATATATAGATGATAGATTTCAGAACTTCGTTAAACCATAGTTGAAAACAAACATACGGGTGTAAAGGTTGAGGTTCCCTTTCTTGTTGCCATAGCGACCAATAATATTGTTAAAAATCGATTATAGGGTAGTAGAATGACTGTAAAAGCATTAACTTTTTTTCACTCAACTATTTATTCTATTCAAATCATGATTCATCTGCACAGAGTTTTTCCAACACTTGTAAAGTTACATTGTTTATAATGGTTAAATATGGTTAAATAGTTGATTCTGTATATTTCTATTTACACAAAACGTGAATGCGAATCTAATGCTCAAAATCGTGCCTCAAAAACAATGAACTTATAAATTGGCCAAACATTCTTTATTTGGCAAAAAAGGATAGGCCAACTTCAATTCAGAAACTACATGTATATAATACTATGCAAAAGATGACAATTTACTTAGAATTCTAACCAGCGATGAATAGTTTTTAGTTGTTGAGATACTGTTTTAAGAACAATGTCGACAGTCACGTTCAGAACACTACTACATGTATATGAGTAGTATACATCTTTGTACACAATACAGTTTGCCAGTTATAAAATAAAATCCTTATACTAATGTTGCCAGTTATAAATTGTCCTAAATGTTCATAATTTCCTAGGTGCCCTATAGATGGCGTTATGCACCTACATCTTTTGGGTCCACACCAGACTGTATAGCCAAATTTCTCATCTCATCTGAAAAATTGAAAATAATACAGATTAGGAATTGCACGATTCCATATTAGTAATTCAATGTACATGCAAATACACATTGCTGAGAATCATTAGCCTGAGGGGTCTTGTTCACCAGCATACACTATTTTCAGGTATACAAGCTGATGATCTCCAAATCATTAGAGCTACCAGGTACTAGATCCTGCTGAACGTACTTGCAATCCTATTGAAATTCCATTTGCAACCAGTCATATTGATGAAAAATGAGATGTTTCACCCCTAATATGGAAAATTAGGATTTAGCACCCTATTAAAAGTATATTTTTTGTTCTTAATACTCATTTTTTTATTATTGAAAAAACATTGTAATAAAATGATTTTTTGGAGGCATTTCTAAATTTCAATACAGTAAAACTGAAATGAAAAAATCATCATCAGATATTACAAGATTCAAAGTAATTATGATAAAAGATACAAGTGACATACTTTTGGCACCAGCTTCTCTCTCAAGAGCGAGTCTTGCATCACGCTTGGCCCTCAACACAGACTGTCCCTCCTGGAACACAGCCTCCTTCTTCAACAGGCTATCTACAAACAAAATACATAGTACACAATGCAGAATGATTTGATTTGAATATTACATTGTCAAACAAAGACAAATGCATATACAGGGTGATATAAAAATGTAACCCTTTGATTTTAAAATCTTTTTCATTATAATAACTTCTTGATAGTTTTATGTAGATCAACAACTTTGCAATTTAAAAACCAAATGTTTTCCATCTAGTCATGCTCTTGTCTTCAGTCATCCAAAAAAGTTTTTTAAAAAAAACAACTACATGTATTTGAATTTGAGAATTTTAAAAAATAAATAAATACATAAGCGCAGAGATTACAGTAGGGTACTTACTATTATGTACATAACCATATCCGAGGCCTAAAGCTAGAGCAACCCATCTGCCAGTCTGGAAAGCACAATAATAACCTGAGATAAAGTCTATTTTTGTGACTTCATCTCTAACTGCATGAACAAACCCGAAGGTCTAATTATTAATATTGTACTCCCACTAATATTCAACACTATTACTGTTGGTTAACTTAATTTGGCGCAATTTAATTTGGTGAATTGGGCAAAATTGGTAAAGATTTATTTGCCGATTTTAGTAGCCCAAAGATAAATATCTGTGAAATTGGTGGATTTGACAAGAGTGAGCCAGAGTTCCGAATAACAGTCATTAAAATAAGCAAGGTGGATAAAAATTGAAAAAATCAATCACTGGATTAAAAATTTCCCAGGGATTGGTGAATTTTTGCAATTCGCCAATTCAAGGTGACTAACTAAACAGTATAGCAAGTCCCATGAAATATCTAACGAGTGTCACAAAACACTGATAGAAATTATGTCTCAAAATGGCCACCATAGACGTATTGCCAAAAGATAATCTGTCATTCTTGTATATTTACTAGGGATCCCATGACTGCTGGATGCACCATTATGTAATTGCTAGAAATCATTAAATTCCACATAAACTTAGTAGAAGATTTTTTCAAACCGATCGTAAACTTTTTAGCAACAAGCAGTTAATCTTATTTCAATAAGTATGCAAACATTTGTGATATTCGTAATATGGAAGATATCATTGGTCACTTAACATTCCTGAGGAATGGCATCATTTTTGAAATACGAGGAATATACATGTACAAAATGAAATTTACATGAAAACTGCTACTTATGTTAGCTCTACTAGAGTCCATTTCACTGCTTCATTTCGTCAGTAGAACGGCAAAAATAAGAAATTGGGAGACCATTGTGCAATAATATATGGAAAAGTATATTCATAATGTACATGAATGACATTTGTATATTTCAGATTTTTTAGTTTTTTGTGCAATAAGCCTGTGCCGTCTTGTAATTTGAAGAATTTCAGCCATGTTAATCTTATTGAAAATAACATGGCAGAGAAACATCCAAATATAAGAGGCCACACACTTTATAAGCCAAACTAGAAGCAATCCAAGATATACAAATGTCATTCATGTACATTATGAATATACTTTTCCATATATTATTGCACAATGGTCTCCCAATTTCTTATTTTTTCCGTTCTACTGACGAAATGAAGCAGTGAAATGGACTCAAGTGTTAAGATACTTTTACTGTTAGTAACTAAATACGCTGTGAGTCTATCGTATCATTTCCTTATTTTTCACTTTTCATGATCAAAGTTGTCACAAAATTCACATCCTCCTAAGCAGGTGTCCAGAATCCGTACCTCCTTCTTCCCCCCTCCTATAACCAATTTGGAAGTGCCCGATTTAACTGAATCATGTGATCTAATTATGCGCAATGACTTAAACATGATTTCTGTCGCAGTTTTGCGACAGCCAGATTGCGAGTTCTTAATCGGGGAAATGCTAACTGCTTATCACAGGGGGTAAAAAGAAAGAATATATTCTGGATTTTGAAGCCCTGTGATCGGGGGGATGCAAAAATCATTGTCAACATTTAACTATCGTTCGACGAGTTAGCAAAGAAATGCAAATGAAACATAATGCAAAAGTAGGCTCCGGTTTTTGAAATGGCCAACTTATTGCGCAAACTGGTCATGCTTCCAAGTTTTTCTGGACAGACAGAGGACGAATGGAGCCATTTTCTATCCCCTTCGTTCAATAGAGTTAACTACAGTTGGGGACAAAAATAAATGACAGGTCGATTTTCGATCACCATTTCCTAATTATGGTGGTCTGAAAGCCCATAATTTCCAATATTGTCTAGATACATATCCCTTAAAATTTGTATATTTTACATTTTGTATAACCTCATCCACTGATTTATGGCCTCTTGTAAATTCTCTTATTTTTAACATGGGAAATCCTCACTTCAGCAAATCCACCTGTCATTTATTTATGTCCCCAACTGTATATGTGAGGTACTATATTGTTGTTTTTAAATGGCAAGGAATTTCTTATTTGACTTTTGATTTCAGTGGTGATTTATAGCCTAATTTCTTCGGTACTAAAGTCCATTTCACTGCTTCATTTCATCATCATCATCATCATCATCATCATCAGATACTCAATTCTGTCAGATTTGACAATTTTATTGAGGGTGGCAAGATAAAAAGATTTGTGTATGTACAATTTAAAAGCAGGTTAAAAACAGTTTAAAACAGAGTGGGATCTTAGTTGGTCCTCTTCCTCAGGGCATCACGGTAGGCCTCGATGGTGGGTAGGCTTGTGACATCTCTGGGAAGGGCGTTCCAGTCCACAATTGTGCGGGGGAAGAAGGAGTATTTCAGGGAGTCTTTTCTGCAACTGTATAGCTGGTATGAATCTTGGTGGGCAGACCTGGTCAATCTAGTGGGTGGAGTAAGGTAGGTGGTGTGGCGAATGGCTACTAGGGCGTTGATGATCTTGTATAACATCACTAGTCGTTGGTGATGCCTTCTATCCTGGAGTGACTGCCATTGTAGCTGGTGAAGTATGGCAGTCATAGATCCAGGGTCACGACTGTAGTTGCCAGTGACATATCGAGCAGCACGATGCTGGACCATCTCAAGGGAGTGTATCTGTGTCTGTGTGTGAGGGTCCCATACGCAAGCACCATATTCCAATTTAGGCCTGACTATGGTGTAGTATGCCAAGGTCTTGCTTCTTGTGGATGCTTTCCAGAGATGACGTTGGAGCATCCCAAGTGATTGGTGTGCCTTCTTCACTGAGCTCTGGACATGGATGTTCCACTTCAGGTCTTCTTGAATGGTAACACCCAGGTACTTGGCAGATGGAACATGCTCAAGTGGGTGATGGTGCATTTGGTAGGGAAATCGTATGGGGTCTCGCCTCTGGGTGACGCTCAGGACATTACACTTGTCTGGATGGAATTTCATGAGCCAATCCTCTTCCCACCTCAGAGCAGCATCAAGGTCTTGTTGCAGGAGCTGGCAGTCTTCAGGTTTGCTGATTTCTCTGTAGATGATGGAATCGTCAGCGAAGAGGCGCAACTTGCTGTGCTGTAGGTACTCTGGGAGGTCGTTGATGTAGATCAGGAATAGGATCGGCCCAAGGACTGTGCCCTGAGGGACTCCGGAGGTAACAGGAGCACTTTCTGAGTGTTTACCCTCTAGGACAACCCTCTGAGTCCTGTCCTTTAGAAAGCCTTCTATCCATCTTAGGGTGTTTCCACGTATACCATACCTGTCCAGTTTGTGGAGAAGATGTCTGTGAGAGACTTTGTCAAAGGCTTTGGCAAAGTCCATAACCACAACGTCTGTCTGGATCCTCTTGTTGTCGTTTGAGGCCAGATCATGGAAGAATTCCACCAGTTGGGTTTCACACGACCTCTTCCCCCGAAATCCGTGTTGTAAGTCATACAGGATGTTGTTGTCTTCCAGGAATTGCATGATGGTACTTGCGATCACATGTTCCATGACTTTACAGCTGATGCAGGTCAAGGAGATGGGGCGATAATTAGATGGTTTATATCGCTCTACTTTCTTGAACACAGGAGTGATGTTAGCTAGTCTCCAGTCACTGGGGACTACGCCTGTGTCAAGAGATGACTGCATCACACGGGTGAGGGCTGGTGCAATCTCAACTGCAAGGTCTTTCAAGACACGGGCTGGTATGGAGTCTGGCCCACATGTCTTTTTAGGGTTGAGTTGTTGTAGTTGCTTCATCAAGCCCTTGCAGGAGATGGTGATGGGGGGCATCTGTGGGTTTTGGTTGGTTTCACTCACAGGTATGGTGTTGCCTGGATCAACAGAAAAGACACTCTGGAATTGGTCATTGAGGATGTTCGCCTTTGTTGTGTCATCTGTGACAAGTTTCCCATTGATCTTCAGGGGAGCAACACTGTCAGCGCTCTTCCGTAAGCTCTTTAAGTACGAGAAGAAGCGTTTGGGCTTTGGTGGTCTAGCACCAGGTTCAGTGTTGCTCTGGGAAGACACAGATATTACATCTTCAATGTAATCCCAGTAGGCTTTCCTGGTCTCTTTCTGGACAAGAGCTCTCAAGGCCTTGAAGTGCTTCAGATGGGTAGGTGACTGGGTTCGGTTGTAGTACGCCCGGTCTCGCTTCTTCATCAGCCTTTGCAGGTCACGTCTAATCCAGGGTGATGTTTCTCTAGCCCTGAGCGTCTTGTGTGGTATGTAACGCTTGATGGCTGAGCAGATGCCGTCTCTGAACTTAGACCAGATAGTGTTGGTATCAGTGTCAGGTGGGAGAGCACTGATTTCATCAGAGAGTGTAGTAGCATCTGCTTTCAGGGCATCCCAGTTGGCAGAGTTGAATTTGAGTATCTTCTTTGGAGGTGCTTTCTTCCTTGCTGGTACTAGGTTCACCTCTACAAAGAGGACATCATGGTCACTATCACCACACGGTGGGGCAGTTTGGACTCTATTGACAAGGTCTGGAGTGTCAGTGAGGAATAGGTCCAAGGTGTTTCGGCCCCTTGTGGGAATCTCTACCATTTGGGAGAGGTTGTGATCTTGAATGATGTCAGCAAAGCGTAGATGGAAATCACGATGCGGACATCCTAGTGGGATTTCTGGGCCACTGTCCCATGTGAAAGCAGGTAGGTTGAAGTCCCCGCTAAGCCACACATGACCATTGCGTTTGTTGGCGTTTGCAACGGCTTGGAGGGATGAGTCGAGGGCGTCAAGGCTTGGGGCATCGTTTGTGCGTGGTCTGTAGATGGTGGAGAGATACAGCTTCTTGGCACCGACGAGGTTGATTGTGGCCCACACAATTTCCTTGTAGTCTGGTGGCTCGAGCTCAGGTGCTCGTGAGCTCAAGAGTTCCTTAGTGATGGCAATTAAGGAACCACCATAAAATTTACCATCTGGGGCAGGAGTGTTACGATCCCCACGGTAAACTGACATTTCGTCAGTAGAACGGCAAAAATAAGAAATTGGGAGACTATTGTGCAATAATATATGGAAAAATATATTCATAATGTACATGAATGACATTTGTATATTTCAGATTTTTTAGTTTTTTGTGCAATTAGCCTGTGCCGTCTTGTAATTTGAAGAATTTCAGCCATGTTAATCTTATTGAAAATAACATGGCAGAGAAACATCCAAATATAAGAGGACACACACTTTATAAGCCAAACTAGAAGCAATCCAAGATAAACAAATGTCATTCATGTACATTATGAATATACTTTTCCATATATTATTGCACAATGGTCTCCCAATTTCTTATTTTTGCCGTTCTACTGACGAACTGAAGCAGTGAAATGGACTCTAGAATGAATCCGTGAGAAAAAAATTAAAAAACAAGATGAGAAATTTCTAGTCTACTTTTGTGATCCCGAAACACTACAAAAGCGACATGGGATTGCTCAATAATTCTCCATAAGATAACTTGATACACATTTATTGATTTGAATGTGAATTTGTGAGAAAACACTTGATACTTTACGAGAAATATACCTACTCTTATGAGAGACGAAACGTTTCGAGGCGCACCGAGGGTCGCCATTTTGGATCCAAGGTCAGATTATTATTCACTTTTCTTGATTTATTCGTTATATAACCACTCTGTTTAACATTTTTTAGAATAAATTGTAATTTAAAGACATATGAAGTAATGTAAATATATTGAATTTGGGATTTTTTTTCTAAAATCCACTTACTTACCAGCGAGATTTTACGAGATTAGACTTTTGAGAAAAACAAATGAAATGGCAGCTTCGATTTTGTTTTGGATTTTATCCATTTTATACGGGCCTGTTGTAATAGCATTTATCTGTGTAGTGGTATTAGCATCTGTTGGACAATCACTTGGCGTTAGACATCTTTTTACACAGTTCCTACTGTACATATTTGAGGTAACTAGAAAAACATATGTACCACTTTTATAGGGATGAAACTGAAAGTGAACTCTGAACTTTAGGTTGTTGTTCCAGATTTACTTTTTTCAGGATACAATATAAGCGATGTTTCATTTTACATCTGATATACAGCTCTCTTTTCTATGGTTGTGTTTATTAGTTTTGAAGAAAGTCGCGGATAGATCTAGGCTAGTGGGAAGTTTCAGAGTAAAAGTAAAAAATAATTCTCTATACTCTAATGCCTACTGACATGGGCGTAGCGCCAGGTACGCTGGGTATGCCCAGGCGTACCAGATGGTTCCAAATTCGCTCCAAATGCTACCAAATTTCAAAATTTTCCTGGAGGAAGAATACCCCAGACTCCCCTAAACACTATTTTTTTGCGTCATTCAACTCTCGGTCCTGTGGTGGCGTACTACTTAGGAAATTAGCGCAACAGCCATGAATGGATATGCATTTCATGATCTGATTGGTCCATCTGTGAAAGTAAGATGTAGCGCATCCCTTTTTCTGAATTTTGCATTACATTTGCAGTATTACCTTGGCCCATAGGCCCGGAAACATGTATAAAAATCTAGTCTAACTTAATATTAATGCATGTTCTCAGGCCTATGATCAGGATAGCAATAAGATCGAGGAATAGATTATTTTTTTTCCTATCATTTAGGGTGTTACATGTATCTAGGGTTGTTGTATGACTATTAGTGTTGCACATTGTACTTTTTGTGACTTCAGAAGTAATTTTAATCATAATATAAACCCCACGAAGAAAACAAGTCTATTATGTTCTAGCTGTACACATATTTTACTTTGTTTTATTTTACAGTTTGGAAGACAAAAGATCAACACAAGTAAAAAGAAAAGACTCTCAAGAGAGGAACAAGCAAAATATGAGGAATCCACGGTGCCAAATGGAGAGAGTATGTGTTTCACAAATAAGCTTTTATGACTCATTTGCTCTCATCATGAATAGAGAGATATACAACTGAACTAAAAATTCCCTTAACTAATACATGAAGTATTTAATCTCTGGATATCTTATTTGTCATCTTTTACTAGAAGGATTTGATTTGATGAAATCATCCATTTAGTCGCTTCTTTGTTATAGTGTAATATTGAATTGTGAAATTTATTTGGTAATATGAAAACTAAGTAGCACCATCATAACTTCAAAAAAACATTCATGAAAACTGATGCATGTAGTATTATAGTCTTGTGACATGATTGCATTGTTAAATGTCCATACAGTAAAACATATCCGACAGAACACCTTTTTGTAAAGAATGCCTGTTTACCTGGAACAGATTTCAAAACAACCAACTATTTTCCATTGACTATCAGGTTAACCAATCCTCTCTGTAGGGAACATATTTCTACTTTGAACAAGGAACTGGCCAAAACTTTAAAAGTCTCTGTAGGGAACACCTGTCTACAAGGAACATTTTTTGCTAATCTGGAGAGTATTCCTTGTTCACAGGTTTACTGTATATAACTTAAAATGTTTAATGTTCCAGGTGTGTCCGTTATTGAGAGAGAAATCAGCTTATCAGCCACAGAAGGTATTCAGATAGAAAACCAGAGGTCTCTTGAGACAATGCAAAGAGAATTTCAGATTGAAGATGCAATGTATTTCTGTAAAAGTGGCATCGGGGCAATAATTGAAGATGATGTCACACAGAGATTTTCAACTGAAGGTAATGCTATTTCAAAGCCATGTTAATTACAACTTTTATACAAATTATTATATATACAGTCAATCATAAATTCAAAGAATTTTTTTGATCAATAGATGCAATGTTTTCTCATTATGATCAAGATTCTCTGCCATCAAGATATCAAGAAAACTTTCATCATTTTAACTTGAAATCTAAAGATGCAAGACTACTAACCTCAAAATCTGATTTGCTTTTTGGGATGCTGAATAATTTAGAATTGGCAGTTTTGCTCTTCAAGTGCGGTATTTATCCTTCTGCGTCTTGTTTTCAGAATTGCCATCATGGAATCTACTTACAAGAACTAATATGAACTATAGACATTTGAGTGTCCGGCTCACAGTGTTGTATGCTGTAGGATTTCTATTCAGATATGGATTCCTTTTTCCATTTAGGTAAACAAATTTATAAGAATATTGTTTTTTGGGTTTTTACCCCAGCCTAATTGGTCAACAAGTGACTCCTGATACAACTATCCAAGTATACATTCAAAAGGGAAAGATTTGTAAGGCCTTAGCGTTGAATCCTAAAATATAAAAGCAATAGCATTGGCATATTCAAAGTGAATGAAAATAAGAATATATAAAAAAAATTCTGAAATGCGTGCCCTGAAAACGTTGCCTTGAAATCATGATTCATAATTCTTTTTGTTTAAAGTTAAATTTTATTGAAAATATCAATACTGAAACATAACTATTTAGTAACAACTGTGTTATTCTTTTTCAGATTCCTCCTTGCATTTTTTGGCATAAGCTACTTAATAATTTGTATGTCATTAATAGGATACCTTCCCAATGGCAGGTGAGTCAGCCTTTATAGGTAGTGTGGTTGCTAGCGTATGTTTGTAACAAACAAAAAATGAAGAGGGCAACATAAAAAAATGCCAATGCATGTATGTACTCAAAATGAACAATAACCTATCTTTGAATAAAATTAACACAAATTCTAGTTATTTAACTTTATCTTAGGTTAGAAATCATTGTCTTATCAATTATGTACAGTAAAACCTTGAACACAAGTGGAACACCTTACGCAGGTACCTCTAAAATTGTTCCACTTGGGAGGTGTTCCATTTATAGAGGTTTAAAATTAAGTCAGTTGGTCTAGGTACTGTGAAATGTGTTCCACTAACAGAGGTGTTACACTTCAAGAGGTGTTCCACTTTATAGATTCATTGTAGTAATTAATAAACATAAAAATATGTTTCTATATGAACCCTCATAAAATTACTAAGTTCAAATTAAAGTAATGTTTTGGGTTAGGGATGGTGTCCAAATGTCAACGGTTATGGAAAAATGAAATAAATTCTGTGAGACGGAGAGAATAATGTTGATTTCAAATGAATGGTAAAACTGCCTTTTCACATTTCACTACTGGGCGTCCACAAAAAAAGTATACCCAACTTCAAAGCCAGGATACAAGAATTCTGAGCAATTTTTAAAAGAACATTTTGAGACAATCCCTACATATTAATGTTAATATGTTTGTTTATGTTAACATGTACACGGGGGTGAAGCAGACACGATGGTACCATGAGCATTTGAGGAGCCATGTTAAACTGAACATACTGCCAAGCTCACTAATACATTAAGCCCCTTGACACAGCTACTGAGCAAGCTCATGATATCACCAAGTCTGCTTTACCCACATGATATACATGTGTTCAAATTGATGATTGTTTTGAAGGATGAAACGTACGATAGTCAAACTGGCCTCTCTCATGTGTAACCGTATTTGTACTAGATGTTTCTCTTCTGTTGTGAGGTTTCACAACCCGTGAGTAGCTAAACTCTTCCTGATTTTACACAACCTTTGAAGCTGCTAGGTAACACCCGACCTTCACTTGTTTTTAAGATTATGCACAACCTTACAGTAAGGCTCTCATTAGCTAAGGATATGGTATTTTTCTTTTATAGGACCTTCTCTGGAACCATGAAGTGATGTGCGAGAAAAATATGCTCCAATCTTGCCTTAACCCCTCCCCCCTTTAAATAAGTTAAATTATGACTGAACTAATGATTTCAATATTTTTGATTGATTCAAAGTTGGGGCAGTTATTGGAGACATTATTATTCACAAATTACAGAGATTATTGGCTTATTACATATAAATGAGTTCCTCTCGGGCATTATGCTTTTTTTTCCAGCAGAATTTAACAGAGCAGAAATTCTCCTCCCCTAATCAATATACATGTAATTACCCCATACCTGATTTCCACACAAAACTAGATAAGTACCCCCTCCTTGCTGCTTGCAGGTTTAAATCCACTGTCGTTAGATATGTCAGCCTACAATGCTTTAGAATCTGTTCGAGAGCTTTTGGGTCAGTTATAAGATTTCATAATAGGTAAGAATATATCACTTGGCAGGGCTTCAACAAGGCTTTAAAACTGAGTCATTGCCCCATATTTCGATTCACGGGTCATATTTCCACTTTGTTGACATGGCAACATAATGTGATTCATGATTCATTTGCAAAATAAAAAATGTGATAAAATTTAGAATTTTTCACAAAATGTTCCTCAATGAAACCATGGGAAATAGTATTGACAACTGTACTAGTAGACTATAGATAAGATTTGAATATAATATAACACATTTTGATCACATTGTACCCGAGATGCTATTATGATGTAATTCATGAATCTTTTGCGAAACAAAATATGATAAAAATGTTCACAAAACATCCCTCCTATTAAACTTAAACAATGACAGCTATACTAGACATGATTTTAATATAAACAGTGCACCTGTGACTCTATTCATACTCATTTTGATTTTTTTCCAGAGAGAACAAAGCCAAGGGTGGTGGAATATGTGTTGCCAATCATACTTCACCTATTGATGTTATCATTCTTTCCACAGATAATTGTTATGCAATGGTAAGTGCAATTTATGTTATACCTATATTTCCAATGTTTGTAAATTCACATACGACACCATAAGCTGCATATATCTTCTCTAGTAAAGCCTGACCATTGAACCTACATGTATTTATAGTATTTTAGAAATGAATTGATGAAAGATAAAATATTCAGCACAAATATTTTTTGTGACAGGCACTCATAATTCAAACTATTCTGAAAAATAGTTGATCATTGTTATTGTAGGAAAACTAAATGAAAATTTATCAATAAAAATAATTGTTTTAGATTTTAGAAATGAAAATGATTGGCTTGATTTCTAGGTGGGTCAGAGCCAGGGTGGTTTAATAGGTATGATCCAAAGGGCAATGGGCAGGGCCACATCACACATTTGGTTCGAGCGTTCAGAAGCAAAAGATCGTAACCTGGTCACTAAAAGGCAAGCAGCTGATTGCGAAAATTTACACAACTGTTTGCTGTGCTGTGCTATAGCTGTAACATGATATATAATATATGCTATACCTTTAGGTGGTTGACCATATGCTCTAAAGCTTATGACATGTGAATCTTGTGACATAAAATGTTTGCAGTGTCAGTCGATAACCATCTCATCAGTGTACCCTTGATTTCTTCAGAGATTCAATTTTTCTGATATATTTGTTTAATACTTGGACATTGTTGAATTTAGTGAAGCAGGGTGGGTGCTTATTTGGGGGGGTGCTAAATACAGTGATTATGGTATATACTTTGCACAATAAAGCTAAACATGATTTAAAGCTAACATGTAGCTGAGCATCTCACACTGCAAAGGTTTTCTCCTATTCTATCTGCTTTCAGCATTTAAACCTTAATTTAGGTCTAAAAGATCTCATGTTTGACAGCTTTAAAGTTCCATGAGCATTATGATCTTGTAGTTAACACCTTATTTCTGTATTACTTAAACTAGGTTGTAAGAGCAGTGGCTTTGCTTGTGACTTAAGTGGAGTGGAGTGACTGCTATAAAGCTACCACATTCTTCCCAGTACATGCAGATGAACAGTGCCTTTGTTTATGCACTGCGCCTTTGTCTGAGTAGGAGGACTTTGCCTCAGCCTAAATAAATGCACTGTGCCCTTTAGTATATGCATTGTGCCTCTGTCTAAGTATATGCACTGTACATCTAGGTGTATGCAGTGTGCCTCTAAGTACATGCGCTGTACATCTAGGTTTATACACTGTGTCTCTAGGTATGTACGCTGTGCCTCTTTCCCAATAGGTAAAGATGCAAAGTGCATTTTCCTTAATATATACACGGTGTCTCTTCAGTTTAGATGCACAGTACCTCTGTCTCAGTATATATTGAGTGCCCTTTTCCTTATAAATGCTCTTACCAATTTAGATGCTCAGTCCACTGTCCCAGTATATATTGAGTGACCCTTTCCTTATAAATTCTCCAACCAATTTAGATGCCCAGTCACCCTATCCCAGTATATATTGAGTGCCATTTTCCTTATAAATGCTCCAACCAATTTAGATGCTCAGTCCCCCTATCCCAGTATATATTGAGTGCCATTTTCCTTATAAATGCTCTAACCAATTTAGATGCTCAGTCCACTGTCCCAGTATATATTGAGGGCCCTTTTCCTTATAAATGCTCCAACCAATTTAGATGCTCAGTCCCCCTATCCCAGTATATATTGAGTGACCCTTTCCTTATAAATGCTCCAACCAATTTAGATGCTCAGTCCCCCTATCCCAGTATATATTGAGTGACCCTTTCCTTATAAATTCTCCAACCAATTTAGATGCTCAGTCACCCTATCCCAGTATATATTGAGTGACCCTTTCCTTATAAATTCTCCAACCAATTTAGATGCTCAGTCACCCTATCCCAGTATATATTGAGTGCCATTTTCCTTATACAGGGTGTCAAATAAGTCCCGTCCCCCCTCTACAGCCAAAACCAAGACATTTGGTACCAAGTGTGATATATCATTGGAAAGGTCTTCCAAAGTTACGTTGATTGGCATATATCTGACTCATGTCAATCAATCTCACAAATTTTTACATTGTATCAATTGAGGTGATCATATGCCTAGAAACATGGCAATTTGGCGTGTTTGGCAGGATTTTAAGAATCGAGTATAAGAAAGGTCAAGGGACCAAAAGATGACTAAATATGTTTATGGCGATGAATTTAACCAATTTCTGGATAGGGTGCCTCTACCCAGGGTAGATATTTTTCAATGATGCAGAAAATGCATTGCTTCTGGTTCAGGAAATGCATTGTGCCTCAGTTACAGTAGATGCATGACAAGAGCCTCTGGTGCATTTCTATTGAAAGCTTGCCTCAGATTGATACAACATTTTAATAACATCAGAGAGGTAAACTGTGCATATTTTGGGAAGAATTTTGCATATAATCTTTAATAATGTTCAAGGAGGATTGGCTCCCAGAGTGTAACATCACTATTTTTGCCATATATGGGCATGTCATGATGTCAAAATTCGAATTTAAACAGCCACCATTTTGTTCACTTCAACATTTGAATCATGAATTTTGGTCTTACTTCCAAACGGAAAATTTGGAAAAATCACAAGAAATGATTCAGATATTGGTTCTAATCTTTTGGACTGAATGTTTTGAATATATAGATGGTTGTAATTTCAGAAAATAACGAGATTTTGACATTTTCATTGTAGGAAAGTATTGAGTTGTAATCCTTGGAGCCAATCCTCCTTCAATAATGTTGGTCAATTTGATATATTTGACCAAATCACTACTAAATTGAAAGATTCCATTAAAATAGTTGTGTGTACCTTTAGCCAATGTACTCATTTTCTATTTAGGTTGTCCATATGTACTTGTGTGACACTCCTTTAATTTTCTTCCCTGCATAAATCGAATAGAACACTACTGTATTATGCATAATTTGTGAGAAAGGATTAAAGCACATTAGCTTGAAGTGATGCAGGATGAAATATTGGAGTGGGGAGTTCTTTATACGATTTAATTTCTAGGTCAAGATACAAAGGGAAGATACTGGTTGTGTTTATTCTTGGAAATAATCACAGTTTATTTATCTTTGTCCATAAATAAGACCTATTTACCTTTTGGAAAACTGAACACTGCTAGACTAACATAATATGTAATTATGTACAGCGAGAGACCAATAAAAACCTCTTTGGTGAGCCTTCAGGCCCATAGCCAGGGGGTTTTGGGTTTCGATAGGTTCGACCAAATCCCTTCCTGGCCAAAAATTCTTTCAAAATAATGCAGTTTTTCACCATTCTGAGCACTAATAAGTGATTTTGGACCAAAATTGTCAAAACTGAACTCCCCCTGGAATTTTTCAAAAAGTGAACCCCTTTTTGCAAATCCTTGCTACGGGCCTGGCCCTCCCCTTCCTTGTGTACTTAGTTAGTCTCTATATTTTTTATACTGTAGGTTTATGTATTTTTTTCATGAATTTGTATAAAAAGAGTACATAAATTGTTGAGCCTGCATCCTTTGAATACAGGGCTCTGAAATTCATGTTTTTGATTTTCGAGTCTTGCTGTTGGAGGATGATTCTTCCTCATGAAGCAAAAGTGTTTTAAGGCAGGCTTGGGTGATTAACATTGCAGACTAACATCATTCCTGACAGGTACAAAAAGCATCTTACTCTACTCTCCTTAAAACAAGAGGTTTGGTGCTTTGTGTCTTACAGGTAGGCCAGATCCATGGGGGAATAATAGGTCTGCTCCAATGGGCCATGAGCAGGGCCACTCATCATGTATGGTTCCAAAGGGAGGAATCAAAAGATAGATCTGCTGTTGCTAAAAGGCTAGTAAAGCACTTAGAAGCAGCCATCTTTATTGCATGCATTTGGTTGGGAATCTTCAGTTTTAGCATGTACATGTAAACATATAGATTGCACAGTTTTTCTTTATACCTTTTCATGGTGTTTTCACTTTTGGTATTATATACACTGTACCCGGGACACTGTAGTTAGGCTAGTAAATTCTTTACTTAACATTTACATGCATTTTTGTTGTAATTGTAGAAGGATGATGGAGCAACGCTTGTTTATTTTTTATTTTTCTTCCTTCTAATTGCTTCAGCCTATGTAACAAGGTACATGTACAACTAATATTTTCTCAGCAGAAATACTGGGTGTTCATAAAAAGTTATACAGAATAATCCTGTTGGTGAAGGTGGAACACCCAGTATTCAATTAGTATTATTTAATGGCCTGCCATGCTATATGGTCTCATCTTACTTCGATTGTTTTCTTTTCATTTTATTTGATGTTTCATATGGTTTATAGAATTAGGCTTTAATTAATATATTAGTCACTTTATTTTAGTACATACAATTACAATCAATTTGTCATGTAAAAATTGGATCAAATGGAAAATGTAATACAAAACTTTGGAGATGAAAACTTTGTCTTCTTTACCTTTGGTTGTTGTAATGTACATCATGTGATTGTTAAATCGTAATGTCTCATATTTCCTGTGTTTTATGTCACCACCAGAAGTGGCGACATATTGTAATAGTCTCCAACTTTTTTGGGGACAGTGGTTGGCATTCGGTGGTCAGCATCTGTAACAAATGACAGGTGGTGACATTTTGCATGTTACTGCCTTGGTGAGTTTTTTCTGACATCTGGGTTGTTATCAGGGTCACATGTTTTCCCATTAATCATCGTTATAATATACTACATTAATTTCTATTGTACCATATATTGTTAATTAGTTTACATTTGTTAAAATTATATCTAGAATTTGAAACTTGTGAATGAGCTATCCCTTAGCTTGTAACATGATCAAAACCTGAAGTGTAAATCTGTCTTTTTATCATTTTATTTGTCACTTTTATGACCACATGATAGACCAAAAATGGAGTGAAAGTATTTGTTTCAACACGTGCACTATAAATTGATTTAAATGCTTCTTTTTCAGGTTAAAAGACCATGTTGAAGATAAAGATAAATGGCCTATTCTCATCTTTCCAGAAGGTGAGGTATTCTTCAAAATATTATTACTAAACTTCTAGCCCATGTGATATATGTAATGTCTTAATTCTTGTCACATAGTTGCATAACCTTAGACACCAAACAAGCATACAAAAACAGTTTGATGCATGAATCGTCAAAACTGGAAGTTAAAATATTAAGTTTGTACAGCCTTATTCTATTTAAAGTACAATCATATATACAGTAGTTGCATTTTTATTCAGAAACTGTATTAAAGAGTGACAACCATCAATAATATTTTATAATGTATGTAATATTTTCTTCTAGAATCTTGTCTCTGAGATATTATTCAAAAAGTAAAGCAACGAATTCAAATATAAAACAATCGTCCAGTTACATATAACAATAATATTTTATAATGAATGTTATATTTTCTCCAAGAACCTTGTCTCTGAGATATTATTAAAAAAGCAACAAATTAGAATATAAGTTAATTTTCCATTAACAAATAGATTCATAAACTTTGGCTAATTAAGAATATGCAATATTATCAATGTAAAGCATGTTATGTTCTATTTACAGGCACTTGTATTAACAACACATCTGTAATGATGTTTAAAAAAGGAAGCTTTGAAGTCGGAGGAGTCATCTATCCTGTTGCAATTAAGGTAAGACTTTTTTACAACAATTATATATACAGGGTGAGCCCAAAAATGCAAACAAATATTGTGCTGTCATGTACATCGCATATTAGCATATTGGTGGTAGGCTTGAAGGCATGTCAATTGAGTATATATAGATCCTTGTTGGCATATAGTGGTCTTTGAGTGTTTTAGCAACATCTTTCAAGGGGCTTGTTCAGCCTTACTAATAATTCTTGAGTGTTCAAGCACATTAACAGCGTGTTAATTAGACAGTCTTGAAGGAATATCAGTGAGGTTGTTCTAGCCAAATTAATACATCATGGACTCCTTGAGTATTCAAGCACATTTACAGCGTGTTGGTAATTTGACAGTCTTGAAGAAATATCAGTGAGGTTGTTCTAGCCAAATTAATACATCATGGACTCCTTGAGTGTTCAAGCACATTTACAGCGTGTTGGTAATTTGACAGTCTTGAAGGCATACCAAGGAGATTGTTGAAGCCATACTAATACATGGAAGATCCTCCAATGTTCTTGGCATTTCTTTAACCATGGAGGTCCGCATGTACTCTCTGGTCTGAAATGTAGAATGTGTAATTTACATGTATTTTTGTTTATATGTACATGTAGTTTATATGTAACTCTAACCACAATACCTATATTAACGATTTTCTCATTCATACATTAAGTAACTTAAACTAAAATTCCTAGGTCTAAGGCTGATAAGGGACATTTCTAGGTCTAAGACTGACTAGGGACATTTCTAGGTAAGATCTAAGGCTGATAAGGGGCATTGCTAGGTCTAGGCAGACTAGGGACATTTCTAGGTCTAAGGCTGATTAGAGGCATTGCTAAGTCTAAGGCTGATTAGGGGCATTGCTAGGTCCAAGGCTGATTAGGGACATTCCTAGGTCTAAGACAGACTAGGGACATTTCTAGGTCTAAGGCTGATCAGAGACATTGCTAGGTCTAAGGCTGATTAGGGGCATTGCTAGGTCTAAGGCTCATTAGGGACATTCCGAGGTCCAAGGCTGAATAGGGACGTTTCTCGGTCTAAGACTGACTAAGGATATTTCTAGGTCTAAGGGTGATTAGGGACATTTGTAGTTCTAAGACTGACTATGTACATTTCTAGGTCTAAAACTGATGAGTGGCATTTCTAGGTCTACTGCTGATTAGGGACATTTCTAGGTCTACTGCTGATTAGGGACATTCCTAGGTCTAAGGCTGATTAGGGACATTCCGAGGTCCAAGGCTGAATAGGGACGTTTCTCGGTCTAAGACAGACTAGGGACATTTCTAGGTCTAAGGCTGATTAGAGGCATTGCTAGGTCTAAGGCTGATTAGGGGCATTGCTAGGTCTAAGGCTGATTAGGGAAATTCCGAGGTCCAAGGCTGAATAGGGACGTTTCTCGGTCTAAGACAGACTAGGGACATTTCTAGGTCTAAGGCTGATTAGAGGCATTGCTAGGTCTAAGGCTGATTAGGGGCATTGCTAGGTCTAAGGCTGATTAGGGGCATTGCTAGGTCTAAGGCTCATTAGGGACATTCCTAGGTCTAAGGCTGAATAGGAACGTTTCTCGGTCTAAGACTGACTAGGGATATTTCTAGGTCTAAGGGTGATTAGGGACATTTGTAGGTCTAAGACTGACTAGGTACATTTTTAGGTCTAAAACTGATGAGTGACATTTCTAGGTCTACTGCTGATTAGGGACATTTCTAGGTCTACTGCTGATTAGGGACATTCCTAGGTCTAAGGCTGATGAGGGACATTCCTAGGTCTAGGGCTGACCAAGGACATTTCAAGGTCTAATGCTGACTAGGGTCTGAATGAACTTGGGTTTAGATTAATTAGATTATTCTGGGTCCAAGTTGACTTTGGTTTGAGTTAAACAGCAACCTGTAATATATTATCTATAGTGTTATCTTTATCATCTCTCGATTAAGCTTATAGCATTTAAGTAAAAGTCCAACTCATACAAAATACTTCTTTCAAAAAGACATGTAAATACCTGCATAATCCAACTGTAAGTAGTTGGTACTGGCCAAGGTGTTCTAAATGCACAACTTCGAAAGTTCCATTGTTTGTATCGATGACCTCATCCAGTTGCCAATAACAGTCGATTCTGCAAAATAACGGGAAAATAACTTAGAAAACAGGTTGATTGTTAGACAACACAATAGTATAAATCCCTATACGCAATTAATATTTGTAAATAGTGTATGAAGTCAAATGAAGTTGAATCATTATTATGCTTTGCCATGGACCACAGTTATTACCCAGATTAATGATACCAAGAGCTTGCTCAGCAGTATCGTAATATAAGGCACAGGGATATATGTATTAGGCTATATATGATCCTCAAATGATCATGGTGTGTTGAGGTCTGTTTAGTACCCCTATGAATTGTTGAAGGACAATAGTTCAGTTTAACATAGTCAACCAATGAATAACTCTACAGAATTAGTTATACTATTTTTTACAAGATAAATGTGTCATAAATGTGTTTTTAAATATATTTAATTAATCATTACTATTGTTTAGTCTTGCTTGAAGCCCTTTTGACCCCCTCCCTCCATGTGACACACTTCACCTCAACTAAGTTGATTGGGAAGGAGAGGTTCCATGTAGGTTTGACTCGAGACTATTAACTAGATTCTATAAACATATATTGAATGCCCATGATTATATTAAAAACATTAAAATCTTGTTACTTTATTTTTGTAAGGTTTTTGAACTGTCTGTGACTAAACAATTTAGAGTATTCAAGATCCATATTTTTTGAAAGGTTTTTGAACTCCACATGACTAGACAATTTAGAGTAAGCGTACATGTTTTTTTTTTAAATTACTTACGTGTCACAGCATCTATCTTGAAATGGAATTCGTCTTATTATTGAATGCGTTTCAAGTCTTTCTGTCACTTGCATATCAGGTCTGCCTGGTCTTTCTGTTGTCATGATCGAGTTGTTTTGCTGTTTGATTATCTTGACGTCTGCTTTTTGTAACTCTGAGAAAAGACCTGGCATCAGGTCGGCCATCTTGGATTGTCTTTCAATTTTATTTTTCCAAGGATTTAAATCAGAATTCGGAGCCATTCTCTGTGATGATGGAACAATAAGTAAAGAAAATAATAAAATGTGAAGATACATATTCTTGTTTCTCGAGTCAGATCAGATCTTAAGCTCACAAAGTCGCAAGTTTACACTCCTTGTTAAAGGTCCAATAATTTGTACATTTATCCGTCTAGATTTTTCCTTGTCTTTCTCAGTTTGAAATGATTTGTACCTCTGTTTATATTTCTTTTATAGGGATGTTTATCAAGATGTCAGTGGCTTCAAGCACTCTGAATATTTTTGGGTTGAATTCATACTTAATTTATTCTGTATCATGATCTAAGTACAGTAAAATCTGTCTAATTCGAATGCCACATTTCAAGGTTTTTTCAACCTGGTAATCTATGACAGCTTCAAATAATGGGACTGAACATTCACATTAAGAGGTGTTCATATAAGAGAAGTGTACAGTTATACAGGTTTTACTGTAGTCCCAATTACTATACGTAGATTGTATTCATATTAAATAGAACAACACCAACAATATTTTATTAACTTTATTTCAAAGAAAAACAATTTGAATGAATGTTGTTTTCTCAGTATTTTCTTTGATTTCTAGCGAGTCATATTTATAGCATCTTTTGGGGCTATATTGTATTTTCCCTTTTATTCCTTGCTAGGATTGGATGATTGTGCTATTTTGAATCATTTTCCTTTTAGCTGATCTGACGTAACATCATTTCATTGGTTCGTAAAATCACTGGCAGCTTATGGGCATTAGATAATATTCAATCTATTTCATGACTTCATTTATGTCTTTGGGGTATTGTATTATTACATATTGTATAGTATTGATAGATGCAATGACCAATGAATATTTTCATTATGTTTATTCACTATGTAAATATTTTGATGTATTTTTATAAGAAAATGTTCAAAATCAAGTGGGTGTTTTCAAATATAAAGTATATTCAACTTGAAAAAAAGGCTAAATACCAAACAGAAGAAATTCTTAGAATACTACATCATCTATTCATTGCCTTCACTGGGTGTAAAGAGGTACATTGATTATGAGATGACAAATTACTTATGTTATACTGGTCTATGTATATGACTACCTAGTTTAATAGAGATCCCCTCGTGCTGAATAATCTGACTTAGGTTTGATAGAGCATCCCACATACCTTTTAATCACACTCTAAAAGCATGCTATATAGTAGTCGTCTTGTCCTGATTGACGTGTGTGTCTATCTGGGTGGGCAGGTGCCATATCAACCTTGTCATCAAAATTGTAAGAAAAATGCCTTTAACTTGAAATTTTTACAGATGCAAGAGCAGACTAGTGCCAATATTAGCTTTTACATAAAAGGAAAATACTTAGTTAAGAAATGTGCATTAAAAATTGCAAGGGATTTTGTAAACAAATTCCTAATTTTTAGTTGAATTGAATGATGTAATTTCCCAGTGAATGTGGGATCCTTAAGTATAAATGAATGAAGAATCTTCAGAGTGGTATACAGGAACCAACTGTACTGATGCATAGATACACCAATAAGATAGCAAGTGCCAAACAATCTACAGTAAAACCTGTATATCTGAATACCTCAATCTGAACACTTTCTCTTTCCCACTTTTGTTATCTCCCATCGACTCAGATATTAAGAAACTTCAATATCTGAACACCCCAGGGGGGGGGACTGCTCAAATTTTTGAACAGGGGGTGCCACTGAGACTCAATGTATCTATCTACATCTAGGAATTTTTTCTTCAAAAATAGACTAGCTTCAAGGTAATTACCCCCCCCCCCCCCTGGATGAACACCTGCTGATCTGAACACTTGAAAACCTGTCTAATCCAAACACCACCAGGACCAGTCTTAGTGGTGTTCAGATTAAACAGATTTTACATATTAATTGTGACCTACCATCTAAGACACCATAAAACAAGAGCCAATATTTCATTTTTCATTTTTTATTTATTTACATCTATTACTTGTTCAACGTGCGAATAATACATGTAATGTGAGAAATCATCACCTATTTTTCTGCAATGATTCTATTGTAATGTGCAAATATTGAAGAAAAAGAATTATATGTGATTATTTCTGCCTCAACTCTACATCTGAACTCTTTATATCTATTTATACATTGCAGTGTATGTGCTTAGATCGGGGCTTAGATATATAATTCTCAAGTTGAGATAATAGGTAAAAATAAATTTTTATACAGATTAATAATAATATGTCATTTCATGACATTGTATAAGTCAAAAAAAGATATGTACTTGTACTGTACATGTTGTATTTACAATCCAGGGGTGTTTAAGCATATTAACAGTATGTTTAACTTTCTGGAAAGTTTATGAGAGAGAGTTGTGAAGCCCTATTTAAAGTTGATTTTTTCTTGAGTGACGAGCACTTTTGTACCTGTGTTTGCATTATTTGATAGTCTGGAGATGTTCCAGAGAGATTTGTCAAACAAGCCTTTACCATCTTGATTCACAAGGTTTTAGTTGTTTCTACCTCTCTAGACCCAGTAGAAAGCGATGTTGAGGCTTTACAGTGTTGAAAGTGATTTACATTGTGTTGGTTATATAGAAAGTATACTAGAGGAAAATGTCAAGTCCTACTTATACATCATGGTCCTTGAGTGTTCAAGTACATTTACAGCGTGCTGGTAATTTGACAGTCTTGAAGGCACACCAGGGAGATTGTTGAAGCCAAACCAACACGTGGTAGGTCCTCATATGTTCTCGGCATTTCTTGTAGGACCAAAATATAAAACCACAGTAACTGTGTTGTCTGAAATGTACAGTGCACTAATATACCCAAATTGAAGATAATGTTGGAATAATAATTTTAAAAAATACTTATTGTTATTGTTATTGTTATTCAATCATTTCATTTTATTTCATCATTGTGTGTTGTATTTAAGAATAAAGTTATACTCCTTAATACAAAATACATTGCAACACATTATTTATCCATAAGTACCTGCATAATCCAACTGTCAGTAGTTGGTACTGGCCAAGGTGCGCTAAATGTACAACATCATAGGTTTCTCCAGCTGTATCGATGATCTCATCAAGGAGCCAATAACTGTCCACTCTGAAAATAAGTTAATAAGTCACAGTTATGTTAAATAAGGCTATACAAGTTACGATGCTGATATATCTGACACTCTGACATTCTATCTTGGATTAAGCTTTCTACTGAATAAAAAATATTTTAGTTGTAACTTCATTTTTTAGATGGCATATAATAAAAAAAATCAAGCATACTTATACTTACGTTTCACAGCATGAACTATAAAACGAATATGAGATTTTTCTCTGTATTTGTGCTGGCATTGTAGGTGTTTTAATTTTAGTACTATGCATTTTTTCTCTTATTAACAAGTTGTTTTTTTGCTTGATTATAGTCGCATCCCGGTTTCCCAGTTCTGAGAAAAGTCCAGGCATTAGTTCCAGTATCTTGTGTTGTCGTTCACTTTTATTTTTCCATTGATTTAAAACAGTTTCACCAGCCAAAGATGAAACAATGAATAAAGAAAATAAGAAAATATGGCAATACAACATATTGTTCTTGCTTATCAAGATGATCCACGATATATTTTCAACCTTCACGCTTCTCTGTTAGTAAAAACTCTACAATAATTTCTATATTCATCTGGTTTTATAATTTTTAAACTTCCTTATTCTTTTATAGGGACCGTGTCAAGTTATCAACACTTGTGGAACAACAAAGTTAATTTTGTAAAGGGGAGGAGGTAAATCAGGATTCTATTAGTGGAGAGTGTTATTTTATGAATATTCAAGTGAAAGACAAATCAGCATTTTAAAATGTCATATGAGGGAGGGGGGGAAACTAAACGGAATGGTTAACTTCATTTTTCCACAACTTTTTGGACACCATCCCTTATGTTTCTCTATTTTGTTTGTGTTGTTATGTTTCATTATGCCAGGTTTTTATAATTTTATTTTCAACTTCCTGGTCAATATTTGCTTCTATTTTGATGGTGTTTTCATGTCCACCATTGTTATGTCACCACCAAAAAGTGGTGACATATTGTTATGGTCTCCGTTTTTTTTGCGACGGCGGTTGGAGGTTGGCGTCCGGCGTCTGGCGTCCGGCGTCTGTAACAATTTCTTACAACTTCCTATAACTTAACAAATACTGTTTAGACTGACTTCAATTTTTTTCTAAATCATCTACATCTTCTCAGAAGTTCAAATCTGACTTTAGATTTGACATTTGACCTTCAATGACCTTCTCAAGGTCAAAAAGGTCTTTTTTCAACTTACTTCACATTGACTAAATCTTTTTTCAAAATCATCTACATGTTCTCAGAAATTCAAATCTGACTTTAGATTTGACATTTGACCTTCAAATCTGACTTTAGATTTGACATTTGACCTTCAATGACCTTCTCAAGGTCAAAAGGGTCTGTTTTCAACTTGCTTCAAATTGACTAAATTTTTTTTTCAAAATCATCTACATGTTCTCAGAAATTCAAATCTGACTTTAGATTTGACATTTGACCTTCAATGACCTTCAATGATTTTTTTCAAAATCATCTACATGTTCTCAGAAATTTAAATCTGACTTAAGATTTGACATTTGACCTTCAATGACCTTCTCAAGGTCAAAAAGGTCTTTTTTCACCTTGCTTCATTGCTTCACATTGACTAAATTTTTTTTCAAAATCATCTACATGTTCTCAGAAATTCAAATCTGACTTTAGATTTGACATTTAACCTTCAAATCTGACTTTAGATTTGACATTTGACCTTCAATGACCTTCTCAAGGTCAAAAAAGGTCAAAAAGGTCTGTTTTCAACTTGCTTCAAATTGACTAAATTTTTTTTTCAAAATCATCTACGTGTTCTCAGAAATTCAAATCTGACTTAAGATTTGACATTTGACCTTCAATGACCTTCTCAAGGTAAAAAAAGGTCAAAAAGGTCTGTTTTCAACTTGCTTCAAATTGACTAAAAAAAATTTTCAAAATCATCTACGTGTTCTCAGAAATTCAAATCTGACTTGAGATTTGACCTAAGATTTGACATTTGACCTTCAATGACCTTCTCAAAGTCAAAAAAGGTCAAAAAAAGGTCTTTTTTCAACTTGCTTCAAATTGACTAATTTTATTTTTCAAAATCATCTACGTGTTCCCAGAAATTCAAATCTGACTTTAGATTTGACTTAAGATTTGACATTTGACCTTCAATGACCTTCTTAAAGTCAAAAAAGGTCAAAAAGGTCTTTTTTCAACTTGCTTCAAATTGACTAAATTTTTTTTTCAAAATCATCTACATGTTCTCAGAAATTCAAATCTGACTTTAGATTTGACATTTGACCTTCAATGACCTTCTCAATGTCAAAAAAGGTCAAAAAGGTATTTTTTCAACTTGCTTCAAATTGACTAATTTTTTTTTTCAAAATCATCTACATGTTCTCAGAAATTCAAATCTGACTTTGACAGGTTATGGACATGTTAACATAAAGTTGCATTGGTAAGATTTGTCGGTATCTGCCTCAGAGCAGTCCAGATTGCTCATTTAGAGTCTTTCAAAGTATTTTAAGTGCCCTACTATAATTGGAATACATACCTATCTAAATGGAACATATCTCCATTTAACTGGAACATATACCTATTTGCCGAAGTTTCTCTTCATAATATTTACTCATGTTTCACGAAATATCATGTTGTCCTTTTGGATAAAACATATATTCAACCCTCCTATATAAATCTCATACACGCTATTAATATTTTGTGCTTGTGATCTTGTTTAGGTGCCTCCACCCTTACCACAGAGGAACTATGATTACGTCACTGAGATTGGGAGCAAACCAATCTGACTTTAGATTTGACATTTGACCTTCAAATATGACTTTAGATTTGACATTTGACCTTCAATGACCTTCTCAAGGTCAAAAAAGGTCAAAAAGGTCTGTTTTCAACTTGCTTCAAATTGACTAAATTTTTTTTTCAAAATCATCTACATGTTCTCAGAAATTTAAATCTGACTTAAGATTTGACATTTGACCTTCAATGACCTTCTCAAGGTCAAAAAGGTCTTTTTTCAACTTGCTTCACATTGACTAAATTTTTTTTCAAAATCATCTACATGTTCTCAGAAATTCAAATCTGACTTTAGATTTGACATTTAACCTTCAAATCTGACTTTAGATTTGACATTTGACCTTCAATGACCTTCTCAAGGTCAAAAAAGGTCAAAAAGGTCTGTTTTCAACTTGCTTCAAATTGACTAAATTTTTTTTTCAAAATCATCTACATGTTCTCAGAAATTCAAATCTGACTTTAGATTTAACATTTGACCTTCAATGACCTTCTCAATGTCAAAAAAGGTCAAAAAGGTATTTTTTCATCTTGCTTCAAATTGACTAATTTTTTTTTTCAAAATCATCTACATGTTCTCAGAAATTCAAATCTGACTTTAGATTTGACATTTGACCTTCAATGACCTTCTCAATGTCAAAAAAGGTCAAAAAGGTATTTTTTCATCTTGCTTCAAATTGACTAAATTTTTTTTTCAAAATCATCTACATATTCTCAGAAATTTAAATATGACTTTAGATTTGACTTTAGATTTGACATTTGACCTTCTCAAGGTCAAAAAAGGTCAAAAAGGTCTTTTTTCAACTTGCTTCAAATTGACTAATTTTTTTTTTCAAAATCATCTACATGTTCTCAGAAATTCAAATCTGACTTTAGATTTGACATTTGACCTTTAATGACCTTCTCAAGGTCAAAAAAGGTCAAAAAGGTCTGTTTTCAACTTGCTTCAAATTGACCAAATTTTTTTTTCAAAATCATCTACATCTTTTCAGAAGTTCAAATTTGACTTTACAAGTTCTCAGAAGTTCAAATCTGACTTTAGATTTGACCTTTGACCTTCAATGACCTTCTCAAGGTCAAAAAGGTCTTTTTTCAACTTGCTTCAAATTGACTAATTTTTTTTCAAAATCATCTACATGTTCTCAGAAGTTCTTCTTAAGGTCAAAAGGTATTTTCCAACTTGCTTTAAATTGACCAAATTGTTTTAGGTGGTGACATTTTGTCATGTTAATGCCTTGTTGTGCATGAATGTCACTGTATGGTCTCTAGGTGCCCAACCTTATGTTTCCAGTACATAACAGCCTGAATATATGTATAGTATATGCCTGATGATTCATTTCTAGTTGAGTTCATTGCCTTCATGATCATGAAGTAGGATGTAATTTTGTTTTGTACTTTGTTGTTTGCAGGATTATGCCTGAATTAAGGTACATTGCAGTTATACACTCCCAAAAGATGACTTCATGCATAGCTTTGGAGCAATGCTTGGGCATATGTCCAGATTTAGGAAATAGAAATTACAGTCATGTCATACTTTTGAAAAATGTTTTTTTTATTTTGCTTAATATGAATATAATTTTGATTAATTTTTAATTAATGAATTATGCTAAGAAATATGGCTCCCTTCTGAATATACATTTTGATTCTAATCAAAAATATGATTTCAGATATAACCTTTATTGTCTTCTATGGGAGTTTGAAATGTGAAATCATGTCAGCTAGTTTATATTTGAATTAGCATTTTAGAATATTCTGCCTATATAGAATTAAGAGAGTAGATGAAGTTGAACTCTTGTGTCGAAATGTCTAATGTTATTCACATATCCACTCTGATCCTGTTGATTGGTGAATTGTTCCATTGTAGCCTTTGCAGAAAGTTTCTTGTTTCATATTAAAGCTAGCTTCAGCGTACTCCCAGCCATAGAAAAACAATAGTTCAGTACCAGGCTCTAGATTTCGGACAGTACGGAAATACACCTGAAAGAACAATATGAGATATGACATGGGGTGGGGGGGGGGGGGGGCGTGGGAGGGTCATTCACAGAAACCTTTGCAAAGTTAACTATTATGTCATTGTATCCATGGTTACAACAAATAATTTATGAATTCTTGACTTCATGAAGTTTCTGATGCTGACAGTTTGATAAATTGTTTTCAAGATTATATTTTAAGGATTTCTTAGGTTCATAGATGGTACTGCCTTATGGTAAAATGGATGAACATGATCAAAAATACTCCTTCAGTCGCACATTGGTTTAACAGAATGACTCTTGGAAAAAACTTAAATTGAACTTCAATTTAGATTTAGCTTGAGCCCTGACGTTCATGTTTATTATTTTTAAGTTTCTTATTAAAGTACAGAAATCACTGGTTCTAGTAAACATTTCAATAAGGAAGGTTAACATACATTTTCTTTACATTGGAATGCCTCCACATTTAATTCCATGAAGTCTCTGGGGCAGTTCATGAATCTTGTCCAATTTGACGTATCAAGAGACCCTCCATCACGAAAAAACAAAATTTTCCAATTTTTGTAGACCTGAAATATTATTTAATAATAACAAGTTTATTGTTAATGAATTAAGAATGTTTTGTAAGAGTACACATTATGAATATAATTCAAAGCCCATATGACATTGAAGTATTCTGTCTGAAACTCTGTTTAAAAGGCAGAATCAGATCTATAGGGGGTGAATAAGTTGCAAGCAACATGTACAATTGCCCTACATCCATTCCTTATAATCTCAAATATAATATCTCCCAAAATATCTACGATATGTTATAAATTTGTGAATTTATTAAGGATTTAAGTGCAAAAATGGGGGAAAAATGTTTAAATTCTCCCAAATAATAAAAATGGTAACCATAAGAATAGAACAAATTACATTATTGTAAAAATCTTTAGTTTTCTTGGAGTAATGTATATGTTTTTTGATTTTGGAAAATAAACATGATAAGGAATGATATGAGGCAATTTTTTTTTAAATTGAAAAATTAACCATTGTTGTTCCTTTCTTTTCATTGGTTAAACGATCTTTTTGAAATCTTTGTTATACTTACATTGAAAACATATTCTCCATCATTGTACCCGTCATCAATATCATAGATGACAACGCCTTCATATGGGCCAAAATATGTTCCTAGAGGGATGAAAACATCAGTGAAAACTCCACTCCCTGCATTTGGAATAGTTGATTTAGATAATCTTAACCCACGGGGAAGTGTCTTATATGCCCTGTCATTGGTGTTCCAACCTACAGGGACGTCTACTATGACATCATCATTTTCTGTGAAGCACCAGAGTTCATCTTCGTGCCATCTACCTGTGTTTATTCTTTTAAGAGTAGATGAATCGTACTGTTGTTCAAATGGCTGCTTTTGTTCATTTTGTGCTTGGACATTCTCAAAATTATCCGCAGTTGCTTGCATATGGAGATTCTGTTTGTCAATTTTTCTGTTCAATATCTCCATCATGTGTGTTAAATCTGACAGTGTTGAATTCATACTGTTTATTGTAGATTTAATTTGTTGGATATCGCTTTCAATTGTTGTACTTAGGATCTGCTCACCAGGCAATGTGGTTGCTGTGTCATGAACAACTGGAAGAAATATCAGACATTCTACTACAATATCTCCTGTTGTCTCCTTTTTACAATAGAAATCACTGATTTGGATTATTAAGTAACTTTGAAAGTGAAATAGACATGTATCAGATAGTTATCTAAAACATTTCTCATTTTCAATGGAATTTTACCATTTAGCTAGTATGATTTGAGTGACATCTTTCTATATGATACTAAGTAGAATAGTATTTTCATTTAGGCTGCATCGTCTTAAAATTTTGTTTAATAGTTTTGAAAAATTTCAGAGGGAGGGGGCTTAAAAATTTTACTCTTTAATCTTTATATTCCTCCCCCCTCAACATACTGTCCATTGTGGATTGCATTCATTATACATGTGATTCATAAAGATTGGATGGGTAATCCAATCTCAAGTATGACTATGTGTAACAAGTTTTAAAAATGTTCTGCTCTCTCATGTTGTGATTGGGCACAATTTTCTGGATGGACAGATTTGATGTGAGAACTATTGAAAAAAACATTGATTCATTATCGATGATTTCAACATTATTGTTTCATTATTATTGAAATATAGTCAGTGTAATGTAAAATGGTACAGATATCCTTTTTGAACATGAAGTAAGTTCTCCTTATGAGCCTCATTCAGTGCACCAGGTATGCATTTTTATCATACAGTATGACATTCCACCTTGATTTAAGGGATATCTTCCTTTGTAAAGCTGATGATTTGATGCACTTTACATGTATTTCATAAAGGTTTTGATATAATGTAAGAAGTAATTTATTTTTATAATTTTTTGGTGAAGGGGAGCGGAAAAGAAGTTGACAACTTTTTAAGGAAAGAAAAATTAACAAAGAGAAAGATCACATTAGTGAGTTTATGAGAAAGTGTCTTTAACAAGAATAAAACTAGATCATTTTTCAGGTTTTATTAATCATGACATCTGCTAAAAATTGATTTTAATTTCTGACTGTGAGAATACCTTTACACAATACAGTTGCAATTAAGTATTTTAAATGAACTTTGAATTCACAAGGAAGTAGATAAAGACAGATGCATTGTATAAGTACATTACATTTGTATAGATTATTATATGAGATTCTCCAGATGCAGAAAAATGATATAAAAGATTTAGTTTTTGAACCTTTAAGTTATTTTTCTGATCTTTATAAAAGACTGGGTGTTCCCCTTGTTTTTGCCTTGTATGAGTATATTTTGCTAAACGTAAATATGCCAATCGAGTTTCCAATTTGCTGAAATTTGACATTTCTTATTTATACTTGAATGAATAAATAACAATATAGTACTGACTTTAAAAAACTATCAAAATAATTATGATAGTCTCACAGTTTCTGAATATTTTATCTCTATGGAAACTATTAAAAAACAATTGTTCAAAAGAATAAAGCTGGAGTTCCCCTTAAAGGTTTTCAAATCTATTTTTCACATTTAATAGCAGGTTTCGAAACCATAATTTATACATAATAGACTAAGAACCTAAATTATATGAATCATAGAAAGAAAAAGAAATAATCATGAATAAAATGATAATTACTTACCTAAAAGTGAAAAAATGTTCACCAGAACAAGATTCCAACGTTTCATCTTAGTATTGAATATATAGTTAAGAACAAATTGAAATATACCCATTCAACTAAGAAATTATGAATGGTTTATTTGTATTTTATCTCTTTTTCTTCTTTATATATAATTTCACTTTTCCATAAACTAATTCAATTATCTGTATGTTAAAAGCTGCAGTCCACTTGTTACACGTCATAGGCTTTCTTTACTTTAAGAGACAATATTTAATTTTGCAGATATAGTTTCTCAATAGATTTCCAAAGAGGTATTGACCTTAATCATCTGCCATTATTGATTGCCAAACTGAAAAAAGCCAATTGATGAAGATGCAAGGATTTGTTGAGATACACTTATGCATAAAGAACTGTCCATAAAAAACTGTCCTTATGAATGAATATATGAGTTGAGTAATCATTTCATATGAACCAACATATTTTGAATATCTGATCATCCATCTGTCCATGATGTTAATAGAAATACATGTATAATTGCTACCTGTTTATATATATAATCAAGCAATTAAAGACTGATACTTAATTACAAAATATTTGAGTGTTAATTCGATGACCTGACGATGTACCTGACACTTATTTTATCAGTGATGTGAGATATTCAATTTCACTAAGCAGGTTGGTGTTGAGGCATAACAATCCATGGCAAATCATTCTGTAAATTCACGTAAAGTTTTTCACCATTTTGAGCACTTTCAAGTGATTTTACGCCAAAATTCTGGAATTTATTTTAAACTGACCTTCACCCCTTAAGCAAAAGCTGGCTGCAGGCCTGCTACAGTATCAGGATCATAATGTTGCATCTACAGATTTAATTCTATTCCATCTCAAGAGCTACATAAGAGAGGGACACTGGTAAATCAGAATGTATATTTCTCATTTTAATGACTAAGATATCAAAAATTATTTTTTCACATTCTTCCTAAACAAGAAGTACAGTATCAGCAGTATTTGCATTATAAGCTGATTCAAATATGAAGGCCCCAGTTGTATTTTTATTTTGCCAAAATGTATATGCTTTATTATTTTTTGTAAAGATTTTGTGCTTAGGGGATCTGGAATTACCATTTTATTCAACTTAACAGCCTTCAAAATATTAAAGTACATACATTATACACATAATGCTATTGTATTAAAGGCTTCTTGTGAAAAAGTGAATCTTTTTAAATTCCATTGATGATAATCTATTGGAAGCAGATAATAACAGATGCTCAAGGACTTTCTTTTGGAAAATCCAATATTATAGGTCAGGATTGTGCATTAGAATTTACAGTCATAATTGTCAGATTTTTGAAGGGGTTGCCAGAGTGGGTTGTTGGACTGCAACTACAAGATACCCTCCTCCATTCAGAAATTGTTGATGGGTTTAGGGTCAATCACAGGGGGTGCATAGGAGGTAGAGTTAAAAGGGGTGCCATTTCCAGAAAATCTTAATGTAATTGATATATTTAGTGCTGACATTTTGTTCATTCTGCACAAATTATGATTTTCCTACAGTATACTGTCATGTATTGGGACTAAAAGTGCAGTTTGAAAATATGTATGTTGTAGAGATATTTATTCATAAAAAAGCATGCAGAACACATAGGGGACTATACTAGGGGTCCTCCTTTAAATTCGAAATTTTGGGTTTTCGTCATGGGTTATTTTGACCATGGGGCTATTTTGACTTTGGTGTATAATTTCAATCTAAGCATGGGCTAGATCTTAATCCAAGATGGCAAACCTGGAAATTTAAATAATCGGCCATGGTCAAAATAACCCGATGGCCGAAGTAGCCCCTTTGACGAGGTAACCCCATTCATCGAAGTTTGATGGAATCCCCCTATTCATACACACAGTTAATATATACACAGTGTATAATTCCATTGTACAGTCATTAAATCCATTAATTTTTTAAGAGTTGATCTTTTTCTTAGGTTAAGTATACACACTCTGTTATTCAGTACGATCTGTATAATAGCTACAGAAAGGGACTTCTTGTGATGTCATGAACAAAATATGACAGTTCTTTTCTCTGTATTCATGATATGTGATAGTACATGGTAGGACAGGGCTTGGACATTACCAATGAAGTTTACATTCTTTTAATATTGTTACTGTCTCCAATTTTTGTGGACACTGTTCAGCAGTTGATATTCGGTGGTTGTTACAAATGACAGGTGGAAACAATTTACATTTTAATGCCTTTCAATGTTTTTGCATGTCATCGATCAGTTCTTAACAAATTCCAAGTAAATGTGTCTAGGTTGGACATTACCTATTAGCCTATATGAAGTTTACATTTTCAATGTTTGTGCAATGTGCATGTCATCGATCAGTTCTTCACACATTCCATCTAAATGTCTAGGTTGGACATAACCTATGAAGTTTACATTTTCAGTGTTTGTGGATGTCATCGATCAGTTCTTCACACATTCCAACTGAATTTGACTAGCTTGGACATTACCTATGAAGTTTACATATTCAATGTTTGTGCAATGTGCATGTCATTGAACAGTTCTTCACCCATTCCAACTGAATGTGACTAGCTTGGACATTACCTATGATGTTTACATTTTCAATGTTGTGCACATCATCGAACAGTTCTTCACATATTCCAACTAAATGTCTAGGTTGGACATAATCTATGAAGTTTACATTTTCAGTTTGTGCATGTCATCTATCAGTTCTTCACATATTCCAACTGAATGTGACTCGCGTGTCTTCATTTTTATTGACATATCCACTCTGATGCAATTGATTGGTGAAATGTTCCATTGAAACCTTTACAAAAAAATTCCTGTTCCATATTCAGGGTATCTCTGGCATAATTCCATCCATAGAAAAAGAAGAGTTCACTACCTGGCTTTATATCCTGGATAGTTCTGAAATATACCTGAAAACAGAATTTGAGTAATCCAATTATCACAAGTTTGAAATAATTATTTTTAGTAAGATATATTTATTTCATTATTTAATGATATAATGTAGATCCCTTCAATCGGCCAAGGCATTATAAAAAGGGTACAGGAAATACAACATAAATTTGAAATAATCATTGTACTGTATTCAAATCAAGTCACGAGATATATTATTCATGTTCTAGGAAATATACAGTCAACAAACCAAATTATATTTCGCTTCATTTGAGTCTACCCGCTATGGCTCAGTGGCAGAGTCAAGGTTACCAATATCGCTTTGCCCCGAGTTCGTTTCTCAGTTTAGACAAGCTTGTTTGTGCATTATGTAATTCTAGGTCTCTGACTGTGTGGTTCACGAATTGTATAAAAGGCTGTAATAAGTACTTGTATGTCTTTGCACCCTTTGTACCTGTGCACACAAAAGAACACAGGGCTCCTCCAAGGAGGAGTTTCTGACTCTGTCTTGAGTGTACATACGTGAAATATGGAATGTGCCTTAGAACTTTGGGAGGGACTAAACCATTTTATAAAAGAAATCTGGAACTAAGGCCAGCTTTGAAATACTGGACCTTTGTTGCTAATTCTATCTCTTTTAAATTACTTGCAAAAGGTAAATTTTGTTTTGCTTTGAATGGAACAAGTTTGAAGAAAAACGGTGCAGTATGAGACTCGCAATCCTTGATTTTCAAACATCTGGTACGTCAAAAATTTAAATTAACGGTCAAAGTTAGTACCACATGAGTCACCAACGAAGAAGCTTTCCATCATTCTTCAAGATATTATGATCACCACAAGAAATGTCAAAGTAGGGCTAGTCTCTGGAATGGGAGTGTTGGTTAACCATAAAAGATCTTTAACCAGCGAGAGGTCAGTCACAAGCCTGACGACAGAGACAACCAAACTAACACTACCCAAAGCTCCATCCCCCTCATCAACTCACAAACAGTCCTATAGATGTAGCAAAGCACTTGATTGATGTTTTAAAAAAAAGAATGAAAAACTAGAAAAATTAATTATGATTAAAAAATTCTATTCATAGCAAATGATTTAACCTCCAAATTTGAAGAAATCAAAACTAAACATACATGCTCTCTGCATTGCACTGCCTCCGCATTCAACTCCATGAAATCTCGCCCACAGTTTAAGAACCTCGTCCAGTTAGACATATCTAGAGGACCTGCATCTCGATAAAATATTATTCTTCCATGTTTATAGATCTGAAATCAAAATTCAAAAATATTCAAAACATTTTCTTATATGTATAAGTGATTTGTCTCCCTGTTCAAGGTAGCCCTCACTGCTCAAGATAATTTCCCTGTTCAAGGTAGCCCTTACTGTTCAAGATATTCCTTACTGTTCAAGATGATTTCCCTGTTCAAGGAAGCCCTCACTGCTCATTATAATATCCCTGTTCAAGGTAGCCCTAACTGCTCAAGATAATTTCCCTGTTCAAGGAAGCCCTTACTGCTCAAGATAGTTTCCCTTTTCAAGGAAGCACTCACTGTTCAAGATAATTCCCCTGTTCAAGGAAGCCCTCACTGCTCAAGATAGTTTCCCTGTTCAAGGTAACCCTCAGTGCTCAAGATAGTTTCCCTGTTCAAGGTAGCCCTCACTGCTCAAGATAATGTCCCTGTTCAAGGTAGCCCTCACTGCTCAAGATAGTTTCCCTTTTCAAGGAAGCACTCACTGCTCAAGATAGTTTCCCTGTTCAAGGTAGCCCTCACTGCTCAAGATAGTTTCCCTGTTCAAGGTAGCCCTCACTGCTCAAGATAATATCCCTATTCAAGGAAGCCCTCACTGCTCAAGATAGTTTCCCTGTTCAAGGAAGCCCTCACTGCTCAAGATAATTTCCCTATTCAAGGTAGCCCTCAATGTTGAAGACAACCCCCCTGTTCAAGGTAGCCCTCACTGCTCAAGATAGTTTCCCTGTTCAAGGAAGCACTCACTACACTCTAAAAAAATATTACTTGACAGCTAGCTGAAGCAATTTGATTGATTACTAAGTAATTTATAAATTACTTATGTCACCTAAAATGTAATCATATTACTTAGTAATTGTTTATTTGTGTGAATTACTTACTTTAGTAATTGTAATACTTTATTTGTAAATAAATTGTTTCTGTTTCTGTTTTATTTGCATATAAAAGTAATAATATTACTAGGTAATTTTATTCCCCATTTGCATTTTAACATTTCATTAATAGTAATTAATTAATAGTAGTAACTAGCAATGTAAATGAATTACTATGTTTAATAGCATTTAATTGAAAATACATTATTGAGTAATTCTTTTTACATTCAAATTACTATATTGAAATATTATAATACTAGCAATGTAAATAAATGGTACAAAATAAATGTTTAATTGCACTAAATTCGAAATACATTACTGAGTAATATTTTTAATATTTCACCTGAAACATCTCAGGGCTGAGAAGAAATGACATGTCATGGTTTATCATGATGGCTTTCTTCGAGAATACATAATGCGGGCCCGTGAATGCGGGGTGCCACATTGATTGCAACACACCTTGCAACAATGTCTTATGAGGGTAATTTCTTATATTGAGAAGTTTATCATCTATTGAAATTAAATACTTAGAAATATGATAATACCAGCAATGTAAAGGAATTGCATTAAATTGGAAATATGTTACTGAGTAATCTTTTGATATTTGAATCACTATATAGCAATAGCAATGTTAATGAATTAATATGTTTAACTGCAATAAAATGATAAGATTATACTGAGTAATTCTAATACTTAGTATTCTAAATTTTTAAAATAGTAATTAAATTAATTAATGTAGTTTGATATCATGTTTTTTAATATTTTTAAAATCAAGATTTAATTCTTTATTAAAAGAAACTGTAACAAAAATCATAAAATGATAAATTTGCAAAGAATTATGTCAATTTTATGTGAAGCTGATTAACATACGATTAATTAATGCTAACTCTATTTGATATTAACCTAATAAGACAAACTCCATTTTGTGGTATTCAGTTAACTATTAGGTCTGGTCCCCAAAGGTAAGGTTATAATTTGTTCAAAGTGCTAATCATGGACACATGTGGAAAATTGAGAACAAAGGAATTCTCTTGATAATATGTAAATAAATCTTCCCAAGTTAAAAAAATAATAAAAGTCTTGAACAAATTATTCACTTTTTAATTAGGTAATTTCAATACTTAAGTAATATAAGTACTTAGTAATTTTATCCTCAAATATAAAATACCCTTTGGAACAAAACAATTACTTATAGAATAGAGTAAAATAATTACTTAATAATTATAATTATTTATAATACAAGTAATTTTTTAATTACTCAATATAGTAATTCAGTCAAAATAATACTATGCTAGTAATATAATTACAAAAATGAAAACCCCTTTGGGACAAAAACAATTACCTGTCCTAGTAATTAAATTACTTGTGAATACAAAGATAATACAAACTTAAGTAATTATTCCCTGTTCAAGGAAGCCCTCACTGCTCAAGACAGTTTCCCTGTTCAAGGAAGCACTCACTGTTCATGATAATATCCCTGTTCAAGGTAGCCGTCACTGCTCAAAATAATTTCCCTGTTCAAGGTAGCCCTCACTGCTCAAGATAATTTCCCTGTTCAAGGTAGCCCTCACTGCTCAAGATAATATCCCTATTCAAGGAAGCCCTCACTGCTCAAGATAGTTTCCCTGTTCAAGGAAGCACTCACTGTTCAAGATAATTCCCCTGTTCAAGGAAGCACTCACTGTTCAAGATAATTCCCCTGTTCAAGGAAGCCCTCACTGCTCAAGATAATTTCCCTATTGAAGGAAGCACTCACTATTCAAGATAATTTCCCTGTTCAAGGTAGCCCTCACTCTTCAAGATATATCCCTGTTCAAGTTATAGTCTGACTGGTAAACTTACATTGAAAGCATATTCTCCATCATTATAGTTGTTGGCCCACCTGTATATGATATCACCATCATATGGACCAAAATAGACCCCTGCTGGAATGAAAACATCAGTGAAGACTCCACTCCCTGCATTTGGAATAGTTGATTTAGATAATCTTAACCCAGGAGGAAATGTCTTATATGCCCTGTCAGGTGTGTTCCAACCTACAGGGTTGTCCATTATGACATCATCGTTCTTTGTGTAGCACCATAATTCATCTTCATCCCAACCACCCCTTTTGATCCTATGTCTGGTTTTTTCATCATATTTTTGCTCAAACGGCTTTTTATATGGCTGTTCTTGATGCTCCCATTGTTCTTTTTGCTTTGTTTTATCTAAACTGTCTCTAAGTGCTCGGACTTCAATGTTCTGTAGATCCAGTTTTCTATTTAAAATTCTTAACATGTGTGTTAAATCTGACAGAGTTGAATTCATAATATTTATTGTAGATTTCATTTGTTGAATATCAGTTTCTAGTGTCGTTTTTACGTAATGTTCATCAGGTATTGTATGCTGAGCAAATGTTGTTCTATCACTCACAGCTGAAAAACATAGTTGTTGTTACTATTTTGTTAGACCAAAAGTTTGTTTTACTAAATTTGTATTACTAGTTTATTGAACCAAAACCACAGATATCCATATAACACATGTGCTTCATTATTGTGATGTTGTAAATGGCAGATAACTGTCAAACATATGTATATTTATTTATTTATTTCGAATAATTATAGGATATCCTATGATTTTGAGGAATATCACTTTTATCTACGAGGTGATATTGATATCTGCACGAGAGAGCGAAGCGAACGAGTGCATATATCAATATCACCGAGTAGATTAAAATGATATTCTAAAAAAATCATAGGATGTTCTTATTATCCTACACTTACAAGGAGAGTACTAAATGTATAATATCATTGCAAAATGAATTCCATGCCAAATAGAGTCAATTTGGCGGGAAATCAACAAGCGGAGTATATCGTCACAATATCCTCCGCATATTGGGTTTTCCGGAGTATATCGTCACGATATCCTCTGCCCGGAGTATATCGTCACGATATCCTCCGGATATTCATTTTGCCAATAAATATCAAATTTATTTTTTAATGTTATTATACATTTAGTACACTAAGTGTAGGATAATATCTTTGTGTCTACATTGAGTCAATCTAAATCATGCATACATGTACATGATAATGTGGTGATATGGAACAACCCTTATATTTCTGAACTTTGTAAAAAATATGTGTATAATAGGTAGGATACCTCGAATATGTTGATATACCTTTAACAGGCTGGTGTAATATATCTCTAATTTACTTCCTGCGAAAGCTATGTGGATTTTGATATAATAGCTTTCCCTCGGCGCGCTGGACAGCTGAATAATAGTGACCTTTAAAACATGAATAATGAGATCCACAGCTTACTTTTCGTCTCTAACTGCGTCTTACATCAGTATCATCAATCCGTGCAAGTTTTGAAGCGCTGAAATACTTCTTTTTCGATCAAGACTTGTAAATTGTTCATCGAGTGAATGTTTTTCGACCCATTTCCAATATGGTGGTTTGCTAGGAGGGAGATACGCAATGAACGAAATGAATTTTGAGAATGAGTTCGGACAATTTCCGTAGATTTACAAAAATGTCAGAGTAGAAAACATTATATTGGAATTTGGCAGAAAATACATTCACTCGACTAACAATTACAAGTCTTGATCAAAAAGGAAGTACTTCAGCGCTCCAATACTTGCACGGAAGGATGATAATGATGTATGACACAGTTAGAGAACAAAAGTAAGCCCTGTATCAATTTAATTCGTGTTTCATTGGTCACTATTATTCAGCTGTCTATTTCTCCGTTGGAGAGCCATAAGTTTCAAAATCTAACATGGCTCTCGAAGTGAGTAAATTTCTAATGTGTTTGTCTCATGTTTCTGTTAGTCGAACCTACCTAGAAGTGATAGAGCCGTCAAAACTACTGAGCCCAATTCCAGCATTTTAACCTTGAATATAGACATCTGAAAATACAAAACAAAATTTTGAAATCATGCTTAAATATCGAGTGATATACTGTACACGAAATATTAATTTTAAGTTTTTGCCTAAATTATTAGGGTAATCCATAATCAAGAGACTCAAATGAACATTGAAGTCTACCTGAAAACAAACATGTTGCTTTAACCCAAACAGAACTAGAAATTTTCAACTTGTTATCCTCAATATTTTTTATCAATTATTGCCATATTAATTAATCAATTACAGATCATACGCGAGGGACCCAATTGCCAGTGGCATGATAGGTATCCCTGAATATTACAATTTCCAAAGAAACACATTTTTGAGTACATATAATGTAAAATGTATATGATAATACTTTCTAAGTTTATAACGGCTGGGTTTATAATTGCCTAAAATCAGTTTAGACTATGAGATATAACATTTGAACTTTCACGAACATGTACAATATATAAGACGATTTAACTAACCTCTAAGGAGTTGGCATTTCTTGATATCTTATATAAATAAATAAATCTTGTTAGACAGTCATTCACTGTTTCTTGTGCATGTGTAGTTGCCCTCTTAGTGGACTCATTTTTAAATATATATAGTATATGTGATCTCTTTGTTAGAGAAGATAAATTATGCACTTTTTATTATTTGTAGATTTATCATGCAAGTCATCAGTTTCCTATTAAACAATTTATTTATTTATTAACTGTATCTTAAACTGTAAATATCTTTGTTTATTAATGTCATCACTGAGTGATAAGAATGCAATACCTGTACTTGTATTTATTGTAATGTACTGCACTAACATGAATGATTAAAATTATGAATGCCTGAGATGCATGTATGGTTCTCCATATATTCTGCAGTTAGAACTCGTATGCTTAGTATGCACTAAACTATTTATTGCATTTAAATGTTGGAAAATAACCCTTTGCCAGTTACTTAATACTTTCTCTTTTGATCTAATAAAATATGTTATATAACAAATTGTTAAATCTGGATCAATTGAAAGCAATAATGGATTTTCTAAAGCCCCTCTGTATATGGCCAAGGTCATGTTATAGTACAGAATAAGGGACTCTTGTCCAATCAGGATGTGACTCAAGATCGCTTCACATGGAAGATTTTATTGAATTGGATGTTGGATGAAATGAATTATATGCTTTAATTTGCCTATTATCTAGTTACAAAAGTATATACAGGGTGTCAAAAAACAATGGCACCCCCCTCTACAGCAAAAAGTCCTGAATGTTCCATATCGGGTCATACCTCAATTGAAAGATAATTTAATTCTGGATTTACGTCCAAATTTCATGTAATAAAACTTTATATTAAAAAAAGGTACATTGTTTTTAAGTTTGCTATTTCGGTACTTTGTTTGCTGCTCTGATCGACTAACAAAACAACCTTTTTTGGGGTTGTCGAGTTGGCCGAGAGGGCTTGAGCGCTAGCACGTTTAGGCTAGGCAATTTGGGCCGTAACCACGAGGTTGCGAGTTTGAGACGCGTGTGCTCCTTGCGTTTATTCATCTGTTACTGGTTAAAGGTCAGAAAGTGGAATATGAAAGAATTAGCCCAGATTTCAACTGCACTGAACATATGGGTTCAGTTCTGAAAAACAGGGTGTAGGAACTGATGGACGAAGATCCTCTTGAAAAAAGATACAGTGAGGATATATTTTTTTTTGAAGAATGTGAGGAAAGTGCTTAGAGGATTATGCAATGCTGTTATACGCATTTTGTTATTGTATTAAAGACGTGATGTGAAAAAGTCAGTATGCTTCATGCATCTCCTTTAATACCATTGGTGATATTATATTGGAAGCAGATAATAACAGATGCTCATAGATTTTTTGTTTGAAAATTCAAAACTATTGGTCTGGATTGTATATTAAAATCAATAGTCATGATTGTAAATTTTTTGTATAATATATGGCTTTGGGTCAGTCGCAGGGGGTGCTAGGGGGTAAAGTAAAAGGGTTTATCCTATGCCAAGTAGAGTTTCAGGGAGATAAGTTGGTAAGATATATCCCGTATCCTGATTTTGAGGTTTCCATATCCAGAACCTCCATATCTCCCGCCATATCTCCCGCTTCGGTGCATATCTTCCCGCTTCCGGTAATGCAATAAAATGACTTTGCATATGAATGATTTCTTTATTTTTACACCTTGTACAATTGAAATGGCCATATGCCCCTGAAAACTCTACTTGGTATAGGATAAAGCAGTTATGTACGGTCGGTTTGGATATTGGGTTCATCCCTCGTGAGATATGCATATCTACCTTCGGTCGCTACGGTCCCTCAGGTAGATATGCATATCTCCCTCTGGATAAACCCCATATCCAAAACCTCCCAGTACATAACCCTTATATATCCTTTCCAGATAATGTTACCATTTTAAGGTAATTGGCACATTCTTAAATGCATGATAACAGAACTAGTGCTGACATTTTGTTTATTCTGCACAAATTATAATTTTCCCACAATATACTGTCATGTACTGTCATGGGACTGTGAGTTCAAAGTTTGAAAAGAATTATATCATAGAGATATTTTATTCATCAAATGCATACAGAACACATAGGGGACTAGGGGGTCCTCCTTTAAACTTCAACATAGGGTGCTACTTTGTCATGTGCTATTTTTACTATTGGGTAATTTTGACTTTGGCGTATAATTTCAATCTACACCTTGCTTGTTTTTTGAAAATATAAGAAATAAATCGAAATCTCCAATGGGTTAGATCTTAATCCAAGATGGTCAACTGATTGTCAGTTCCAACTGAAAGTGACTAGCTTGGACATTACTTATGAAGTTTACATTTTCAAAGTCAGTTCTTGACATATTCCAACTGAATGTGACTAGCTTGGACATTACCTATGAAGTTTACATTTTCAGTGTTTGTGGATGTCATCGAACAGTTCTTCACACATTCCAACTGAATGTGACTAGCTTGGACATTACTTATGAAGTTTACATTTTCAATGTTTGTGCATTTCATCGAACAGTTCTTCACATATTCCAACTGAATGTAACTAGGTTGGACATTACCTATAAAGTTTACATTTTCAAAGTCGGTGCATGCCATGGAACAGTTCTTCACATATTCCAACTGAATGTGTCTAGGTTGGACATTACCTATGAAGTTTACATTTTCAAAGTCTGTGCATGTCATCGAACAGTTCTTCACATATTCCAACTGAATCTGTCTAGGTTGGACATTACCTATGAAGTTTACATTTTCAATGTTTGTGCATTTCATCGAACAGTTCTTCACATATTCCAACTGAATGTGTCTAGGTTGGACATTACCTATGAAGTTTACATTTTCAATGTTTGTGCATGTCATGGAACAGTTCTTCACATATTCCAACTGAATGTGTCATGGAACAGTTCTTGACATATTCTAACTGAATGTGACTAGGTTGGACATTACCTATGAAGTTTACATTTTCAAAGTCGGTGCATGTCATGGAACAGTTCTTGACATATTCCAACTGAATGTGACTAGCTTGGACATTACCTATGAAGTTTACATTTTCAGTGTTTGTGGATGTCATCGAACAGTTCTTCACATATTCCAACTAAATGTGACTAAGTTGGACATTGCTTATGAAGTTTACATTTTCAATGTTTGTGCATATCATCGAACAGTTCTTCACATATTCCAACTGAATGTGTCTAGGTTGGACATTACCTATGAAGTTTACATTTTCAATGTTTGTGCATGTCATGGAACAGTTCTTCACATATTCCAACTGAATGTGTCATGGAACAGTTCTTGACATATTCTAACTGAATGTGACTAGGTTGGACATTACCTATGAAGTTTACATTTTCAGTGTTTGTGCATGTCATCAAACAGTTCTTCACATATTCCAACTGAATGTGACTAGCTTGGACATTACCTATGAAGTTTACATTTTCAAAGTCGGTGCATGTCATGGAACAGTTCTTGACATATTCTAACTGAATGTGACTAGCTTGGACATTACCTATGAAGTTTACATTTTCAAAGTCGGTGCATGTCATGGAACAGTTCTTGACATATTCCAACTGAATGTGACTAGCTTGGACATTACCTATGAAGTTTACATTTTCAGTGTTTGTGCATGTCATCGAACAGTTCTTCACATATTCCAACTAAATGTGACTAAGTTGGACATTGCCTATGAAGTTTACATTTTCAATGTTTGTGCATATCATTGAACAGTTCTTCACATATTCCAACTGAATGTGTCTAGGTTGGACATTACCTATGAAGTTTACATTTTCAATGTTTGTGCATATCATCGAACAGTTCTTCACATATTCCAACTGAATGTGTCTAGGTTGGACATTACCTATGAAGTTTACATTTTCAATGTTTGTGCATATCATCGAACAGTTCTTCACATATTCCAACTGAATGTGTCTAGGTTGGACATTACCTTTGAAGTTTACATTTTCAATGTTTGTGCATGTCATGGAACAGTTCTTCACATATTCCAATTGAATGTGTCTAGGTTGAACATTACCTATGAAGTTTACATTTTCAAAGTCGGTGCATGTCATGGAACAGTTCTTGACATATTCCAACTGAATGTGACTAGCTTGGACATTACCTATGAAGTTTACATTTTCAATGTCGGTGCATGTCATGGAACAGTTCTTCACCCATTCCAACTGAATGTGACTTGCATTTCTTCATTATTATTTTATTCACATATCCAGTCTGATGCAATTGATTGGTGAAATGTTCCATTAAAACCTTTACAAAAAAAATCCTTTTTCATATTCAGGGTATTTTCAGCGTAACTCCATCCATAGAAAAACAAGAGTTCACTACCTGGTTTTATATCTTGGATAGTTCTCAAATATACCTGAAAACAAAATTTGAGTAATCGGATTATTACAAATTTGAACAATTTATTTTGTTATATACTGTAGTAGTATAATGTAGATCCCTTAATCGCCCAAAGGATTACAGAAGGGCACAGGAAATGCAAAACAAATTATATAATAATCGTTTTCAATTCAAGTCAGGAGATATATTATTCATGTCCTGGGAAATATTCAGTCCAAAGACCAAATCATATTTCACCTTATCGCAAGATTCTGACTTTTAGGAACTTTGGGAAGGACTTAACCATTTTAGAACTCTATCAAACAAATCTAGAGCTAAGACCAGGTTTGAAATACTGGACCTTTATTAATTTAACCAAATTTGAAGAAATCAAAACTAAACATACATGCTCTCTGCATTGCATTGCCTCCAAATTCACCTCCATAAAATCTCGTCCACAGTTTATGAACCTCGTCCAGTTAGACATATCTAGAGAACCTGCATCTCGATAAAATAATATTCTTCCATGTTTATAGATCTGAAATCAAAATTCAAAAATATCGAAAAAATTATCTTCTCTCTGTTCAAGTTAGCCCTCACAATTCAAGATAATGCCCCTGTTCAAGGTAGCCCTCACTTTTCCAGCATGATAATATCCCTGTTCACTGTTCAAGGTAGCCCTTACTGTTGTCCCTGTTCATTGTAGCCCTCACTTTTCAAGATAATATCCCTGTACAAAGTAGCCCTCACTGTTCAAGATAATATCCCTGTTCAAGGTAGCCCTCACTGTTCAAGATTATATCCCTGTACAAAGTAGCCCTCACTGTTCAAGATAATATCCTTGTTCAAGGTAGGCCTCACTTTTCAACCAAGATAATATCCCCGTTCACTGTTCAAGGTAGCCCTTGCTGTTCAAAATTATATCCCTCTTCAAGGTAGCCCTCACTGTTCAAGATAGTTTCCCTGTTCAAGGTTGCCCTCACTTTTCAAGATAATATCCCTCTTCAAGGTAGCGCTCACTTTTCAAGATAATATCCCTCTTCAAGGTAGCCCTCACTGTTCAAGATAATATCCCTGTTCAAGGTAGCCCTCACTTTTCAAGATAATATCCCTTTTCAAGGTAGCCCTCACTGTTCAAGATAATTTCCTTGTTCAAGGTAGCCCTCTCTTTTCAAGACCATTTCCCTGTCAAGGCAACCCTCACTGCTCAAGATGATTTCCCTGTCAAGGTAGCCCTCACTGCTCAAGATAATATCCCTGTTCAAGGTAGCCCTCACTGTTCAAGATAATATCCCTGTTCAAGGTAGCCCTCACTTTTCAACCAAGATAATATCCCCGTTCACTGTTCAAGGTAGCCCTTGCTGTTCAAAATTATATCCCTCTTCAAGGTAGCCCTCACTGTTCAAGATAATATCCCTGTTCAAGGTTGCCCTCACTTTTCAAGATAATATCCCTCTTCAAGGTAGCGCTCACTTTTCAAGATAATATCCCTCTTCAAGGTAGCCCTCACTGTTCAAGATAATTTCCCTGTTCAAGGTAGCCCTCACTGCTAAAGATAATTTCCCTTTTCAAGGTAGCCCTCACTGTTCAAGATAATTTCCTTGTTCAAGGTAGCCCTCTCTTTTCAAGACCATTTCCCTGTCAAGGCAACCCTCACTGCTCAAGATGATTTCCCTGTCAAGGTAGCCCTCACTGCTCAAGATAATATCCCTGTTCAAGGTAGCCCTCACTGTTAAATATAATATCCCTTTTTCAAGTTAGTCTGACTGGTAAACTTACATTGAAAGCATATTCTCCATCATTGTAGTTGTTGGCCCACCTGTATATGATATCACCATCATATGGACCAAAATAGACCCCTGCTGGAATGAAAACATCAGTGAAGACTCCACTCCCTGCATTTGGAATAGTTGATTTAGATAATCTTAACCCAGGAGGAAGTGTCTTATATGCTCTGTCAGTGGTGTTCCAACCTACAGGGTTGTCCATTATGACATCATCACTCTTTGTGTAGCACCATAATTCATCTTCATCCCAACCACCTCTTTTGATTCTAATTTTGGTTTTTTTATCATATTTTTGCTCGAACGGCTTTTCATATTCTTGATGCTTCCATTGTTCTTTTTGTTTTGTTTTTTCTAAACTGTCTCTAAGTGCTCGGACTTCAATATCCTTTAGATCTAGTTTTCTACTTAAAATTCTTAACATGAGGTTTAAATCTGACAGAGTTGAATTTATTATAGTACCCAACACAAGTTTTTAATAATAACTTTGACCCATATTTTGAACACTCTTCCCTATACAATTTGTTAATAAATTTAGCACATATAAACTTTCTAGGCAATTTCCAATATTGGCAATTTTTTATTGAGCCATATGTTTAATAATGGCAGTAATTTCAAAATGCTACACAGTGGCCAATGTTTTACCAAATTGCTACATTGTTTCAATGAATATGAAACATTTATATGATTCAACCATGACAACAACCAGATAACTAAATATCGAGGGCAAGTATATTTTCAAAATAAATTTTGTTGTTGAACCTGACAGACTACCCATAGAATATTCAAAAATACCATAAAGGCCTACTTTTGACAGAGTATCATTGTTCAAATAAGTGATAAGTAAATGAAATTGTTAAAATAAGCAATTCTTAATTTTGATTTCATGACATTAAATTAGATAAAACGCATTAATAACACCCTTGGTTAAGTTGCTTGTGGTTATATTGTTATTGAAGTAACAGAAAAATAGAAAATTTTTGCTAGATTTAATAACAAATAGTAGGTAAAGTGTTGAAATCATGGGTCAAAGTTATTATCAAAAACTTGTGTGGGGTACTATTTATTGTAGATTTCATTTGTTGAATTTCAGTTTCCAGTGTTGTTTTCATTTTTACGTAATGTTCTTCAGGTATTGTATGCTGAGCAAATGTTGTTCTATCACTCACAGCTGAAAAACATACATGTAGTATAGTTATTGTTACTATTTTTTTAAACCAAAACTTTGCTTTACTAAATCATTACTAGTTTATGTAACCAAAACCACAGATACCCATATAACACATGTGTTATATTGTGATGTGGTAAATGGCAGATAACAGTCAGATATATATGTGTATATTTATTTATTTATTTATTTAGAATAAAGTGTCTGCATTGAATTACGACAATTTAAAATATGCATGCATGTACATGATAATGTGGTGATACCAAACAACCCTTATATTTCTGAACTTTGTAAAAAATATATGTAAATATGATACCTCAAATATGTTAATTCACCTCTAATAGATTACTCTAATATACTTCTAACAGGTTAGTGTAATATATCTCTAATGTGTTTGTCTCATGTTTCTGCTAATCGAACCTACCTAGAAGTGATAGAGCTGTCAAAACTACTGAGCTCAATCCCAGCATTTTAACCTTGGATTTAAACATCTGAAAATAGAAAACAGAATTGGGAATTTATGCTTAAATATCAGGTGATATTTTATTACTTTGTTACGTTCCATGTACCTGAAATATGAGGATAACCCACAATCAAGAAACTCAAATGAACATTGAAGTCTACCTGAAAATAAAGAAGTTGCTTCAACCCAAACAGAACTAGAAATTTTCAACTTGCTATCCTGAATATTTTTATCAATAGATTTTATTGCCATTGATTAGTCAATGAGGGACCCAATTGCTAGTGACATGATAGGTGTCCTAGAATATTATAATTTCCAAAGAGACACAAAGAGAATGTATTTGATAATGTTTTCAAAGTTTATAATGGCTGGGTTTATAATAGCCTAAAATCAGTTTACTCTATGACCCATTTGAAGTTTCATGAACATGTACAATATATAAGAAGATTTAACTTACCTTTAAGGAGTTAGCATTTCTTGTGAGTCACTGTTTCTTGTGCGTGTGTACTTGCCCTCTTACTGGACTCATTGTTAAATGTACATGTGTGTTCCGTTTGGCAGAGCAGAGAAATTATGCACTTTTTATTATTGGATGAACTAATTTATTTATTTCAATGATTTTGATTAAAATTATGTACATGTATACCAGAGATGCCTGTATGGTACTCCATATATTCTGCAGTTAGAACTTGTATGCTTAGTATGCACTAAACTATTTATTGCATTCAAGATTTTGAAAATAAGCCATTGCATATTACTAAAGACATTATTTAAATATTCCTTTCTAGTATAAAGTATTCATTGTTGGATCTAATAAAATGTTTTATATAACAAATTGTTTAATCTGGATCAATTGAAAGCAATAATGGATTTTCTAAAGCCCCTCTGTAAATGGCAGGTCATGTTATAGTACAGGACATGGGATTTTCTTATCCTATGAAGTAATTCAGTTTATAATTTTCTCATAATATTTCATAATTTAAGAATGTGACTCAAGATAGCTTCACATGGAGCATTTCATTGTTTTCTTAAAGGTTTAATAGAAACATTTTCATTGGATGTTGGATGAAATGAATTATAAAGTGCATTGATTTTCCCATTATCTAGTTACAAAAGTTTATATTATTCTATTTTGAAAACTTAGAAATCAGCAATATCACAAAGTAGCCAATCCCACCGAACCAAACATGTTTAAATAGATAGCGGCCATCTTGAAAATTTCTTATTGAGCAGAGCTCCTTTGTCCTTTTAGGCATCAGCATATAAAATTTGAACCAAATCCGACCACTGGTATTTGAGTTATCAAAGATTATGTTTGATACGAAATATGGTGGCCATTTTGAAATTTAGTTACCATCTTGAAATTTCCCTCTCAAGCAGAGCTTCTATGTCCCTAGGCATTGGTATATAAATTTTAACCAAATCCATCAACTAGTATTTTTTTAAGAAAAATGTTGGCCATTTATAATTGAGTGGCCATATTGAAAATTCCTTCTCGGGCAGAGGTATAAGGCATAAGCTTATATTTAAAAAAAAACAAAAAAAGAAAACAACTTATATTTAATTAAATCTGTCAACCATATTTGAGTTTTGCACCCGAACTTCGTTCTATTGATTAAAAATTGAAATATTTTTTAAGATTAACATTTTATTTGTTAAGTTATGCTTCTTCTTGGTAGGAATAGCAGTGTATACTCTGTAGCTTCTATCAATTTTGTATGGTGTATTAACAGTTGTGCATGGTGTATTTGCAGTATGACCCAAGGTTTGCTGATGCATTCTGGAACAGCAGCAAGCAGTCTATGGTTCAGTACCTGCTCATGATCTTCACTAGCTGGGCCATTGTCTGTGATGTCTGGTATCTTCCACCAGAGGTCAAGAGGGTAAGAGGGGCCTTTCATTTAGTAACATCTACAAAATATTTGACAAACTCCTTGCCTGTTTTCTGCCTATATGTAGTTTCAATCTATAGAGATAACTTCCAAATTAGATTTTGCTTATATTATTGCTATATTAATATAATACAATGTATGTTTCAATTAAGAATTTAAAAACAAAATTAATTTGCACATAGTTCTATTGTTTTGTGACCTGTTTTGGTATCTCCCCCAGAGATTCAGTTAACAAAAGGCCTGTGATGTACAAACACATATATTTTGCATCTTGCGTTGAAACTGCAACAGATTCGTCATATGGTTATATTGTGCACAAAATTGAAATCCTCATAAACTCATTTTTGTGAATCTTTGTCATGTAATGAAGGTCTCTGATTCACCCCACCTTATATGAAGAAGAGAATGATTGAGTTTTAAGTATGGGCTTGATGCAACACTGAATTGTGGTACAGTTTTTGCTGACAAAATTCTTCTAATTATTCATGACTTTTCTCTCTAATGTAAAGCTGACCAGTGAGTGTTGTATTGTATTTTGTTGCATTGTATTGTTTTGTATTGTATTGTATTGTATCGCATTGTATTTTATTGTATTGTATTTTATTGTATTGTATTGTAGGATGATGAGACTGCAGTGGAGTTTGCCAACAGAGTGAAGAAAGACATTGCTAAGCAGGGAGGATTAGTTGACTTGGAATGGTAGGCATTTTATCAACACAGTTTAATGCACATCTAGTTCAGTCTAATATACAAGTACACAATCTAGTGTGGTCTAATAAACAGTCTAGTACACAATGTAATATATAGTCTATTGCATAGTTTAGAGCAGTCTAATACAAAGTCTGGTAGACAATCTAGTACAGTCTAATAAACAATCTAATGCAGCCTAATACACAGTCAAGTATACAATCTAGTGCGGTCTAATACAAAGTCAAATACATAGTCAAGTGTACATCCCTAGGAATTGAATTAAGAGGATCACCTGAAATAAAGGAATTGACCAATCTGGATGATATGTCTTCTCAATACACATTTACAATATAAACATATGTCTTGCTTGAACCCTGGGGTTTCCCCCCTCTTTGCCCAGGTTTACTGCACACATCAAGGTCACATACTTTCTTGTTTCCTTGCACGAAAAATGAATGGTCTGAACGAGGTATTTTTAATTATCTAAGCTCCCCGGGCACTAATTAGAGAATACAGTAGGTTGATTTAAATGAACTAAGCTCAGCCATAAAGCAAAAACATACATTTATATTTGTGCTTTATTTTACCATCTGGTAATATATTGAGTTGTCCTGGTCACTCTTTTATTGACTTTTTAATATGATAAGATGTACTTTACAAATAAGAGAATTATCCAATAATTTCTTTTATCTTTTCAATTCAACTTACTAAATGCATTAAATTCTGAGGTTAAAAATATTGATATCTAAGTATTCAGAAACTGTTGAGCTCCAATTGATATATAAATATCATAATTGAGTGTACAGTCTAGTTCTAATAAAATATTTGAGCAAAAATTTAAAATCAATAAGACTCTGTTAGAAGTTTTGTAGATTATTGATGAAAGAATTATGTTTTGAATGAGAGATTTCTAAGATATAAATGCAAATAATGACTCATAGAAAAAATATTTAAGAGAATATGCAATATATCTTGACTTAATGATAATTTAAGTGCTGAGTTTTAAATGAAAAAGGATACAAAATATACTTTATATAAAACTGAAATGATACGAGACCAGTGCTTTTGTTTATTGCAGTCATTTAAATCTGAATCCACAATTCAATGAAGTAAAACCATTTTTCTGATAAAGAAAATTTAACTGACATTCTTAATTAACAGAATCATAAAATTAAACTTAATGTTTGAAAAACACATTTGTCAATTTTATTTACAATATTGTTTTTTTCTTTCCATGAAAATCTTTATTCTGATTTGTATGATGGTTGGTAAGGCCACACATTTGGCAACAAAGTTAAAGTTAAGTTGACTATGTTATTAATTCATAATTGATGCTACATTGCAGGGATGGTCAGCTTAAGAGAGCCAAGGTAAAGCCAGCTTGGATGCAAAAGCAGCAGGAGTCCTATAGCAAAATGATTAAGGTGGAGTAGTTCACACCATTGCCTAAAGGTGTCGCTACAAAACATTGTCCACCATTTTGAAATCAGAATTTCAGTATTTGTAATTTACTGAGTTGCTTGCATCATCTATATTCAATGCATCAATGTCATGACAGTATTTACCACATGTACAGTAAAGCCTGTCTAAGTGTAACACCTTTGGTACCTCTATGTGTTCCACTTGGGAGGTGTTCCACATGATAAAGGTACCTTTAACATTAAGTCAGTTGATCTTGAGACTCTCAAGTGTTCCACTAACAGAGGTGTTTTACTTTACAGGTTTCACTGTACATGTATTTTCCTTATGGATATGAAAATATATCTTGTTTCCGATTACCAAGCAGGCACTGCCACTTTCCAGAAGGAAAATGAGTGGCGGCTGTGTCCTCAAATTAGAAAGCCTGGTGACCAGAAACAAGAAATCTTAAAAGAAATATTAAAGTGCATAAAAAAAGATGATTATAAAAATAATTTTGAAAAATGATTTTGCTTGTCCATGTTCATATTTATATATGAAATATGTACTGTACTATAAACAGGTTGATAGTCATCCAAAACAACATTTGAATGACATTTTTATTGTGGTGAGGCCAGTCTATTGGTCAATTGACTTCCTGTGTCACCCAGATTGATTTCTACTATAATTGACTCATTATGCCAGCTCAAGAAAGAGCTATGGATCACCTCATCATCTTAAAATACATCGCACAACTTTACCTAGATACCATATCTGTCATTATACTGAATATGTTGTACAACTGAAAATAAATTCTAAAAATGTAAAAACATATTTTTGTGCAAACATACATCGAAATGTACAAACAACTATACTGTTCTCTATACCGTGTGTACATAATGTATATTCAGTGTAAGTATAGACTGCAATATTTTTGTATTCTATCTTTGATTTTTGTCAGTCCTCAATCACTCCGGAGTAGCCTAACAACAGTTAAGTCAGATACCGTTGTCACAAATGGCGGACATAACCATCGCTTCAATTAGATTTTCATTAACTGTATGTTTAATAGAGCACCTAGACTAAATTCCTTTGAAACAACAATCAATCAAAGTGTCCTAATACTCATTGTACAGTTAATAATGTTCTACCATTGAAATAAAGTCTTTAATTTAACCGATCAAAATGAGATACGGGACAATGGACACTGTAATTACCATATGCCGTTGTCTTTCTATACTCAAATTCAGATTCCGTTGTCATCTACGATATCGAAGATGCTATATTGTGGCGATTTACAACCCAATTTGATAGAAATTGGGATTTCATATGAAACATCATCACAAGAGCTTAATATATGCACAGAATTAGCGACGATAAAATCCCATGAAATGAGGACAGTTGAACAACGGTTATGTCAGCCATTTGTGACAACGGTATCTGACTTAACCGTTGTCAGGCTATTCCAGTGTGTCACTGCAATATATATATTTTATACTGTATTCAGTAATATGCTATACAACCAATTGCTTCATATATTTCCATTAAGTTGCGTCTGTTTTGGATTATAAGAAAAAAAATATATATATATATATTTAAAGGGATAGTGTCTAAAAGTTGTAGAAAAAGTCAATTTTTGTCACAATGAATGAAATTAACTTTGTTTCAACAATTGAATGTTGACACTGTCTTAATTGATGTGTAGAGAAGAAAAATTATAATTTTTTATAAATTATATTTGATTTTGTTGTTTCCATTTTGGAAAGATGCTGACTGAGTAATTAAACAAGATGTTGGAAATAAAGGTGGTAGATTTCTTTCTTTTATACAATTAAATTGTAATTACCATTAATATTAATATAATATTATTAAAATTGTGCAATGGATTAGTTGGTTGATTAGTTATACACTTTTGTTCAATTATGAGTAAATAAAAGTTATCTAACAATGATTTGATCACTTATAATGTGTTTTGTTTTTTAGTCCTGCCAGTTTTTCCCCATTCAGTGTGATTTTTATATCACTGACAGTGGTGACATATTGTTACGGCCTTCATTTTTTCCCAGTCCGTATGACTTTTATTGCTAACAGTGAGTCCTGACATATTATTACAGACTTCATTTTTTCCCAGTCAGTATAACTTTTATTGCCAACAATGAGTTGTGACATATTATTATGGCCCTCATTTTTGTGACCAGCACTCAGTGTGATTGCAATTTGGTGACTTTTACAATTGTTACATTCTAAGCAATAACTATACTTCTGGTGTTTATGGAATAAATATATTATCAGGATGCAATTTTTATGTCACCACCAGAAATGGTGACATATTGTTAGTCTCAAACTTTTATGTGAACGTTGTTTGGTGGTTTGTGTCAAGTGTTTATGCATCTGTAACAAATGGCAGTTGGTGACATTTTGTATGTACACACATTGTCCATTCTGTAGAAAATAAGTTGTTCATTTGCTTAAATTTTCATTAAAATCGAACTTCTAGATAAAAGGGAAATGTATGACTATGCCTTGATCAGGTGTATTTTTACTTGATGGAGGTGACATTAATTACACAAGTGTCCAGAGAAACTAAAATCATGACCTACATCATTCAGTAGACAGTAGTGGTGTAGATAAGTACTCACGTAGTCATCGAATCGTCTCGCCAAGGTGTTATAGAATTCGGCTCGATTAGGAGTTCAGATTTCGCGAATTATTACACGAGTCTGAGACTCGCGAATTTGTATTCGTATTCGCGATTTCACAGCGAATCCTGACGTCAAATTCATTGTTTTTTCTTACAAACAGGGTGAAACTATGTACAAATGATTGTTCTGTGTATCATTTGTTTTTATTTGAATGAATATGAGTAATAAATCTAATTTAAATGAATATTTTTGAGTCTATTTTTTAATTCCATGATTAATTCAGTCCGTAGAACCGGAAATGAAAGTGCTGCAACAATGTGTGGCGGGAAACATAAAATAAACAATATTTCAATTTTTGTCGTAATTAATCGTAAGTATGTTATTTAAATCGGTAGATATACCTAGGGTATTGTGCAAGTGAACAACATTGAAAAAAGGACTAAAAAACGACCATATGACATGCAATGGTAAGATTTTTTCTTGTTTATTTTTTTTGATGAAAAATCGCGATTTTTATTCGATCTCAGACTCAAAATCACGCGAATTACTCGATTCCAAAAATCTCCGCGAGTTACAACACTAGTAGACAGTATAACTACATACAATGAAATAAGAATCTTTTAGTACATGGTTTGCATCCAACAGACAAACTTCAATATTTTTGAAATGAAAATTCCAGGTTACATACTATATAATGTACAATAAATATGAGATGCCAGATATAAATATTGCTTTAATAAAATACACATGTTTTTCAAAAAATGTTACAGAAAAGTAAATTAATATTGAAACATAATTTGTTTATTAGTTAAAATAACTTACAGAATCCAATACACATTTCTGCATTCCTCAAATCTATACTATAGCTACAATTTCTTAAAATACATTGATATTTTATATCAACGTTCATAACATTCTTACAGTTCCACAACATTTGTACAAAATACTTAAATTGATGCCTTGATGCAATCTTCTGTACAATATCTTGAAAACATTGGCTATCATATACTTTGATGCTACTTAATATGAGTTCAAACACCAGAAAAAAGTGACTTAAAGGGAGCCATTCCGATATATAATCAATATTTTCCATCCTAAATCTTCCAAATACTGAATATGTAATAATGTATAACCTATACTAGGGTTATTTAAGGATTTGCCTATAGAATCCATTTTTTGAACAAATCGACAACTTTGTGATCAATTATGCCCCCTCTAAGTGACAGTGCCTCTTTAATATAAACAGTGAGATTAATATGAACACTGATAGTAATATCTGATGACCAACAACAATAATAGCACAAAACAAGTACTTTTCTAGAGATGAATATAACACAGACAGACATATAAATGAACACAAAATATTAAACTTTGATCACGATAACTCAAGCCATAAACTACGATATATGACTACAGTACAGTACAATACAATTATAAATTTCAATCTAAATGCTATTAAATACCAATTCAAAGATGTAAGTTTAAAACAGTTATGTACAAGAAATACATGAAATATGTACAATGTCTTGGGTCTGGCTGTCCATGCTGACTTCATGATAATTCCAACAACTTTATGATATTTGTGTAAATCCATGATATCTCTGATAGTCGAGTGAATGATATAATGATATTCCTGTTAAGTTCCTTATGATATTCAACTCCATGATCGTTAAAGGGCCATGGTTTCGCTACAAGATTGACCTGGAAGCCATTCATTTCACAGAGAAGCCCCTTTAACAATGACCTAACCGTGGGTTGTGTCATCTTCCACAAAGTCCTGGGCTTCCTCTCTTACTACACAATCAATATGACTCACCTGAAATGAATCATAAACACAATTCAATTGTAGGCTATAGAAACATTAGAATCACAGAGCAATATGTATTTGCATGGCTTAGTAACATTAGAATCACAGAGCAATATGTATTTGCATGGCTTAGTAACATTAGAATCACAGAACAATATGTATTTGCATGGCTTAGTAACATTAGAATCACAGAACAATATGTATTTGCATGGCTTAGTAACAATGTCAGAAAACAATGAAGCTAACATATCACCACCTAGTTGAAATTATAAAAAATATAACCCTGATGCAGATTTCAAATACTGACACCAAAGATTGGTCTCAAAAAGCAGTTGATATAATGTTGTATATTTGTGTTTAATATTCACATCTAGCACTCAATTACTTACTTTATTCCTGAATTTCACACCATAGAATTTATCAGCATGTTCTAGTAGTTCAGGTCGGAATGTTGTGGTGATGAACTGTGCATCACTGGCCAACTCAGCAATCATATCTACAACACACCATATATCAGCATGTGAATTACAAAATGTTATCAGCATGTGAATTATTTGTTATCCCATCGAACGAGGTTCGGGGGGATATAGGGAACACCTCTGTCCGTCCATACGTACGTACGTACGTACGTCCGTACGTACGTCTGTACGTACGTCCGTCCGTCCATCCGTCCGGGCAATAACTCAAATACCGTTGGCCCGATTTTATTCATATTTTGTACACATATACCCTATGGGGGTAGAAGTTCTGCTCGAAAGCCGATTTTCAAAATGGCTGCTCATTTAAAAATGGCGGCCATTTTAGTGCCGATTTTACAGTAATTTAGGTGCAATATGTAAAACTGTAATAGCAATATGTTTTAAATGTAAAAAACATTACATAGGACATTAATAAAGCTAGAAATGTAGATATTAAAAGCACATGGCAGCCATCTTGAAAAATGGCGGCCTTTATTTGTATTTTACGATTTTTGCTGTAACTCGAAAAGTAGTGGAGCAATTTTGTTCATATTTAGTATGTGAATACTATAAGCATGGCACACTGTCTAATGAAGCTTTTGGTAGAAGGCGGCCATTTTGAAAAATAGCGGACATTTTGAAAAATGGCGGACATTTTGAAAAATGGCGGCCATTTTTACTTATTTTACTAAAAGTCGAAAAGTAGTGGAGCGATTTTGTTCATATTTGGTATGTGAATACGTATAAGCATGGCACAATGTTTAATGACACTTTTGGTAGAGGGCAGTCATTTTTCAAAATGGCCACCATTTTAACGTATTTTACAATAACTCGAAAAGTAGTGGAGCGATTTTGTTCATATTCGGTATGTGAATACTGTAAGCATGGCACACTGTCTAATGACACTTTTGGTAGAAGGCGGCCATTTTGAAAAATGGCGGACATTTTGAAAAATGGCTGCCATTTTAACTTATTTTACTTTAATTCGAAAAGTAATGGAGCGGTTTTGTTCATATTTGGTATGTGAATACTGTAAGCATGGCACACTGTCTAATGACACTTTTGGTAGAAGGCGGCCATTTTGAAAAATGGCGGACATTTTGAAAAATGGCTGCCATTTTAACTTATTTTACTTTAATTCGAAAAGTAATGGAGCGGTTTTGTTCATATTTGGTACGTGAATATGTACAAGCCTGGCACACTGTCTAATGACACTTTTGGTAGAAGGGGGCCATTTTTCAAAATGGCCGCCATTTTAACGTTTTTTACTATAACTTCAAAAGTAGTGGAGCGATTTTGTTCATATTTGGTATGTGAATACTTTAAGCATGGCACACTGTCTAATGAGACTTTTGGTAGAAGGCGGCCATTTTCAAAATGGCCACCATTTTAACGTATTTTACTATAACTCGAAAAGTAGTAGAGCGATTTTGTTCATATTTGGTATGTGAATATTATAAGCATGGCACACTGTCTAATGACACTTTTGGTAGAAGGTGCCCGTTTTGAAAAATGTTCGATGGGATTCGCTACGCTTTGGCGTTGCCGTTGTTCTGGTTATTTTTGGTACCTGGTATTCAAGTTTTGAATGTTTTTATTCATCTAACATGCTGTAAGAACACCTGATTAGCTTTCCAATGGTAACCAAGGTTAACCAGTGACTTTTCAAGGGTTTAAACTGTTAATATTGCCAGCTGCTAGGGTGTATTATGATTATGACTTTTATGATATTCTTGCACTAGTTCTTTTATATCATATGATTATTGTCCAGTGTGTTATTTGGTCTCCAGTTCAATGAGTGCAACATACTAACACAAAACTCAGTCTCCAAGATCAACCCAACTTTAATACCACCCCTATAATACTTAACCTACATACCTGCCACAGCTTTCCTGTGTTGAGCATCCAGTGCCTGGTCTATCTCATCAAACAGGTAGAATGGAGCAGGATCACATTTCTGGATGGCGAATATAAGAGTGAGGGCCACAAGAGACTTCTGTCCACCAGATAACTGCATCATGTCCTTCATCTCAGCTCTGTTCCCACTGAATGAAACCTATATATCAAAATAAAGCATATTAAACAGGATGGAAAAAACTGATACCAGATTTATGAACACTTGGGATGTGTATTTTGAAAAGGCACCACCAGCAGTATTTCGGCTTTGATTTAAGTTTATTTAATATTCAACACAGTGTTAAGGACCAACTGGCATTTCATTTTGCTGAACTTGTCAGCTGGTGCAAATTGATTAGGTAATATTCATTCATACTCAGTGGTAGGGGTGAGACGACAATCAAAAGATGAATTTGTTCCCTAGTTTTGGTTGATTCGAATTGTTCCAGGTAACTTATGTAAAATGTTTTTCATTTCAGCCATTGTTGATTGATGCATGAAAAATACAAAATCTTTTTTTAGAGTCTGCAACCTGAATCAGATTTGTAAACCTAAGTGGAGTCGTGACCAGAATCTTCATTTCTCAAACCTGAACCGAACCCGACCCAAATCAGATTTTTTCAACTTATTTCACCCCTACCAGTCAGAAAGATTGTTCAATTGAACTATTTCATCAAACGTCATTTCAGGATAAAGCCCATGAACATCCAATAGTATCCATGTTTGTTTACCCGCTGCCTACCTTGATTCCAACTCCTGTGAACTGTTCTACAATATGTCCCCTGTCCTGGCCACCAGCATCATCCTGAAATCAGTTACATTGTGCTAAAAATAACATGTACAAAGTGTAGATAAGGTTTATTCATGTTAACACATTAAAGGCATCATATACTTATTGAGGTCAGAAAAATTATCACAATGACCATGTAAAAATTGTAATTTGGGAAGAACAGTGGAAAGCTTATTTTATTGAAGGAACAACTCCATATCTTTGACATCTCTAACTAATTAAAGCTCTGGACCAAAATATATTAGACTACAATACTTACATCTTCAACTTCTCCCTTCTTCATGACTAAGACAGCGTGTCCTTGAGGGGCAAGTTTCTTGAAGATTTCTGTGAAATACTTGGACACCTACAAACACAAAGTTTTTATATTTATTATGCACAACTTTGAAGTGGCTCAACTTTTTCCTTCTTAAATCAATAACAGACCAAATGTTAATACCTGCAAAAATATACCATCTAACAAAAAAAAATTTCAATCGAATCAATGAAAAAAACCTTTCAAAATTTTTCAAAATTATGTGCCACAATGCAACAAAAACATACCTGTTTAAATGTAAGTTGTATTGCCTCATATTTCCTCTGATCTAGAACATTCATTAAATCTTTAATTGACTCATGAGCACGATCTAACTCATCCTTCCTCTTCAATAACTTCTCTTTTTGCTCACTGAAGTTAACAAACTGGTCCAATGCCTTCTTGTTCACATGACTGTATTTCTTCAGTTCTTTATTGCAATGATCTAGTTTCTTGAATAACTGGAAATATAAAAGGGGACAATCTGTTATTTTCATACACAAGATTTCATTAATCAGTCTGTGTGTTGGCCCTAGAATATTGTTCGAAGTTGAGGCAGCCATTCAATTTAATGCAGAGTATATCATACTTACTTATTGATTTCTCAATTCACCCCTTATAGGGTATAAGAGTACAAAAGACAAACTTGACTAATACAGTAACAAACATTAAAATTACATTTATTATATACATGTAAGAACATTTTTTTGCCCAGCCTCGATTAAAAATTTACAAAGTTTTATGAGTATTTTTTTGTTTGAATTCATTAATTTCTCAAACTTCTGTGTGTTTGGTCTTGTGGTATAACATTTAGGAAGGTAATTCTAGCCAATTTATTCATGTTTGTGATTTAGTTCCAGTACATTAAAAACTACCATATGGGACACATCTTAACTATGAAATGGAACACCTTGCAAGTGGAACCATTTTTGGCCCTTGACACATGAACCTCCATTCGTGGAACACCTTTCTGTGTTTCCATTAACATGAAGGTTTTACACAACAAATATACCATACCTGTTTAATGCTGAGATCTTGATATTTTTCAAATGCATCACTAGGTAGAGATCCTAGCTCCCTGATCTTCCTCATACAGTCATCTTTCTGAAAACACAAAGACAATATATGCTAGACAGAGCCACAATGAGGCTATGCGCCCAGATGGGACGAGTTACAGAACCAAAGATGGGTCTTAAAATGTTTTATTTTACTAAAATTGCTACAGAATAAGAGATTCAAAGTGGCACGTGGCTTATCACAAGCTAAAATGCATGCTTATTTTGTTTATTCATTTTTTTGCCCAGCCTCGATTAAAAATTTACAAAGTTTTATCAGTATATTTTTGTTTGAATTCATTGATTTCTCACACTTTGTGTGTTTGGGTCTTGTGCAATAATATTTATGCAAATAAAAAAGTTTACATTCGGGACACAATTTATATATCACCATTCTTTATTTACCTTTTTAAGTAGGAGACTCTGTTTATTTGTCATTTTGTCTAAATCTTTCACATCATCTGTGATTCTCTCTTGGTGTTCCCTCTCCTGGGCCTAGAATATAATTTGTACACATGACAGTCTATCTAGTGCACTTGGTAATACACATACTAGTACACACTCTACAATATGAGCTAAAAATAATAATTTTTTGAACAATATACAAATATTTCATTAACACAGCATGGTTACGAGGCATGCATTATGATTTTTCAGTTTAGCTTAGGAAACAAAGTATTTTGTTGTGTTAATAATATTTGCTCAATATTACTGTCATTGATTGGGCATAAAGCACTTATCATAATACCTATAGTACATGACTGACTCCTCGTCTCACACAAAATGTTTTCAGTTATATGTCATAGTTTATATTACTTATGAATTCTATGCCATTGGTGTAAGCAATGGTATGATAATCATAAAAAATCTTACTTTAGCTGCCTCAAGATTTTTATTCACTTCTCGTTGCTGCCTATTTAACTGCTCCAAGTTATCATCTAATTCTGTAAATATTAACATTTAAAATACTAAACAAACTATAAAACTATAACTAATGACTCCAGTCACATTTTATCTAAGGCCGTAGCTTCCCAAAATTGAGAGAAATATGCAGGTTAAAATATAGGGATAAGCAGTACGATATAGATTTTCTATATTGATTTTGTAATATAAAACTACGGCCACTGTAGAGCAAATGTGACTGATGCTTAAATAACTGTTTCTAAATAGACTTAATTAGCAGAAATATAAATGTAATCCAGATTTTAATGCTGATGTTTCAACTCATGTTCACAGTGACAACATGAGAGGCATATCTGTTTAAAAGAACATGAAATCACAAAAACTGAATTACATTTACAGAAAATATCAACAATAACAAGAAAAACAAAATATACAAGGGTCATCTTATAAGTTCCAAATACAAGAAATCACAACTACTGTGAACTTATGAAATGTCCCTTGTAGAGAAACAAATTGTAACATGTTATGACTTCGTCCAACTCATCACCTCTTTTATACTCAAATCTTTTGTGATTTTTTTCTGTCTCTTTGTGTAAGAATCTTCCAGGTCATCAACCTCTAAAATAGGATCAATATGTGAGGACATTGTCAGAGGGGACAATTATGTATAGGACAATAATACAGGGGACTTTACCTGAGGAGACCATGAATGAAGAATACACTGAAAGAAATAGGTCTCAGTAAATTAACTTTACATTCTCTAAATCCCTAAATAACCTTTGTTCGGTTGATAAAAATATGAGGCATGAAAAGTCTCCAGTGATTCCTTTTCCCAGGTGATTCCTTTTCCCAGGTGATTCCTTTTCCCAAGTGATTCCTTTTCCCCACCAACTTACCTTTGACTCTAACTTTCAGTTCTGCTATTCTATCATCCACAGTCTTTAGTTCTGTTACCATGGTGTCAAGGTTTTGTTTACGGTCCTCTGCTGACCTCTCCTCCAGATCGGCAATGAGGCGTTCCTTACGTCGCATCAGATTGTTATTTAACTGGTTCTCGATCTTGTTCTTCTCAGATTCGAGCTGTAATATTTAACAATTATATTATGCACATTTGAACATCAGAAGCCAAAGGATGAAGAGTCTAACTTTTCAGTATTTTTAATTGAGTGGCAAAATATTAACTGTACTACTATTGTGCAGTTTTATTAAGCTTATTGTACTTACTGTACAGAGATGTGACAAAATCATTGGGAAATGAACAAATTATTTATCATTCAATAATTGGTAGATATAATTGACATATACTGTAATATACGAGTATTTACTACTGTATCAAAATACAAAGTACATGATTTACAACATGTAGACTCGATTCATGAATATAACTTACTCGGACTCTTTCCTTGAAGGAATTCTTATTGGTTTTAGTGAGTTCTTTGATTTGGTCATTGAGATTATCAACCTCTGTCTGGTCCTCAGTAGAGAGCTGAGCAAGGAGATCAGAGCCCAACTCTTCATTAAGAGACTGTGCAGTAGTCTTCATGGAGTCAAGACTCTGTTGTAGACTAGCCAGACTTCTCTCCTATAAAGTGAAGTACAGAAAAGTTCATATATCTGATTACGTGATTAAGCTGAAACAACTGAGTGTACAACCAAGTTGAGATTTGATTCTATTTATATCCAGGTGATTCATTGGGAAAATCATGCAATTTGAGAATTTTGCACTCCGTGGAGAAGAAATCCGGCAAGAACACCAGTGTGAATGAATTGCTTTAAAAATATTTCCAGCCATAAGCCATGCAAACCAACATTTATGAATTGTTTGTGACAAAAAACATGTATTCCAAAATAACCCATGAGCTATTAAGGTAAGACAAGTGGAAAGAATAATAAAACTCACTCTACAACAAAGAATTAGACATGTAAACCTACCTTTGATGGTCGAGATTTTTCTAACTGTGCATGTTCTTCTTTCATCAACCTCAGGTCAGCTCTCATTTTGTCGTAAATATCTCTGCAAAAGCAATTCTCAGCAAGTGAAACTTAAAATCACCATCTTAAGATTAGCTACTTGTATAAATGAGTAGATCTTTACTGTGTAGTAGTATGAAATATTTATCCAATGGTACTAGAATGCTTAATTCGTATAAGTTAATGTAACCTACTTGTTTTTGCTATTCTTGGTTTCCATTCTCTGCATGTCACTGACTAGTGAGTTGATTTGCCCCTCAAGAGCTTACAGTGGTTAAGGCACAGACAATAGTATTTGATGTATTATTTTCAAGGTATAAAATGAAATCAGTCATAGTCATTATCATGGTAAATGAGCATGTATTTTTCCCATATATATTACTTAATATTATTGATAATATAATTCAAAATAAAATCGCAATGTTACGATGGGTGGGCAAACTTAATGTCCTGATTCAAACACTAAAATTGATGACCTCAAAACTTATTGTAATTTCCATATAATCAAATACATGTATTTTAAAATTGTTCTAAACTGTGTAATTAATTATATTACAAACCTTTCTGGAAAAAACACTGACTTATGTCAACAATAAACTAAAGGCAATACTATTTTAGTGATTCAAGGATACTTTGCAGTTTAGTTTTGTGTTCATTATATTCCTTCTCTTGAGTCTCAAGCTGCTGAACAGCTTCTACTTTACTCTTCTGCAGGTCAAGACGAGACCTCCTTGTGTCATAATAACCTCCTGTTAGAGCACCACGGCGACTCACTTGGTCACCTAGCAACATAAACAATAAAACATCAAATATTATTGCAGCAGATACTATGATTCAGCAATGGAAAAATATTTTATTCAAATTTTTAAATTTTTCATTTTGTTCCTCGTAATCATAACAACACTGTCTATTCATTGACTTAAAATATAAATTGAGGAAAAATGCAAAACTTACCATCAAGAGTGATACAGTCAAGGTTCTGTGTCCTGGCGATCTGAGTGGCTACCTCCATACTTCTACATATGAGAGTCTTCGCAAAGACATGCTTCATTACTTTATCAAACTCTGGGCGGAAGTTCAATTTGTGGTACATTGGGATGGCATCCTGGAAACAATGAATATGTGTATAATATAACGATGTATAATATTATTTCAAAGTATTTTTCACTGATTAGATACGACACATGGATTTGAATTGAAACACCTTTCATAATATTAAACTCTGGAATGGAATGTACATTACATCGATATGAATTGATTACATGACACTTAATAGAACTACCATATATATGTTCTAGTACCTTAAGAACTCTTAAGGGGTCTATCAAGAAAATATATAAAGGCCACAGAAATTATTAGTCTACCACAACATCCAAATGTCGCAATTTTGACTTACGCTTGATTCTGGGTATCTTGTATCACTGGTGGCAAGCCTGTTGAGAGGCATAAAGGTAACTTCACCAGGTAATCTCATTCTGTTCATCTCTGTTAGAATCTTGGTACCAAACTTATCTGTGTCAACAATATGATGGAACAACCTACAACATTTTTCCAGTTATAAATACATTACATTCATTAGGGGAAAGGTTGATATCAAGCAAAATCACTTGTTCACTGGCACAGCTTTTCAACATATTTTCCCAATGAAATCTGGGGCGATTGCAGTTATCGATTTTAAAACTTATTACTATTTATGTTTTATTTAACACAAAATCAAACAAGGAAAATTTACATAAATAGGAACATAATACTAAGTGTATAGTTCCTACTGCAAAAAACGGGACCGAAAAATGTGTTCCGATTGGGAGGTGTTTTGATTAGCCAGGTGTTTAGATATACAGGTTTTACTGTAGAATTGTAGAATTATGCATATGAAATCTGTGTATTAAGTTTTAGACCTACCTGTTACCAGCTGTCACTTCTACACAGGTGAAGAATGTTTTATCACAATCAAAGTTCTCTATCATAATACCATGGTAACCATCTAAAGTCTCCTGGTTCATCCCCCTGTCCCTGAACATGTTAAGCACCTTGTGGACACTGTCTATTCCATTCAACACTGCCTGGAGAGTAAAGATTGTGATGTGGGTACAAGGTATGAATCACAAATTCTTATTCATTTGTTTTTTATGTCAACTTATTCCAGGTAAATTTTTTAATATTCAAGAATTAACTATTGTTGCCCTTGATTTATTGAACATAACGATTTGAACTTTGAAGGAAAATAATGACAAATCTTTTACAGTAATTAGAGGTACATTGTATATGTGTACCTTGCCAGTGATTGATCGTAATGCTTGTTCTTTCTTGCTGACCTCATCACGCACTGAGGCTATCTGTTGTTGCATTGTATTCTCCTGCCGCCATAATACACTGAAGCAAAATTCATATACAAGTATAAGTATATTGTAAAACATATACGAGGCATTTTCATGCAAATGTCACTACTTGTCATTTGTTACAAAAGTCAAGTCCACTTACTTTCTTTCATTTTGTAGAGTATCTTTTTGTTTCTTCATTTCATAAAAGTTTTTATTATTCTGATCTATAATGTCTTTGTGTTTTTCTATCTTCTCGCTGACATCTTCAATTTCAACTGCAAGGATTTCAACCCTCTTTCCACCACTCTCCAAATCTTCTTGCAATCGAGAGATCTAAAATCATCAATGTCAATACTAGTATACAAATTACTGCAGACAATTTTGTTTCAGTTACTATCAGATTTTTACTTTACAGTATCTCAGTTTTTTTATTCATAGCACTCGAAAGTGTCTGCAGACTAACTTTTAATTTTAACTTGTATAGTGATAAAAGAGTATAACTTCAACACTTCTGAATGATTTAATACACGATTCTTACCTGATCTTCTTTGTCTTTAACAGCTTTGGTTAGAGATCTGAGTTCTTTCTTGATCCATGCGTCTCTCTGGTCTCTTGATGTGAACTGATTGCCTCTTCCCTGCTTAGCATATAACTCCTTACGTCTCTGTTCACATATTGCTAATCTGTAATGTAAGCAACAAGATGTCATATTTATTTGTCTTTTTGGTTTCTGTGGGTTTCTTAGGGAGTAGTTTTTATTGCTACACATTTTTTGTTTATTTTTTCTAATTAGCTAAAAATAGAATAGTACATCTGATCAATACCATTGTGATTACTTTGGTTGCTTACCTTCATGTACCACTAACAATAACTATCTTACCATTTCTTGATCTCACCTTAGTTGGGGGATAATTCATGGGTGGTAAATGGGGGAGGGATGGCGGGCGAGATTCACTCAGATAACAACCTGCTTTCTCCTTGTATCAAGAAATGAATGGAAAATGGCGTTCTTCTGCACATGTGCGTTGACCTACATTCAACTCTGTTTCCTAGTAACCAATTTGTTTACATCAAATTCTGACAATCATAACAACAATTAACTACTCCCATAAAACACACATAAAACCAATTAATTTTCAATTAATTGACATTTTTAAAAAATATCAGTCAAACACACAGTGACGAGAATATATATCCAGTTAGCTAATTGGCTCATGTAAATGAAAGGATGGTCCTTGGGGTGTTCAATGCATGATGTGTCTGGTACATATTTAATAATATATAATGACTTAGGTTTCCAAAATAAACCAAAGATTGAAAAGATAGATAAGATTTCGAAAAGAATGGAGGAATCATTTCTTATTGTACATCATTGATGTTTCCAGGAGTCCAGAGAGAGAGATATTGTTATTCCAGAGACTACTAGAGTATAAGGGAATATATCATGTACTTACTGTTGGGCTGCTTGGTCCTCCTGTGCTCTGACCTCATCATATTGGGGAGCAATCTTCTCCAGGGAGTCTCTTGTTCTCGCAATCTTCTCCAGCAACCTACGCAGCTCTTCCTCTGATTTTTTCTACAACATCAAAGTAACTCAGGATTTACATTCATCATGAAAATTTTATTTCAACCACCATGTCACATGGGTAGGATGTCTATAGTTCAAAATTTCTATATGACAACCATATTATACTATATTGCAACAATTACTTCAATGCGAACAGGTTGAAAAAATCATTGTTCCACAGAAACTTTCTCAGATTGTAAGAGTCACGATTATTCTAATCTTATCTACATACATGTACCTGTAAAAAGCCTCAACTTTTTTATTAAGTGTGTGTTCTATGCTTACCTTTGCACTTGTGTCCCCCTCAAGATCATCTTGGATATCCTTTACATCAAGTTCTAGTTTGGCTTTACGTTTCACCAGCTCTTGTTGCTCTGTCGTGATCTGCTCCTTCTCATCAAGGATACTCTGTAGCTGTGTTTTCAGGTCACGTAACTCCTTGCTGAATTTCTGAAATGTTTTAAAATACATAGAATTACAGCTACTTTCTTCTCTTCTTTTTATTTAAATATGTTTTTATGTCACCACTAAGAAATTTGAGCCTTGCATTAGAAAAAAATCAGCGACCCATTTGTTTCAGAAATTTGAGGCACATTTTCTCCAATGATATCCGACATGCCGATCTTTTGGTTTGTGGTCAAAAAAGGTAACAAATTCGTCAATTGTTTTTTTCTGAACATTGAGGATAGTTTATCTGAACCAACAATCCCTGTTGTATAGATTCTTTATCAGGTTTTCAGTTTCAACTACATATTATTTTGTCATGCTAGTTTTTCAATTTGTACGAGTTGACATAGGTTCTCCCAATGTTTGTAAAGTAGGTTTCTCACCCTAGCCTCATCTGCAGCAGCCTGGGCCAAATCTCGCAGATTTGTACTCTTCGCCCCACTCTTTTCACGCTTCTCTTGCAGCTAAAAATAATGCACATTGAATTAAAATAGCTCAGAAAAGAAAGCACGTCAATTTCCAGCAACTGTACAAATAAACTAACAAATAAATATCTAAACTATCCTGAAAATCATTTTTGTATAATCAAAATGCATTCACTGCTCACCCAATGATAAGAACTATAACACATGTACAACGTAACACATTTATATCATGCAGGATTCCATCAATGGTATAAAAGCTTATTTATGGTCAATTCACAGTTTGAAAGTACATGTAGTTGCAATTTAATCAATGTCTAGCTTTAATGAATGTGTTATTTGTTTGATGGATTTGTAACTACTTTGTCACCATGTTGACTAATGTTCTTCAGAGTGCGCTTACTATTAATGTAATCAATACCAACCTCTTCAAGTTTTTTCCTAGTATCCCTGAGTTCATGGTCATGTATGGTGTACTCCAGGGAGCGTCTCATCTTGTCCCATTTCTGGTACTCTTTTAGCTCCTCCTTTTCCTCTTCTAGTGTCTGAAGTCTCTCTTCTATGTAGTTAAGAAGGTCTTGGATCTTCTCACGTTTTCCCTCTACAATATCATGTTCGAATTTTAGGTGTCAAGGTGACAGATTTTGGAATGGAATCTTGATTAGATTTCAGATCACATGGTGAATGCGTTATTTAATTACATTGAATATTAACTCCAACGTTGATCACAAACTTCTGGCAAAAATTAAGCTCTTCATTCATGAGTGAAACATCAGCCTACTTATTCATTATTAAAGACTTTAATATTTATTTGCTGGTACTAATCCTATACCTGTTTCTTTGAGAATATTTTTACTTTCCTCTTTTCGCTCATCATAGACTCTTGTACCTGCTACTTCTCTCAGTAGCTTTAACCTGGCAGGGTCAGGAGCTGTAGCCATCTGATTGATCTAAACAAACAAGAGAAACTTCATCATTGAAAAAAAAGTAATCAAAATTGTACATATCATATCAAGATAGAAAAAATATTTTGACCCCATAAAATAAGTATCAGTCTCATATAACAAACACCGATTTCTCTTTTAATCTAATTGCATACCTTGAATGGTTCAACGTCAGATTTTCTATAAATGTGTTTTAGTTTCAAAATGGGATCTGACATTGGAGTTGTTAACCCAAATTGGGATTTTCAAAATGTAAAATAGGACTGTCAATCAAACCCTTAAATACATGAGAAAGATATTCTTAACTTGAGATGTAAAGGGATTTGTATTTGTGTTTGTAGACGTACCTTTCCTTGTTTGACAATATAGTATGGATTACTCCTTGAGAACCCAGCACTTTCCAACAAGTTCATTACATCTGTCTTCCTATAAAAGCAATAATATTTGAAAAATACCCTTTCAAAATACTGACGATATTTCCCTCTCAAATGGAAATGTTAAAAATATTCTTCAAAAATAAGAATTTAGGACATTGATCAGTGAATTTTGAATGGCTCTTTTTCAGTAAGTTTAATAGATCTGCTGTATTGATTTTAATGGGCTTTAACCATCTGAAGCTCTTCCAAGGATTATTCAACAATGTTATAAAAACAGTTGACATAAATTGAACTGATGGACACCAATGCTTGGTATTACACTATATATGTGTGACAAGTTTCATTAAGTTTACTGGTCATTTACTTAAGTTGTTTGAGGTTTTCCTTAATTAAATAGGAAAAGACTTTTGATACAGAGGGTATTTGGAAAACAATTGTTAAATAAAAATGATGATGATTTTTTTATAAAACCAGGGGAATTGCACACTCATTTTTGATTATGTATTGTGTGTTTCAGATGGGAGTAATGTACTTACGTAACCATCTTCTTGTCCAAAAAATACTGATCTCGCTTTGAGCCGATGACACGACGCAACACGACCTCATCCTTCTCAATCTAAAGAATATAAGAATTATTTTTACAAATAAAATGTTTTTGTAAATCGAAACAAAAAACTACTAAATGTAAAACTAAGTGTTATCCCAAAAATGTTTAACTGAACACAGCAATGAATAGGTTTTGTGTTGAAACGATACTGAAGTTATATTCAAACCAAAAATACTGTAGAGAAATTTAAATAAATGATTACTTACAGGTATTCTGTTATCTGAGTTATCAAAGATGATCTCAACATAGGCAGATATAACACGTGATCCTGTGCCCTCGTGAAGCAAAGCCTGACGTTGTTCTGGACGCAGATGACTGAACTCATCTGACAGTACAAACTGGATGGCTGGAAACAGATTGGAACTTGAACAACATATTCTCCCTAAGTGTTTTTCTCTCAACTACTATTGGCGTAAAATTTTCATTTTATCCTATTCAGATTATAAAGGGCTTAACCTGATGCAACCATTTTTTCAGATCAAAATTTCCATTTCAGTACAAAATTATTTTCATCGAGCCTACATAGATGTAAGGAAAGATACTTTCTAAACGGGGACGGGGAGACTATCAAAACCTGTTACAACTTCTGAGATGTTTGGGCTGCTTCTACCTAACTGTTTTTGTGAACGCTTCACGTACACAGCTTAATAATTTTAAGGGATTTGCTGAATGTAAATAACATAACTTACCATAAAAGAAGTTACTTTTTCCTGAGCCATTTCTTCCAACTGAAAAATAGATCAAAAGGATGAAAATAATGAAACTGGAAAGCACACTTTAATAATACACATGTATAAGGATATGGGGATAATTGAGATAAGGTTTAAATGATTTCAATTTATAATTGTATAAGAAGCCAAAAGTGGTTTACTACAGCTCATTTGTTTAACCAGTCAGCGGTAATCCACTCTAGTGTCACTTTAAAAAACGACAGTTGTGCGGCGCGTTTTTTGCAAAAAAAATTAATATTTTCGCTGTATTAGCCGAATTAGAAACAAAATGATCAATCCCTTCTACTCCCTCATTTCTACATTATATCTGCGCATGCTCGCATATTTAATTAGCACAACGCGACAAATTAAATAATTGGCTCCCGAAAGCGAATTGTCAACTCGTGAGTTTTTCAGCTAATTTCTACATTTTTCGAAATGAATTTCGTAATATGCATAGTGTCGAGTGGTAGAATGTTTTAGGATACTGAATGTGTTGTTTTTTTTCGAGGGGGATGCGCAGGAGCTTGAATCTGAAGGAAAGACACCAAGTCGTAACATCCTAAAATATGAAAATAAAAATGGCTAACATCTGTGAAAATGAAGTGAAATTGTCGCTGTTTTCCTTGTGCAAACGTCTTGCTGAAATGACCTTGAGATGAGGCGACAATTTTCTGTCGTGTTAGCATGCTACGCATCTAGGCTCATCTGTGTACATCATTATTTGCGTCACTTACAGTTCGCATACCAGGCGACACTTGAGTGGATTACCACTGACTGTTAACAGAATTCAAATATTACTAACTCTGGAATTTCCAAAATAAAAGGGTTCCCCAGAAACGTTTATCATCAAAAAATAATCTAAGAAGTAAAATGCAAAACATACTAAGTCCCTACCCTTACTAATAGCATCTTTACCACTAACCAATTACATTGTCTAATGAGAGAAATCAGGTATAATTTTTTCACTTACCTATTACGTTATGCTTAGGGTGGAAAGGCTCCACTGCAGTTTCATCTCGATAACTTCTAAAGCCATGTATAATTGCCTAAAAAAGCAGATTCAACATTCATGACAAAAACTTTGGACAAATGTGGACTGGAAGAAAAGTATTAAATTCTCTGGTGAGTAGGTTGTTCTTGCTAACTACATATTTAGTTACTTTTCATCACTAAGTGACAAGCTTTCTTTTTGAAATAACATCATCCTTCAAAGCTCAGGTTATTTAATTTTGGACACTTTAATAGTCTAAAGCGGTCATAAAGCAGACAAAATGATGAATCAACCGAGGAAAGACAGATATGTATATTACACCGACAGCCAAAAGTATAGACAGTCACAAGAGAAAAGCACTTGTGATAAAACAGCACTAGAGACTATTGGGTGACATGATAGCATCATACATATGGACCTAACCAACCAAAGTGTATATGAGGTAGATTGTAGTTAATTGATTTAGGCATAAAATCTCCTGGTCAAAAAGTACTTCAGCAGATACTTCTTGAACATTCATAATCAGAAAAAGTGAGAAGCTTCCATAATTCTATAATATTCAGTGATTGGGTATTCTCCAGTATACGATGTCCAATTGCAGGATGTGACCATCTAAAAATTGTTATCAAACGTGCCGAATACTACAGGTCATCTTTGGGAAATCCCCACTGCTTCATAATAAACAGGCAGCATATGATAAGGCTAGGAATACAGTTGGGGACAAAAATAAATGACAGGTCGATTTTCGATCACCATTTCCTAATTATGGTGGTCTGAAAGCCCATAATTTCCAATATTGTCTAGATACATATCCCTTAAAATTTGTATATTTTACATTTTGTATAATCTCATCCACTGATTTATGGCCTCTTGTAAATTCTCTTAATTTTAACATGGGAAATCCTCACTTCAGCAAATCCACCTGTCATTTATTTATGTCCCCAACTGTAAATCAGATTTGTGCAGAAGATTGATAGGCTATAAAAACTGATTTTGGCCTGGCCCAAATAAAACTGCAATAGACTATGATAAGGTTTGATGCTTTTGTCGGTAATGTTTCATTAGTTTGATGGGACGATTATATAGTCCTAAAACTCGTCAGGAACAGAACATAAGCTTAGCATCTCGAGCAGCAGCGCAAAAAACAATGAAATTGTTTGAATAAGCAAGTAGGGCATTACGATTTCTAGCAGATCGCAGATAAACATACCTGTTTTATATACATTTTTGAATAGCACTACAATCGCATTAATTGATGCATTCAAATTATATCAGTGATTTCCACCTCCAGCCGTAATATTTGGACTATAATGGGGAATAAACAGAATCTTTAATTTCAAAGAAATCAAAATGGCGGTAAAACGCGATGCCACTTCAGCAATGACCGGTAAAAACAAGGATTAATCTATCAAACCAGCTTATTTTAAACGCATATCGATCATAATAAATATTATATCAAGGGAAAAGCATATAGAGTACCATCATGACATCATTATCATCAGATGAAGCTACATAGTTTATTTATTTTTGTTGTAAGCATTTTTTGGCGCGAAAAGCGACATGAAAATATTTTACGACATACCTTAAAAATAAAGATTCAGTTTCCGGCAAGCAAAATTTTTACAATTTCTTAAGAATCTCGCTAATGAAATTATAATTTTATTAACGAGATCTTATTAAGAGTTCATATCGCATAATAACCCTTATTATCGGATTCCAGCTGTTAGTAGTATTAATTTGAATAAATTAAAACTGAGTAGTACAGCTGAGTGGACATGTATATGCACCGATAACTAGGTCTATTGCTTAGATGCCAACTTAATATTCTGAAGCCATTGAAAAACTCACCTTACTATGAGTAAACTTCAGTGAATTCTTTGACAAAGAAAACAACTACATCCACTGCTTGTGAGATGTCTAATTTATCCCTAAAACTTTGTGGGATGCAAAGTTAAAATAAAGTCCTTCTGGAGTATAGGATATAAACCTTTCACTGTTTGTGAGATTTAAACTTTAAAACTTTCATTACAACTTTGAGAGTATAAAAATCCAGATACATAATATTTGACTTGATGAAGATTGTTGAATGCTAATTCTATCCTTCATAACTCAGTTGTCTGTGGTTATGTTCTGAAATAACACAAAACTGTGTCTTAGTGACAATTAACGACTGGGTGGGCGAGGGGGGAATATATGAACTCTTAATAAGATCTCGTTAATAAAATTATAATTTCATTAGCGAGATTCTTAAGAAATTGTAAAATTTCTATTACACTCATCTTATTAAGAGTTCATATCGCATGTTTAAAGTAAAATAACCTCAGAACAACTGATCTAAATCCTTTAATTTCCTTTATCAGTTTATCAGATTGTAAAATTGTTAAGCATTCAGAGAATTTGCATTTCCCATGACTTGGTTTGTAGATATATCAAATGTTCAAGTTTATGGTACTGTTACTGCATACCTGGTTAAATATGTCTTTCAAATGTACTTAAATGTATTTATAAATATCTATCTATTATTATTATTCTATAAAATTAAAACCTTTATGTATTGTTATAGAAACTGCTAAAGTGTATGTATATGAGATGTTTTACTGGATATGTACATGCATGGCATCGCATGACATTTGACAAGGATAATTTAAACTTCCTTCTTATGATTCCCTTCTACTACTAGTAGTTTGTTTCAGATGTTTCTGGTATTTTCTAAATGCTAGTACAACATCATTAAATGGATTCTCATGAAAAACAACTTGGAAACCCAATTTTATGTGTTGACATTCTGTCTTTGACAACCATCCAATGGCATATTATTTCAGAGACCCTGGGATACATGCTTGAAATAGACATTAACATGACTAATTGTGTACTTTCAGTTGAGATTTCTATTCTGACCCAAATGTTCAATGTGAGATACAGTACAACCTTATTCACATCCCAAGTTTCATTGATTTTATTTAGTGGGTCTCCATTGTAAAAGTTTCTATAAAAACAACCAGAACATGGTATTGACTTACCTATGACTATCTATGGTTCCATTATATGCTGATTTTGCAGACTTTAAGTATCGAGAAACGAATAGCACATACCTGATTTGACATTCCAGTTAGGAAAATGGCTAAATTTGTATTAGAGGCTAAATATTAATGTCATGTTTATTAGAACATGCAGCATACCCATGTTTTTTAGGGGTCCTTGGAAGTAATTTAAGTACTTTCTTTACTTGATTTAATGAATATACATGTATTGCCAGTTTGTCACAGAAACCTCTAGTTTCAAACTTGAGGATGATAATTTGGACACCGTTAATGTTATCTAGCTTTTTTATTATTTTTTTTATTAAGGCTGTAAGATTAGATATTAGTAATTTCATATGGTTTGGCAATAAGATGGGCTAATACAGACCAACATTTCCAACAATTATAGATACCGCAGAGCCATTTGCCACATTGGGGCTATGAGAGCTATATCTGTGCATTTTTTATGTCTCACTTTAACCAGTAATCGGCTGATTTAAGAAATTGGAGGAAAGTTATTTGACTGTTTATTCTGAATAAATATGTCAACTTCCAGAGTTTCTGGGTTTAGTTTCCACCTGAAATATTAATTTTCTACTGGTCGACAAAATCTATTTATCTGGACCTTAAAACTTTCAATTAGGAAAAATCTCCCAATCTTATTTCTAGTTTGATGCATCGAGGAATTTCTCTAGGTTTGATCTGACATTCAATTCTGATTCCTTGGAAGATATTATACGGTAATAATGATATCTCTTGCAAAGGTATCTGAACGATCTTGCATTGCTTTTAACATTTCTAGCCATCTCGTTCCCCACATTTTATGCACATAATGTCATCGTGGTTTTCTTGTTAATTTTATATAACATTGTCTAAGTTTTTGTGAATACTTTCACTACCATATCCATGGCTTTCATTCATATGAAACAATTTTTTGTTTAATCAATTTCCCCTAAGCTACTGTCCCGTCAGACTTGAACTTTAGCCAAACAGGCTGCTTATTTTTTTTTTTTTTATTGTAATTATTGATTCGGATAACACTATTAGTATTCTGAATTTCGACTTCTTGGACCAATCACTATCAAATTTTATATTCATTTTTTGTGAGTTATTTTGGCAATCAATGCATACATGTAGGACTGCTTTGACCTTTGCAAGTGTCAAAAAATGTAGAGGTTCAATATACAGATTACAGACTAAAGTACAATTCAAAAGTATCTCAATAACTTGAGTAAGATTACTGACTAGGGTTGATTCTATCCCTACAAAGTCTTTGCGAGAATTTTGATAGAAACTATCATTTCTATTAAGGCCTTCAAGTTCATCTCAATTGTATTGATCACAAAACTACAAAGCTCCATTTTATGATGGGAAAAATTCAACAATAGGCTTTTCCCCATTTATCAGAAACTTCAGTTTGAAACAAATATTTCACTAACTTGAAATCATGTTCATGAGTAGCAGATAGGCGAGAGCTTAATGACATCAGAGAATCAATAAAAGATTCAAAACCAAATTAAATATTCCACAATAGTGCTTATGGTATTTTCACTAGTTTGAGGGAAGCAAGGTCCATAGTAATGATCTCAAATGATGTTATATCATTCGACGGAGCTATTTCCTGTGCCTCGAATGTATGCTTATGGTCATATAAGCATCCTTAGCATGGACTTTCACCATGGGTAATCGTTTGGCCATCTCATGTTTCTTAGAGTTACCATGTCTTCCATTTTGAAATATTCATACCAACTAAATGGTTAAGGTTTAGATTTTTTAGAGTTTAGATTGAGAACGAGTCTCTGGGAACAATCCTCTTTCTCCTGTAACAATATGTGACACAGAAATTGATCTATGCTTTTCTGTTGCATGTTTAAGAGTTAAATGAATCTCCTGTTTTTAAAGGATGGACAAAACATCCGATTGCTTAAAATCGCAGTTTTGAGAAATATTAAAGCTGCTTTCCATTTAGAAATCTTAAGCTATATTGTTATCATTTCTCAGAATCTCTGGTAACCTTGACCATACTTCATATTTCTATGTAGGTGACTTTGAAACTTCAAAAAGTATATGTAATTTACCTAAGTTTCTGTTTTAGTGAACTTCCAGATTTTTTTCTTGATCTGACGTTATGTCAAAACATTCATCTTTTTTAGATCCATTTTGGTTTAATTTTAAAAATAAAATTGACGTACCTGTCATTGGACAAGGATTTTCCTACAGCGTAAGTTTTGCTGGAGCGACATCGTCTATAATGACATTGTTTGTCATGACTTCTAGTTGTATAGCTATTGGCAGCTGACAGTTTCTGCTTTCACTGGCCTATTCAAAAGGCTGTCAAATACTTGTATTTATAATCTATTGAAAGATTTTGATCTAGAAAACTATGTTTTCATGTCTTTGACAAAATTCAAAGTTTTTGTTGAGTCATCACCAAACAACTCTTTTGCCCAGCTTTGGGTATTCTCTTTATGGTTTTGGTAATGGTATGAAGACAGAAAATTCTCCAATTCACTCTTGTCAAATTGAAATTTGAAGCATGAAGCTTGTTTCAACTACAGTAAAAGGTTATGGGAAATCCTTGTTCAGCACCCGTTCAGCAACAATAGCTGTTTTAATCAAAATATTGTACGAGTATTGTCATTTGATCTAGGGCTGTTAACCCGATTTCCATGGATAAAGAGCTTTATTTCAGAAAGTCCATGTGACACACATTACCAGTATTGCATATGCCATTTTCCCATTTTGCAAGTGTACATTTCTACCTGCTTTGGGACTAGGAACATTTTAAGTTCATTTACTTTCTAGATAGCTTACTCTAGCCTTTTCTTCATATTTTGATATCTACTAGGATAAAGTTTTTGACCAATATTTATGGACAGATTTTACATGCTTGTCTGTTATCTCCAATTCAGACTTGTTCTCCTCGAAAACTGAGTCAAACATATTGAACATATAGACCGCTGAACATGAATCTATAAGCACTAGATTACTAGAACTTGAATCAAAACAAAAATGATTCTATTAATTTGAACCTACTATGAGGCTATGCAATTGGATATGCTCGCTGAAACTGTAATATGACCTTTAATATGACTATTATTCTGATGGCAGCTCATTTTGAACCTTGGTCAAACTTTGGTTTATAGGCCTTGAACTTTGGTCATTTGGACCTTTGGTGTGTGCATTCAGACATAAACTGTGGTCATTTAGACCTAAATGTGGTCATTTAGAAATAACATGTGGTCATTCAGACCTAAACTGTGGTCATTTAGACCTAAACTGTGGTCATTTAGACCTAAAATGTGGTCATTTAGACCTAACATGCGGTCATTTAGACCTGGACTGTG